TCCTGTTTTGGAGAACATGTTGACATCAAAAGGGTTTAGTTTACATCAGTGATGAAGAGCTGACTTAAAAGCAGAAGGCTGTGTTGTTACGAGGTCCATTGTCTTCTGTCTGCGCCGTGTCTCTCACTGTACACAGGATGTAATCTGCAGAGCATTGAGGTCAAGTCATTTTGAGTATTGACGGCAGATTGGTCTTTAATTAATATGTTGGTGTATATTACAGAAGTTTCCACATTTACTCTCCCAACAGCTGTCAGTTTCACTTTCTCGTCATGTCGGCACTGAAGAAAGGCCACAGTGTGGAAAGTAGAACTGAATTAAAGTAGAAGGGGAAATGGGTGTAAATAGGAAGCTGACAAGGGTCATCTTTGTTGTTTATGCTCTGAGGGCAGACTGTTTGCGGGGGGTGTTGCGCTGCAGAGTGGTGGAGTCACACACACAGACACACACAAACAACCGGATATAGCCGCTTCCACTGTTGTCATGTGACACAGTCTGTGGTCACAGAGGAGGAAGTCGCCGTGTCCTCCTGTCTAGAAAGAGCCTGTCTTAAGTAAGGGTGTGCAATGCAGATGTGGAGTTACTTCCCATCTCTGTGACCATCTTTGAAACATGTGTGTAGAAAAAGATAACAAAAGTCTCACACAAATAATTTATTTACATCCACCTGAGAAAAGTGTGATTTGCATTATCATATTGGCTGTTTTCTTAACCCATGAAGGGATATGATCTGGAGTTTTACATTCCTTGCACCACACGCTTGAAGATCTTTTCTTTGTTTTGTGTTGCCTTTCCCCCGTGACCATGCAGACTTATCATAATGTCCTAAATATTGCAGTAAGTTGTTTAGAGACTCTAGTGCAGGGGTGTCAAACTCAATTTCATCGCGGGCCACATTCGCATTATGGTTGCACTCAAAGGGCCGGTTGTAACTTCAAGACTATATAAAAATACATATATAAATATTTAATATATAAAATAATGTGTTTATAATATAAATTCCGTTATTGCCTCTGCATTGGATTATTATCGGATAGGGTAATAACTTCATAATTAACTACGTCTGAAAGCAGAAGTCTCTTCAGTGAGAATGTCACAAAATAATTTAAACAGAAAAGCTAAATTCTGGGAAAAAAAGAAGAAGTGGACATTTGGAAAAAAAAGTAACATTTTAAAGAAACAAAGTGAAATTCTGAGAAAAAAGTCCAATTTGAGATGCATTGTGGGACATGTAGTTTATGGGCAACGTGCTTCTGTAAAGCGGCATGTAACCGTATAATAAACGTATTATATTTTTTGCAAGCTCTTGTGGGGCCGCATGAAGTGAAGTCACGGGCCGGATTTGGCCCCCGGGCCTTGAGTTTGACACCCCTGCTCTAGTGACTGAGAATGGTAAGCTGACATTGTCATCTTTCCCGACACCCATGTGACCGAGGCCACCTCAGTGTGGGAGAATGTGGAGCTGACACACACCGTGCCATGCGCTGCTGCGTCACGTATGACCACCCATGCTACTTCTGGTGGGTGCTGTGCGTCACTGAAGCTGGCTGGAGAAGCTCAGAGCCTTCCAAACTGGATGTTGTTGTAATCTGTTAAATACAAATACCTTTCGCTGCTCACTCACGGAGCGGTGTACACAGACAAATGTATTTGCACACAAGCACATGAATGCGTACACATAAACACATGTCTCTGCCCATCAGGATCCGAATGCTATAAGGTCATCACTCAGCTGGAAGTGGTTTGCTGCATTCCTGCTGCCAAACCAAAACTTCTAAACTAAAAGTCCCAACATTGAGATGTACCTTCGTCTGGTGTCAGGGTGTCAGGGTGTCAGGTAGGGGGCTCATTATGCTGCCTCTGCATTGTGCACATGCTGTCCTCACTGTGGGCTGGCATGGACTATGGCTGGGGGATATGGGTCAGCCAAAACTGACCACAGAACAGGGTGCCAGCTGGGGCCCATCTGAGGCAAACATGGATCGGTGCTGAAGGCTCAGGGGACTTTCTGGCCACAAATGATTTCTATGTTGATCGCCATCTGCGAGGCTATTGGTTTACCTCGCAGATGATACTAACATGGCTACGTGCAATCTTAAATTGCACCTCTTCTGCGCTTTGAATATTTAGATTTTATGCTGAAGTAAGGTAGTCTGTTTCTCCTGAAGGACTGTGATAGATAACACTCTGCAGGAGGATTCTCTGGAGACCTGCGTGCATGCGTGGGTGACTGATGTGGAAGTTGATTGGTGAGGCCTGCAGTTTAAAACAGACAAACGACCCTGTAATTGTGTCGCATTCAAACAGACACGAGTGAAGTCCACCACCAAACAGACTTTTGCCGCTGTGTATTCTAATTAGGACGATACATGTAGTAAGAGTGGCTTTATTGGGAGGCGGCAAGAATGGCAACCTGAAGTAAAGCTAATTTCTAAATGAGCTGTGTTTGCCGTGAAAACACCTACTCTGCAGAAAACCAGATAAAAAAACTTCTCCTATGCCATGATGAAAAATGTAATAACATATTGGACATCTGCTGTGGATTTAACACTTAAAGTACGCTGTGCTCTGGGGCAGATGTTTTCCTCGGCTGTGCTGATTTCCGTCACCAACTTGCCAGCGGCAGTAAATCAGGTGTTTTTACACATGGATGTTTGTTTTGGGGTTGATGGTGTGATGCTCTGCTGGAAGTTGCCTGCTTTACAAGGCTTCATCCTGCTGTATGTGGTCGACTAGAATGACTGTGCTCTTCTAAAGCGTGCTTTCCCTTTCCTCTACACCTTTTACGCTGACAGAGAAAAGCCATTTGGAAAATGTCCAATTAATGGTTGCAAGGGGTCCTAAAGAGTACGGTGAAATTCTAAGGGGAGTTCAGCTTGGGTATTCTTGAATTTAAGAACATTTTTAATATTAAAATGTAGATTTTACTATTAAAGTGAATGTATTTTTGTTTTATTCCGAGTGAAATACACGATACCTGTTTAAGTGAACAGTATATCCACTTGGAACTGCTTGTCATTGATTTGTAACCTATACTGCATTCAGCCGATCATTTGCCAGAATCCAATTAAACGGTGTTTCCGTATAATGACTGAAAGCACATCCTTCCATCACATGTGCATCTCATAGTACTGGACTGTCTGAGCTGAAGGACTGATTGATTATATTCATGTATTTATTTGGCAGATTCAATTAATGTTGTCTTCCTATGATATGGTAAGAGGTGTGTTTCTATCTGCATACAGCCCTGAGCGAATAATCCCCGTATTTCTATTTTACTCCCGTTATTCCCCATAAATTCACCATCGATCCCCATGGAAGGTTCCAACTTGAATATTTGCAGAATTCTGCGAGTTTGCCGCTCATGTCATCACTTTCTACTTTATTTAAGAGATAGTCCATCATTTTGAGGTGTCAAAAGTGGCAACTCTTGAAAGTGATGTTCAGCCGGTCTTGTGACTTGTTGTCTTTTCCTTTTTAGATATTTTCTAAGGATGTACACTAATCAGAGGAGACACTTTAGGCTGCTGTTTGATCTGTACCGTCTCACACATGATCTGTCATCATGTGTGGCTTTGAAGGAGGGTAACAGAAGCTCATATTGACAAATCTCCTACCTCTCCCTTACAGACACACACACACTTCTGTGTTAGAGGAAATGGGGCAATTAAGGACAGCTTGCTACGACTCTGCATGGGGTTAATATGTGGCTCCGTAATTAAAAATAAATTACACTTTTCCTGTATAAATATTCAACTCCCTCTCCACTTTGTGCCACTGCCTTGTTATAGTATGTAAGCTATTTTCTTTCCCCGTCTGCACAACATCTGGCACGACATTTCCTGAAGCATCACCAGAATAAATTGAGTTTTGTCTGCCTACCAGAGATTCATTTGTGTGATGTTAGTGTGTCTAAGTGAATGGGATGCACATGCATGGCTTGAGGTTATGGGTGTTGTCCAAAAAATTGAAATTGTGGAAAGTTTTATTTGAAAATCAAATGGAGGCTTTGGCAAACATGATGCTTGTGTTACAAAATGATTGATAGGGAAGAGACAGTGGTTGAGAGTGGATGTGGTCTATAACGATTAACTAAAATACTTCTCTAAAAGATTATAAACGCAAAGGGGAATTTCACAGACTACTACTACTACTACTGCTTGATATGAGATGGAAATAGTTCTGTAAAGACTTTGGGACCGCGTCAAAAGTCATTTTGAGGCGGTGTTTGTGAGGGCTACAAGTAAAAACACCCACATTTCCAACTGATCTGTTGAAACTTGCATTTTGGGTAAATTAGGTCCAAAGTTTTGACAATAAAGAACAATGTGTGGAATAAACAGTTGTCCCTGGGTGTGGTGCATTTGATTTTGATACTTGTTTCAAACTTTCCTCCTTGTTTTAAACTTGCCATCTAAAGGCCAACAGTGTTCTGGGAGTACAGTGCTAAATCAGTGGAGCACTCCTACGGGTACAAGACAATAACTGGAGGTTTTTCTTTTGTCTCAGGTAGACTAAGTAGACTTTTTTAACAAGTCAAAACACCCATATTTTACCGTGCCACTGCCAGTTAAAGGAAATGATCGGAGGATAGAGCAAGTTTTTGGACCGTTTTTAATGCAAGTTATCGCTGGAAAGGGGACAGACAGGGCTGAGGAAAGGGTCCTGACTCCTACTAAAACCGCCATTTGTCCTGCAGCTGACCTACACTCAAAGAAAAACGGTGACAAGGTGGTAATTTTTTTCAGGTGACACTAGTGAACAGCATAGTAATTACTTCCAGGAAACGGGTTGCACCTCTTTGATTTAAAACAGAAAAAGAAAGGACATCCCTGTGCTGTCATTAATCATGAAACCACAATGTTAACAAAATAGTTTTGCATTTGTTAGCATTTTATTAATGTGAAATAATGTGATGTTTCTGAAAAACACTATTGCTTTGTCACACTTGGATTTGATCTCGTCTCTTATAACAATTTCAATCTATTTTTTCATATCAGGAGAATACATCAAGACCTGGAGGCCGAGGTATTTTCTCCTGAAGAGTGATGGTACATTCATTGGCTACAAAGAGCGACCGCAAGATGTTGACCAGCTGGAAACCCCCTTAAATAACTTCTCTGTCGCACGTGAGTATCTGCTTCAGAGAAACCACTGCATTTTTTCCCTCTGTTTCTTGGCAGCTGGGTTTTACCCTCCTTTTGTTTGCTGCCTTCTTGTTTTTACTTGCATTTTTGTAACAAATATGTTTGCATGCTTCTCTATCCAACTCTGAAAAGTCATTATTAACAGAACAAAACACCCCAAATAAATTGTGCCCAAGTGCCTGTGATGTAAAATGAAAGTGAGAAGGAAAAATACGTGTTCACACGTAAAAGTCCTGCATTCAAAATCTTACTTTAGTAAAAGTACAAAAGTATTGGCATAACATAGTAATACAAAAACTAAAAGTACCTATTTGGCTTAATGTAATTTCAGAAACATGAGATTACTGGATTATTATTATTATTGATGCATTCATATGTTCATCACAGCTGGTAAAGGTGCAGTTAATTTAATAACTTTATATACTGCTTCTTGATATCTTAAACTATAATTATGTATCATAGTTTATGTATTAGTTTTATTATATTTTGTCTAAATCTGTTAAGTAACTCATATTGTCAAATAAATGCAGTAAAGTCAAAAGTAAAATATTAGCTTCTAAAATGTAGTGGAGTAGAATTATAAAGTAGCATAAAATGGAATAAAAAATACATTACACCACTCCTTGGTTGTGAACAGAGACATTAGCACGTTAGGCTGTATGATGTTAATGGCTTCACTGCAAGTTTCTTTCAATTGGGGCGTCGCTCCAGGGCAAACCAAGCGAGCGTGTGTGCAAGATGTCTGACTCCTGACGTTAATACATCAAATGCCATTCCTCCTCTCTGTGTGTGTCTCTCACAAACCCTTAGTTTTTATAAAAACCGCGACAAAAAAGAAAAAATGCCCAGAGCAGCCGAGCCCTCTCCATCTTCACATCGGAGAAAGTTGCTGTGATAAACTGAGCAGATGACTGAACACAGCAATTAGACAGCATACTGTTTGTTTAACTAAATGTTTCCTCCCGACACTCTTGAGTTATCATGGCTATTAGCCGCCTGATTTTGAGTATTTATCTGCGCGCCGCTCTGAGGCTCTGTCTCCATCAGCGGTAGCTTTGGTTTTTGTCACCACGGCGACCCAGCCACAGAGGACACATGGTGCGGCGCTGCTGCAGCTGGATTACATACTCAGCCTGATGGAGCCATGTTGGATCTCAGTGGTGGTCCACTCCCCTGTCCTCCATCTATCAGACAGAGGCCATTTTGTGTCACGTTTTGACATATTTGCTGACATGTTTCATTTGGGAACAGATGTTAATGTGAAGGAGGTGCAGATGGAAATCTTAGAATTCAGTTATTATACTGTGGTGAGTAATTGTTTTGAAAACCGCTTACAAGACAATAATTTGCCTAAAAAGTGAGACAATTGAGCGAAACGGGGGGAAAGTATGTGTTGAGCTGCTTTTTTAAGAAATCGTTGGCAAGTTATGAAAGATTTGTCTGTTCAAACATGACATCAGTTTCTGGTTTCAGCTTCCCTTTTTATTTTGTTCAGGTTAAAATGATATTCCTTGGTTCTGCAATGTTTGGAGAGCACAAGAACTTGAACGCAAGAAGAAGTCACCATTTTCAGGGTTTTCTATAATATAGACCAGGGGTGGGGAACCTCCGGCCCCCGGGCCGTATACGGCCCGCGAGACCATTTGGTGTGGCCCTCGAGGTAATTTATAAACACACGCAAAAAAGAAAAAAATTAAAGAAATCTAGACCGCAAAATAATTAAACAAGTGAGTGCCTGTTTTTCCTGGCCACGGTCAGGGTCCTTGAACACAACACAAGCCTAATGTGTCATCACGTGGTATATGTCTCGTCTGACAGGGGTGTAGTTCTGACGGAGAGCAGTGAGCACCAGAACGCCGCTCCGCTCCGGCACTTCCAAAAATGTCAGTAGCCATAAGGAGCCGTACACATGCTGCAGTTTTTGCGTGGCTGTGGCCCGTCCACACAGCAGCTTTTGGCGATTTGTCCACCGCTTCCAGCGCGTCTCCGCCCATTGACTTTGAATGGGGATGACGTCACTTTCCCTCGCTTGTCGCCGAACTGCATTGTGGGGGGGCGAGGCGAAGATTTCCAGGATTTCCAGGATTCCAAAGTTGAACATTGTTCAACTTTTGAGGCTGAGCTGGAAGCGACAGCCAATCAGATCCGTTTATGCAAATCTGACAGTTCAAGCGCTAGCCAATCAAACCGCGTGCAAGCTGGGAGAACGAGACCCGCAGTTCATTTCTATATTCCACAAAAATGGAGGAGAAGTTAGTTATTGCGGTAGCAAATCACCCGGTTATTTATGACCAGTCCCTATTTACTTACCGGGATACAAACCGGAGGAACCAGGCATGGAGGGAGGTGGGGGAAACTGGTAGGTTTTCGCTCGTTTGGGGATTTTATATCCAGTTTACTTCGTTGCTAGTTTACTTCGTTGCTAGCAAGCATAGACAGTATCATTAGCCAACATGGAATGTAGCATAAAATAGCACCATAAACATTAATCTCATAAATGTTCAAAATGTTAAAAAAAATAAATGTTCATCATAGCCCTTCCTATTTGACAATAGTGTAGAAGAACCGGGTTTTTTTGCTTTGTATGTCGGGGGCGGGATATTCATGTGATATTCATGTGATTGGTTGTTGGTCGCGAAATCCCCAAGCTGTCAGACACGCCCAGCTCCAGGATTTTCAAGATTTGGTCAAAGCTGCTGTGTGGACACACCGTACCCAGTGGCGATCTGCTCATCTGTCACACTGATCATACAGTCGATAACTTTGTTGTTATTAGCATCTGGTTAGCTAGCTATGCTAACGAATAAGAAGCTTTTTCTACAACCAGTGAGGTAAAGGCACATCTTTATATGATCATTATAGTTATAAAACAAATAAGAGAATAAAGTAAACAGGTATAAAATACTAGATGACAGTAAAAAAAAGTTGTTATTAATAAACAAGAATACAGTTTGAAAGGAGAGTGATTTGTAAAATACCCATAAAGAAAATCTGCTTCCAGTTCTGTTTCATATGGGTGTTGAGAGATGTATCCATAGATCTCCTAATGTTGCTCTCAAAGTGCACCAGATTGATGCTTTTAACTTCAACATTTAAAAAAACAAATCTTCCCGGGGGAGCATGCCCCCCGCACCCCCCTAGAGGAGGTTAGGTCCCCCCCCCCCCCCCCCCACTTAAATCATGTTCACATGGATAGGAGTCTAAATACATTTGCACACATCTTGTGTCCATATATTTCTGTTTTGGTGGTCATGCCACACCATGCACGTGCATGCATGCGCGAGTCATGGTGAGATATCTGGATTAAGAGGTTGCTTTTTCATGAAAGAAAGGTGAAATTAGTGGGCTGTGATTTTAGTATTTTAAGCGGAGGTCAATAATTTGTACGGCCCTCGGAGGATGTTGAAAACATTGAAATGGCCCTTGAGAGGAAAAAGGTTCCCCACCCCTGATATAGACAAACAAACAATCAATTAAACAGGAAAATAAATGGCAGATGAATCAATAATGAAAATAGTTGTATATAAACTTATATAGTCCAAACAAAAAACACAGAATAATTAAAAAATATATATGTGTAGGCTACTATTGCAGAATTGTTCTAGAACTTTAATGTATTCATTCTGGGTTTACTCCAGCAAAGCCTAAACTAGCAAAAAAGGCTGGGCGATATGGAGAAAATCAACTAATTATTTTGGATCTAATAGATCAATAACAGTATAAAATATGAAAGGGTTACATATTAGTACATTTACAAAATATTTACACAATGTGATTTTTGGTAACTTCAGTTATATGAATTGAATGACTAGCTAAGGCATATATAACAGAGTGTCTAGTAAGTTTAGAAAATGACATCACTTTACTGTAATGCAGCGTTTATCACCAGGGAAAGACCACACCAATGCAATGATTACAAAATCTAAAATGATATCTGGTCTTGTTTAATGATTTTTACCAAGCATCGATGTTATGCCCAGCCTTATTGGCAAACGTTTTGTTTTAAAGGGGCTGACAAGTTAAGGATCGAAGTTGTTTCCCTCCACCAAAGTGCACCTGTTCTTCTCCAAATTGAGCGACAGTGTGTGTGTTAGGGTGGCGATAAAGATAAATGGCTATAACTGTGGGTCTGTCTCTCCTCTGCTCCCCTCCACACCGGCCCTCCTCCCCGGCTCCCTCCCTCCCTGTCTGCGGTCAGAGTGCCAGCTGATGAAGACGGAACGGCCCAAGCCCAACACATTCATCATCCGCTGCCTGCAGTGGACCACTGTCATCGAGCGCACCTTCCACGTGGAGACCCCCGAGGAGAGGCAAGCGAGAAGCACACACCTCTCCGCTCACCAAGCAGTAAAACACAAATCATTGACATGCAGAGAACTGGCCCTGTTGCTAGAAAACAGTTTAACGGCTTTGTTTTTCTAACATCTAGAAGCAAACCTACACATTTAATCATTATTATGCTCTCTCACAAGGTTCCCTGGCTATTGGCAGGACTCACAGTTACCTTCCTGTTGATAAGAAGACAATTACATGATTGGGCTGCTTGGCTTGCATGATGGTAAATGGGCTGATGTTATCTTTCTGCTGCCTGTTTCTCCCTCAGGGAAGAATGGACTAAAGCCATCCAAGCAGTGGCTGAAGGCCTCCAGAAACAAGAGGAGGAGATGATAGACCTCTCTCCGGACCCCATGGACATGGAGGTCTACCTGACCAAACCCAGACAGAAAGTGGTACGGCCCGTTTGACCCTGCTGTGTAGCTCTGCTGTCCCCACATAGAAACACATCAGTTTCTATTAACATTAACATTAAGTCTCCCCACCCCGCTGGTATCCCAAGATGACCGTTACTCTTCCACGAACTCTGCCTTATTTGTACTTCAGCCCACTTTCCTCCGCCTCTCCCCAGCTTCTTTTTTACTTTCCTAACATCAGCCATGGGTGGCTTAGCACCAGATAGTATGTCCACCAGGTTTCACAACCCCCACGTGTGTCATGATGACATAAAGGTCCGAGGCCACCGGATTGTATGTCCCCCACACAACAATTTTCAACATTCTCCTTAGGGCCAAGGTCAGAGGTTAACTCAGACACAACCACATATAGGCCAAACCATTAGAGAAGGGGAAATTGCACAGTGGGTGAAATCATGCCTGAAATGCTTCCGTGTTGCTGTCAGTGGGACTGTGTGCCCTGGATAGTTAGAGCACGAGTTTGTTAATGCCTCTGTTCGTAACCAAACGCCACTTTCTCTCCTTTGGCTCTCCAGACTATGCACGACTTTGAATACCTCAAACTCCTGGGAAAAGGCACTTTTGGCAAAGTTATCCTGGTAAAGGAGAAGGCCACAGGACGCTACTACGCCATGAAGATCCTGAAGAAGGAGGTGATCGTAGCAAAAGTGAGTGGATGCCAATGAGCAAGTAAAAGGGGAGGACATACACTGGGGGGAGAGCAGTGGAGCAATGACTGATACCTAAATGGTAAGCCATTGTGAGAGTTGCACAAACAGTCTTTGTTGCTTGTTTTTTTCAGGATGAAGTGGCGCACACACTCACAGAGAACAGAGTCCTCCAGAATTCAAAGCATCCGTTCTTGACAGTAAGGAGCCCCTCCATATACCTAAACCAAACCTTATTTGAACTCGCAGAGATCCTCGGGAGCCTCTTCAATCCAACCCAGCAGCATCCTTTCAGATAAATGGGCAGTTTCAACAGGAATGTGTTGAAGAGTTTTCTTACAAAGGCTGCAGACGAGCCAGGCCTTTTATACCAACACTGAACGTTCCTTTTGTTGTTGTTATCAGTCAACCCTTTTCTGTAAGTCTGAGGTGGGCTGTAGTGAAAGCTCCTCCAATTTGGTTTAAGTGTCGGTAGGAGGCAACATATAATGTGATGTGCTCATGCAATGAATGGGATCAATGTTTGCCACACAACAGTTGTTGAAAAGGTTTGACGCACTAAATGCACTATGCTGTAGTTTTTCTCATCCTGTTAGACATTTGAGTTCAAACAAATGTGAATGTAAGGTTCAAAGCTGCAACGTGTGTATTTATGTTAGATGTTACAATCAGCTGTTCAAATGCCAGCTTCCTCTTGACTTTGCTGGAAACATCACCAAGTTCTGCTTTAAGCGTTTTCGTTCTCTGTCTGCAGGGACTGAAAATACTCCTTCCAGACACATGACCGCTTGTGCTTCGTAATGGAGTATGCAAATGGCGGCGAGGTAAACCATTGGAGCTATCAGTAAATCTGCACCTGTAGTTTAATCAGAATACATTTTACTGTTCCTATTTTTCCTGGACTAACCATCTTTCTCTTGTCTTCTCTTCTGTCAATCAGCTTTTCTTCCACCTGTCAAGGGATCGTGTATTCTCAGAGGAGCGGGCGCGATTCTACGGTGCGGAGATTGTGTCGGCGCTGGACTACCTGCATGCTGAGAGAAACGTGGTGTATCGAGATCTTAAGGTAGGTGTGAGACACATCCTCACTCTCTCTCATCCTCGCTGTCAGCCTCTCTTCTGTCTTCCTCTTTCTCCCTCTCCCCTCCTTCCCTTCATTTCTCCCCTGGCAGGATATAAATAGGGAGCAGTGGCAGTGGACAGGGCTTATTGATCTGCCTCCCCCGGATCAGTCTACAGACCTCACTGCAGCTGGAGGGAGGCTCGGTCCATACGCTTACTGCAGCTAGACAGAAATAACCACCAGTCCTCTCTGCACACACCGCATCCCGTTATAGCATGCGCACAGCGCTCTCAGTGGGTGATTTGTGTACCTGATTAATGTCATTTTGTACACTGGCAGGTTTAGGTAAATGAGAGAAAATTATTTTAAAAGGACGTATTTTTATTCTCTGCATTGAAAAGCTGCAGAACACTCCTCAGATGGGATCAGAAGTGGATGCTGCAGACTGATAGGACATGTTTGGGTTTAGATGTGCTGTGGGGGGTTATCGGTGTTGCAGTGTGCATTTGTAGCCATGCTACTTCCAGCTGATAAAACTATACCAGCCAGGTCAGCACAGCACAGCACTCTCTCCCTCCCCCCCCCTCTCCCTTGGGTTTATGAGGCAGGCTCCCAGCCTGCTAGGGTTCTCCTGAAAATGCCAGGGTAGCAGGATTGGAGGATGTGCTGACTCTGGCCAGGCGCTGCTGGCCACGTGTGAGCTACAGCTGCCAGGTGACTTTAACTGAGAGAGAGAGAGAGAGAGAGAGAGAGGGGGAGAAGGAAGGGAGACAGAGGGAGGACACACTGATATTAAAAGGCCATGCAGCCTCATGTCATGACACTGCATGATGCACAACCTTACAGCCTTAAGGTCAATCTACCTCTACATGCAATCACCGGCTACATTTCCATCCACCTGTGTTTGAGGGAATTATTTTTAAATAAGTGTTTGTGTAGGCATGTTAAAAAAGAGATAGATTCATTAAATAAACAATTATATTATTTAGTTTCTATAGTTTTTTGAAAATACATTTGTGACATGCTCGCTTAGCTAGAAAGCCTTTTTAAAACGAGGGATACAAATAATTTAAATAAGCAAAAGATATAAACACTACATTGTACACAAGGATTTGGTAATTAATTCATTATTAATTTTAAAAAAGAGAGAAAAAGCTAATTATGGTGGTCGGCAGCAACAAAATGTCATCAAAGCTGCTGGTGCTAATTTGTTTGTCATCTTGTATAAATGTCGCTCATAGTTCATTCATTTATTTTAGATTGAACTTTTTCCAAATGTTCAGGATTTCATGAAATACTTGCACAATTATATGACAGAAACATCACAAACACAGATGCCTGAATTATTATACATTCAATAAATAATATTCCCATCACCTCCCTGAATGATTTGACTCATTTTACAGTGATGCTAACATCTGTCTTTTTTCTGTCCCCCCCTCAGCTGGAAAACCTTATGCTGGACAAAGACGGACACATAAAGATCACAGATTTCGGCCTGTGTAAGGAGGGGATCACAGATGGCGCCACCATGAAAACGTTCTGTGGGACGCCAGAATACCTGGCACCCGAGGTAACCACTGCACTGATTCAGTCCACCTGAAATATTGACTTCACCCTTACCTGCAACAAAGTCAACCTAGTGTAGGCACGTACAGATGGGTGATAAATGAAAGGAAAAACAAACGAGGTAACCTTTTAGGTCACTTAAGACTTAACAGCTTCAAAGACTGAAACCCGATGGAGGGAAATACTTCACATTCAATATTTTACCTGGCTATAGTGTTACTAAATAAACAAAAACAAAGTGAGATCATTTTGAAATTCCACACACACATGTGTTGTTGGACATCAGTGTATGAGAAGCATGTGGAAAAAGCAGCTGTCCCAAAATGCCTTTCTAATCTCCAGCTGAAGTCTTCCACTTAATGAGTGTGTTGTGGCAGGGCAGCCTGCTCATATTTGCTGTGTGGGGGGGTGTGGCTTCTCCCTATTGCGTGCAGGTATGACAAGTGTTGCAGCGGGCTGTGTAACCTGATATTGCATTGTGAGGGGTTGGCCGTGTGAGTGTGTGTGTGTGTGTGTGTGGGTGAGTAAGTACATCAGTGTTTGCGCTAGCCCCTCGCCTGTTGCCGTAAAAATGTTTTCCGGGAGAAGGGTGTCCATGTTGACACAGTTGCCGTATCGTTGTTTTTAGCCTCCATTTGGAATTTTCTGGTTGGGGTGAGGAGGTGGAGTGATAGGCTGGCAGCGCCTCAGGAAACGTGAGCTTCCACCCCTGAAAAAAAAAGAAAAGGAGCACATTGGCTACAGCTGTTGTGGGGCACCAGGGGGGCCACAGCCCGGCTGCTGCCCTGGATGCCTCGCCTGACCCGCGCAGAGCCAGAGCTGTCATGAGCACGCTATCCCACAATGCTTCAGGCTGCCTCACAGGAACATATACCGGTCGTGTTTTCATCAGTCAGACCAAACCTGCCTCTGACCATCAGCACCAAGCCGTCATAGCTAGCGTGTGATATATTTACTCCCTCACACCTGGACAAACATGAAAGAAAATGTTTGTTTTTCTATACTTCCATAAACCTTTTTATTGAGGCCCCACCTGTCCGTGCTGAACTCTGTCTGGCTCCACAGAGGAGCACAGTCTGTGACAGCTCCTGCCTCGGCAGCGGAGAGCAGGGAGACATCAGGGGGCGTTACCATGGCAACAGGGTCGCTGGCAAGTGTCTCTATGGAGTGCGGGCCAGGCAGTGTTACAGGTTGTTCTGCAGTAAACAATGACCTTGTTGTGTGTGCTGCACAGGAATGCTGTAACGTCTGGGAATATTCCACCCAGAGCAGGAGGGGGGGCGAGGGAGGGAGGAGAGACCCAATCTGCCTGACCAGTTTGTCTCTGGAGTCAGGAGCATTCTTTCATTAAGAAGTTACAAGAACAAAACCGTTATTGGCTGAGGGGATAGGCTTTTAGGGAACATCTACAGAGAAATGTGGACAGGCTTTATCTAGCCACTGAAACTGATCTGGAGTCACAGACTAATGCTCTCTGTGTTCTGCACTGTTTTGCTCACAAAGTTCTGCACTGTGTGGAGCTCCAGCAGCAAGTGTTTGTGCTTTTATCTGCTCCCTCCTCCCTCTCTCTCCTCCCCCTGTCGGTGCTCCTTTGGGGCAGTGTAACAGTATTAGTTTGGGGTTGAGGCCCAGGCAGCAGTCCTGGTTACGTATATGAGGGATGAGCTTGGCTCCTGCGCTCCTGGCAGCTTCACAGCTGTGGCGCTCTTCTACATATATGGGGCAGCTGCGGGCCCAGCTGTCGCACGGTGTGAATCACACGACAGCGGCGCTGGAAATAGAGACGGCCCAGTAATCCTAGCCCCACACCGGCTTCACGTTACTCCCCCTGCCCTCCCAATCCTCCTCCTCGATGCTCACCACTCACCGCAGCGCCAGGCGGAGTGCCCCCACACACATGCGTGCACACACAACACACAGTAGTTTTGTTCCTTTTACGGACACGTCGGCCCATCTGTTTTCAGAGACCCTCTCTCTCTCGTCTTGTGCACAGTTGTGTCCATATCTAATTCTATTAATCCGCCCACATCTTTTACTGAAGTTTCTATTCTTAGCTCTGAATTGCCTAGCATCATGCTGCAAGAGGTTTAAGAGAACAGACTGTTCTCCTTGTCTTGATTTCACCTTACACATCCGCCTGGCGAGGTAGAATCCAGTACATGTCCCCTGAGACCTTGGAAACAACTCTCGCGCAGCAGCACATTAGTCATGCAACAGGTTGCTGTTCACGGAGCACAACACTGGAGGAGTTGTCTCATTAAGAACGCTGGAGAGGAAAGTCATCCTATGGAAATTATAAGACTAAATATTTCCCTCTCTGGGTGTGTTTTGTTTGTGGGACTGGATTGTGTTTGTTGCCACACATTCACTTAATTCAGCGACCCAACACATTGTGTGTGTGTGTGTGTGTGTGTGTGTGTGTGTGTGTGTGTGGTGTGTGTGTTTGTGTGTGTGTGTGTGTGTGTGTGTGTGTGTGTGTGTGTGTGTGTGTGTGTGTGTGTGTGTGTGTGTGTGGTGTGTGTGTGGTGTGTGTGTGTGTGTGTGTGTGTGTGTGTGTGTGTGGTGTGTGTGTGTGTGTGTGTGTGTGTGTGGTGGTGTGTGTGTGTGTGGTGTGTGTGTTGTGTGTGTGTGTGTGTGTGTGTGTGTGTGTGTGTGTGTGTGTGTGTGTGTGTGTGTGTGTTAAATATGCATGGGGCTCCAGGGGAAACTCTATCCTTTCTCCCTAATGTGAGATGTGAGTCAGTGCTGGCTGGGGCTGCCTCAAAAGACCAGACTGGGTTAGAGCAGGTGATTTTGGTGGGGTGATGGGGGGACAGTTGCTTTAGCCTAAAGAGCTGTTGTCTTCACAGACTTCTGATTGTCAAACGCAACCACAAAACCATGGCAACCTAACTATTTTCTTTAGCTTGTTGTGCAAATATTCTTTGTAAAAGAGCAGATATAATATATATTTTTACTATATTAAAAAACAATAGTATTGTTTAATAAAAGGATATAATTCGTACACACTATACCTCCTGACCGTGTACTAACAATGGCTCATGAGCATCTTAACAGCTGTATTTAACAAACGTTTTACCCTCATCCTCAAGGTGCTGGAAGACAATGACTACGGCCGGGCAGTGGACTGGTGGGGTCTGGGGGTGGTGATGTACGAGATGATGTGTGGCAGACTGCCTTTCTACAACCAGGACCACGAGAAGCTGTTCGAGCTCATCCTCATGGAAGACATTCGCTTCCCTCGGACACTTGGCGTCGAGGCCCGCTCGCTGCTCTCTGGCCTCCTAAAGAAAGAGCCAACGCAGAGGTGAGGCAGGGTACCCTCTGCAGTAGGGAAGCTCAAAGTGGGAGTTGTGCTTCTGATGCCAGTTTATGAGCTTTTGTTAGGCTATAATAAAAAGAAAGTAGAAATCATTATTTTAGAAATATTATTAATAGTGGATATTTATCGATTTTGTATTTGTCTTCCAGGTTAGGTGGCGGATCTGACGATGCCAAGGAAATCATGCAACACAAGTTTTTTGCATCAATTGAATGGCAAGACGTTTATGAGAAGAAGGTCAGTTTCTAAAATGTTCATGTTGCATTATTTTCCCTTGTTTCGTTGTTATGGTAAACACTGAAAGACAGAAGAAAATAAAAAGGTCACTCCCCTAGAGGTGAAGTTACTGTTACTAAACTGAGTGATGGCGCTGATGTGCTGATATGTTTGTGTCTCTTCTCCTCTCCAAACAGCTGGTCCCGCCGTTCAAGCCCCAAGTTACCTCGGAGACGGACACACGATATTTTGACGAGGAGTTCACAGCACAGACCATCACTATTACGCCACCTGGACAAGGTACCGCCAAAGCATACACACCCAAACATCAAGCACACTTAATATGACTTAAATGCATTCAACACACCTTCACATCATTAGACTGTTCCTTATTGTGGAGCGGTAAGGTTTGAATGTGACCGTTAGGAGGGTGGAGCTGTGGACTCTGGGAGGGAAGATGACTTGCAACCTCACTTTATAATAAATGTCCATCGACCTCCTGTCAGATGTTATTAGGAATGAGGAATTACATTTACAATTTATTTAAGATGAGAGTTTCTTCTTGATTATATATGGTTACTAAGTCAGGGTCACTAAATGTGTTTTCATGTGAAATCCTCAAAAGATTGTCACTTTCATTTGAAAATGTAAGCTGTCAGGTTCATTTTGAGCCTCGGTGTGAGGCTTGATTTAGTTTTGGGGGAGTTCATAAAACCTTCCTGTCGGAGTACCGAGCTCCCCTGAGAGGAGTCTCCCCTCTCCTGGAGAGCCAGTGCCATTAACACAGTGTCATGCTTCAGAAAGGTCATCTAGTGCATGTGCATTAGCCAGGGTGTGAATTCAGAGATGACTCAGTATTAGGAAAAGATAATACATTAACACTATATAGAATATATATATATATATATATATATATATATATGGTACTATATGAAAAAAAAAAAATTATGTATTTTTTAATGAATATGTTGATGAATCGTTGCTGCTGAACAAAACCATGTGTATAAATGATGAGCAATGTGAATATAATGGCCATGCAGGTGAATCATTTATATGCACTTCCTACATTAAAAGGAAAGGTTGAATATTCTGTCTACTGTCTACTGTCCCAGTCTCTACTGTCATATACTGGAATAGTGTATGTATTTGACTACAGAAGTGACTTTGCAGGTTCAAATTATAAAGAAAAATATAAATCAACTAATGAATTATGATGTTTTATTAAGTCACTAATGTTAGCTGAACCTTAACCAGCAGCAACATTAAAAGGACATACACTAATGGATCACTATTTATACCTTTGTGATGTAAATATTTGTCTAAAATGGGACATTATGCCTAATGAGTACTTTTAGTTTTGGTACTTTGTTTACTTGGATGCCATTCCTTTTTTACTTTTATTTATTTAAAAAATGTTTAACTTCTACAAATAATGAGATTACTACTTTTACTTCAATACTTCCACTTGTTCTTGTACATCCAGATATATTAAAGGGGGAGAGTATAACTAAGAACGAATGTGGAAAGACCTCTGACAGTGAACACATTCTCACGGTGTATATTTCATATCGTTCTCAAATAAATAAGTTTTTTGTTGCCCTTCATCCTCAGAAGACAGTATGGAGTCGTTTGACAGCGAGCGGAGACCCCACTTCCCCCAGTTCTCCTACTCTGCCAGTGGGACGGCCTAAAGCGACTATCATCTGTTCACCTGGTCCCACCGCCTCCCCCCACCCCCGCCCGACTGCACTCTCTAAAGACCGGGGCCACAGCCCCATCCTCCCTGCATTGTCTGCAAGATGCCGTCGGTGGATGTAACATTTCAAATCTGCAAGTTGTGTTTTCCAGGAAGGAGGAAACTCAAGACAAAACAAAGATCACTGTGGTTGTTCTGAGGCCTTTGAAGACTGACCACGAGAGAGTTCAACACTACCCTGCATCTCCTAGTTGTTGTGTTGTATACTGAGCAGGCATCCATACACCATAATGAATAGGGAAGTGCAGTCATGTTATGCCCAAATTAGGCCACTGATGTGAGTTTTTGTAATAAAAATATACAACTGAATATGAATCAACCATTTCAAATAGAACACAGGCATACTGCGGACCAAAAAAGATCACGTGAGCAGAGTGTGTTGTTTATCGAGTGGGTAAACAATCCATGTTTTCCTCTCTTAAGACTTCTGAACAATTCCTAGAATTTTTTTAGTGAATGTACCGTATCAAATAAAGTCAACATTTCTGCATTCTTACGTCTTGTAACACATGGCTGATTCTCCTAAGACTGAAATCTTCGGGAGGGGATTTGTATTGTATCACTTTTCTACTTACCCTGATGCAAAACTGACACCAATCAGTGTGTTGTATTATCATACCACACCACAACGGGTCTAATGTGAGGAGTCACAGAGTGGTTAATCATTCAGGTAATGCATTCCTCTTGACTGTTTGCAAAGTCACTGAGAGGCCCCACAGTTTCCTGTTCAGGATAATAATGAGCTCCTCCACCCCTCCTGAAGTAGGTGCTTTTAGTTCCTGATGCCTTGCTGTCTCGATGCTGAGCTGCAGACCTCCTGGTTTCCTCTGATCAGGGTCACTCACTGCTGACCAATCAGAAACTCTTCTCTCCTCTGGGTTTTTCCTCCATGTACAGTTCAGTATTGGGTGTTTTCCACCCAGTGCATTCACTGCAGCCTCAATGAGGTCATTACACATAATACACTTATTTTGGAATACTTTGCAGACAAACTGGGCTTCAGGGGAAACACACACAAAGAGTTATCTTTGATTTGTTACTTTAGGGGACTTCTATCCCTTCACGAGCTTCTGAGTTATTTATATGAGACCAGCATTGACTAAAATGAGTTTTCTTGTGCCAATGATATGTACTTTGCTGCCCCAAAATGATTGTATCTGGCTTTGTATTTGTAGTTTTTTGGTTGGAAAATACTGAATTAGCTTATTTTATAATGTAAATTCTAATATTGTTGATACAAATAAAACAAGAGTTTCTTGTTGAATGATTCCCCCCCCCCCCCCCCCCCCCCCTTTTACAGACAACTGAGGCTTCACTGAAACTCCTATTTGAAAGTGTACTAAGAAGTTTCCAAAAGCGCTTCAGTATTTCTTTTTTTTTATGACAGATAATCATTTTTCCAAAAGTGCATCATTATACGTTATTGAATGTAATGGTTTTTATGATATTGTTTTCACTTCAATCGTTTGCAAGCCTTTTGTTCAGTTTTTGATTGTTACTTACTCCTATGCACGCTCACCCTTCTGCTGTCACCTTCTGAAAATAGGGAAATACATTTTATTTCAACATTTTTGTACCTGCCCTCCCATATTCCTGAGACCGAGGACACCAGCTTTAGTAAACAAATAATATAAACTTTGTACACTGTTTTTACTCAAATTGATGAAATAAAAGGTCTTAACAAAAACACTGTGTAGAGTCAGACTTTTATGAGATCTTACATTAAAGAAAAACAATTGAGTTGAGACCAGCACTCGAAACAACTAAAAGTCTCACATCTGAATAAACCATGTTGTGAAATATTGATTACTGTCTGTGTCTAGACATTCCCACTGTGAAAGTACAGTAATTAAAACTTTAAAAGGAGTCGTAAAGAAGGAAATCCATTCTTTTCTATTGCTCTTAAGTATAATTTGTTCACACAAATGTCTTCGACTTCCTATTCCCACCTTAGTTCCTTGTTTTTCTCCTTGATCATACATTTTCATACAAAGTTATTTAAACTACATGAAAATCTACCTCATCAATTTGGTTGTTTTGGCTAACCATGATCATGGATGGATTACTGAACCAGCCTGCAGGGCAAAGGCCTAGGGGCCCGAACATATCAGTGGCGCCCTTGGCCTCCACCTACAAAATATTACTCAAAGAGATGAGTACCGACCAGGAATAGGAATCAAAATAACCACAAAGAAATGTAAAAGGAGCACAAAGGGACACACAACAACCACAAGCACACACAAAAGAGAGCATCATGACTATAAAGACACGCTAAACAACAACAAAAAAGGCTAACCAAATACAAAGTCTCTGTTTTGAGGTGGTGGGGCTCTTTGCATTTTGCCAGGGGGCCTACTGTCTCATAATCCGCCCTTGCATGCCTTTTAAGGTGTACCTTGACTCTCTCCTCTAGTGAAAGCTTGCTCAACAGGAGCCGGATTCGTGTTTATCTAAACCTCGCTATGATGGCACCCTACAGACGCATAAAACGCAGCTAAGTGTTTGAGACAAATGTTCCAGCGGCACACGACGGCTCCTCTGACTGTGTCTTGGCCGTGTTCAGTGCTCTGCAGGACTACTCAGGTCCACGTCTGGGGCTCTGCAGCTGGTCTGAGACGGGAGAGAGGCTCCCCGCGGGACCCGGGGCAGATGGTACAGTCTCTGGAGCAGATGTTGACAGCCAGAGCTCACAGTCTGTCTTTTGGCCAGCTGCAACGCACAGCGCCACACAGTGAGACCGAGGCTTGGCCCAGTGTGGCGCTCACCTGACAACCGAACCATCCCTCACCTGAGTCGAGCTGAAACAGAAACACAGAGCAGAGCTGAGGCCGCGGCTCCACAGGCCTCCCCTGGGTGAGGTAGTGTTGTGCTGGGTGAGGGAAGTGTCACTCACACATCATGGACGCCAGTGATGCTCTCTTTGTGAACCAGACACAAAATGTCCTCTTATATGTCCAAATATAGAGGAGGTGGAGGCTGACATTTATATACAATATATCTTGAAAATGGGATTCCTTATTTCAACATGAAAGGTAAAATACTTTATCCAATAATGATTTTGCCTTCAAATGTATATAAATGATAAATAAGAAGTCGTACCGAGGCAGGTGAAGGTGAGGATTTGGAAGCTTTGAGATGACAGATTTAAATGCAGTTGCCACTAAAAATCAAGAGGATGTCATTTATACTTATGATAAAATATTCTAAAGAAATTAGCCAATTAATGCATATTTCACTTGGAAACCATTTTATAATTTATATAAAAATCTTCTTTCTCGCCTGTCGTGAGCGCAAGATCAGCTGGAGAGGCAGGCTTCAAATGTAATTCTCCTTACTGACTGCAATATGCTTCTACAAACAAAAAGACACTGAAGGAGAACGTGAAAGCAGGAGCACATATGACATTTGTTTAGCCCAGGATCACAAGTCACAAATGTGCCTTAAGGGGCTTTAGAATCTGTTCTACATCGTACACCCTCTATCATTTGATCCTCAATTTGCATAAGGAAACCCGTTAACCTTTATTTGTGAAATATGTGAATGTGCAAAGTTATCATTCAGCCATCATTAATTGTATCCTTTTGATTTGCTTTTCCATACAGTGGCATGTCAATGTGTTTAAGGTGAAAATAAAAGTGTTTTTGCTGTTTCATGGGGCTTGGTGGAAGAGAGGAATTTCAGGGGCTTTTCAAATGTGTGACAGAGGTCAGGGCCTTCAGAAACCGGTTCAACTTGTTGACTTCAAGCCCCTTCAAAACTCAAAGAGCAGGGGTGAAGTGGAGGGGAAAACACACCCAGACTAAGTAAACTGACCTTTTTTAGAATATCTATCTGCAGGTCAATGAACTCCAAGTCTATTGAGTCCTTGTTATATGTAGAAAGATTATTTTACCACAAAGTAGAGATGTCTTCCTCCTCACATGGATAACGTGATGTTGCAATCCCCCCTTTTTACATAGGCCTACTACTAACGCACTGGTAGCAATTTAATGATGGTTTCTAAATTACATTAACACAGCAAAACATTAAGACGTTATGGGCCCAGTGAAATTCCCTCTAACATCCTGAAACAATCTCCTGACAATAGTGGGAGTTTTGCTTGAGATCGCTACGTTAAAGATGGAACTATAACGCCATCTAGCGGCTACTGGTCTCATGTAAAAATCATTTCAGGTTGACTAATGTTCCATATCCACACACACGATCACCAGATGTTTTGTTTGGTTTTGAAGGAAATTATTATATAGACTGCGTAATGCATGTTCAATTCAATTTTGCGTTTGAAATTTGAATATACATTTAATTTAACCTATGCCTAATTACTCGTGCTCTAGGCTCTTCCACACCTTTCAACAACAACAATTAACCTCTGTTTGACTATTAATCCAGTCTTTTCCCTGATGACGCATTAGAGACTCCTATATCAGTTTGTTGCTACATAAAAACATTACATTTCTGTATATTTTAGCTGGTATATTCCGTCCTGTTGATGAGCCAGAGTGACACACAAGATAAACAAAGTCCTGTGGCCGTGCACAGAGACAAAGATCGTATATACAAGATGACTCGATGGTTACAAATTCTAGCCAGCAATAATGGTGCTTAATCCGTACACATGCGTTCTTCACCTGCAATTTTATTTTTCTAAGTTAATAATAATAATAATACATTTGATTTGTAAAGCACCTTTCATTGCTAAAAGCAATCCTAAGGTGCTAAGTAAGTAAGTAAGTTATTGCATACATTTCCACTAAAGCCAACAGAAAGCAGCTTTAATTGGAACGATTTTAAAAATATTACTGCAAACCTTTTTGCCTAGTAAGGCTGTTGTCATTAGTTGCAATTAAAATTGTCAGCAGTTATAATGTTATAATGATTAATCAGTTTAGTTAATTTTTTTGATAGGCCTTGTTTTTTTTATAAAAAACAAAATAAGCGTTTTGAATACAGGACTTACTTGTTGTAACATAGTACTTTAATGTATAATAGTGGAGTTTTGCTGCTTTAACTTCTGCAAAGGTCAAGGATATAATATGCTTATTCCAAATCTGTCCAAACACATACACCACAAATGACCAAAACAATTCAACTAAAAAAATGTTGTTCCATTGTCAAACAACAATTCATAACATATGATAGATTATTCTTTTGTTTTAATTACACTAAATTCAATAATATTACTTTTTTTTGTTCTAAACAAAACTAATATGGAATTCTATAATGATACTAATGTTTTAACTATGCTAACGAACACGTTTTTGTGTTTTCATAGTTTCTACATTTTGTCTGCACCTGGAAACCATCAGAGTGAGAACTCTTCCCTCCCTCACCTCTCAACTCAAACTGGTAAAGCGTTTGATGGACTTGTCACGTGACGTCACCCTCTGGGCAGAAGAGGCGTTGGAGAGTTTCGCCCGGTTGTCATTCCCAGAGGAAGAAGAGGGTGTGATCGACATTTACCTGTCCAGACTTACCTGGTGCTGTTGCTGTATATGTTGGTCGTCGAGTTTCCTCTGCTGTACGACTTTAAACACTGGCTTCACTTAAGAGTAAAACGGAGAAGGCATTAAAGGTACGTTGTTTGAAAAGAATCATTGGAAAACGCTTGTTTCGGTGTAGCGGAGACTTACTAACGTTAGCTAAACCGCTTCACTGTCACCGACAGCGTCAAACAATCCGCGGTGTAATTTGAAAGAAAATAGCACTGACATTACGAGACAATACATAGCTTGTAAAATCAAATATAAATACCGTGTTGGCCAATATTTCCCATGCCGTAATGTTTAGTCAGCCAAGGTTACAGGAAGTAAAAACCTGACCACTGTTAAGTTAGCTACCTTTCCCACTGGCGCTACTTTGCTACAGGTTTCCCAGCATGCTTCATGAGACAGACAACAGGAGTTTATAATGTCTGCTGTCCTTTTATTTACTGCATGTGTGAGTTGTGTTAACATACTGAATACCATTCATTGTCCCATTGAGACTTGCCTCTCTTTAACATGACTCACCAACATACAACATATGTTCAGAGTTGTTATTTAATTGCATTGTTTCAATAGTATAACTGCCAGACTGGAATGTAATGGATAAACAGGTCTTACTCAGGTGAGGTGGTAACTTCCCCTCAGTAATCTCTACAATAAAGCACCAGCTTGTTTAGTAGGACATTGTTCAGGGAGACAGGTATTGAGTTTGGATCATGCTTTCTGAATGTCACTCCTTCAGTCCTCAGGTTTCTTTAAACTATTTGTATTGTTTTCTTTTCCCAGGATGCTAAGAGGGTCCTGACGCGTGGCCCCAACATGAGTGTGACGTCATGGTTCCTGGTCAGCAGCTCTGGCACACGCCACCGGTTGCCACGGGAGATGATCTTCGTTGGCAGGGATGACTGCGAGCTAATGCTGCAGGTGGGTGAATTTGTATGTTTAAGAAAGGTATCGTGTGTGCGTTCGCCTTGGTGATGACATTGTAGAGAAGTTAGTGTTTATATGGCAAACACCAGCAGAGTGGAAGCCTGTCAAAAATGATGTCTGACAGGACAGCTAGTCACAGAACCGTGTGAAACACCAGCGGGAGGCTCCCTACATGCTTCGTTTGTGTGTGTGCATGTGACACAGCCTCAACACTGAGTTGCCCCTGACGGTCCTTCAAACAATGACTTAAAACGCAGCTAAAGCATTCCACTGTGTTGTTTTTCCATGCAGCGTCCGTTATAAACACAATTTCTTTTGTGGGTTTTGTATAATACTCTCCCTCTCATTTTCTCCACTCTCTGCATTTAGCCCCGCGAAAGAGGAATGTTGCCTCAGAAACAGTTGTTTATACTTTACTTAGTAAGTGCTTTATGCTCAGAAAAAAGCCTCCCGACCACAGATGTCGGTCGGATTGAGAAGTTGCTCATGTCCACATTTAGGCGTTGCTGGATCCAAGAAGAAACCTCAGCTTCTCCCAGTCTGAAATGATGCAGACTTTTCTGTAGCTCCATTTAGTTGCTGAGCACTCCTTCCTGACCTGGCTCACAGTCAGTGTCTTCTTTTAACCCTTTAATGTTTTTCTTTCCGTGGCTTATTGCATTTTTCCTTTTCAAACAACTGTTGAATATCTGTAACATGAGAATCCTGTTTGGCTTGAAAAGCAGAGATTGAGTCAAAGTCCTCTCACTTAGAATAGCCGAGGGCCTCGACTTGAATGTTTGGACTTCCCATGACAACTGGTGTCCGATCAGCGTGTCTATCTCCATAACCAGTAATCAGACCCTAAGCCTCCTCAAACGTGTGGTATACTTATTGTTTCCTAGCGGCCGTGCACACATTTTCTAGTAGGGCAGAATTAAGTTAAGGGTCCCCAAATTAGGAATGCATTTTTAGTTCTGTTGCACAGTTAACCTAATCAAGTAGCTAAACAATAAGCCATACTTTATAGGCAGTGCAGTACTAAAGCTATTTGGAAGTCCTCTTAGTGAAAAGGCAAACACACACAGACATTATATACAGCCTGTGTTCCCTGTTTATCCCAGTTAGTAGGCGTGTGGGAGTTTTTCCAATGCTACAAATGTACAATTGAATCACAGTAGTCATCTCAGTCTTTGTGGTTTTTGTGATGAGGAAGCCCAGAGTGCATAATGAGCAGAGAGGAGAGCATGAGTCAGGCTGAGTCACGTGCACAGTTTGCGCATAATTGATGGGCAGTTGAAATAAGCACATTTCCACTCTGGTGAATGGCAGTTGGACTGTGGGCAACAGGTCAGAGCTACGCTGGCAGAGTTTGGTAGATGAGGGCCATCTAAAAGTGTAATCTACAGCAATGTTTAAAGGATTGTTTGTGGTGTATGGACAGGGTCTGACTCTGCCTAAATGTTCATTTTCATGCCCTCTCAAGTCTTAAATGTGGATCATAAAGAAGTGCTGATAATGAACCTCCGTACCAATGACATGATAAATTCATGGAAAGTAGAAAACATGCTCATACAGTTTCCAGGAACTCAAGCTGATGCCTTCAGATGCCTAGTTATGTAGTTAGTCGGCGGGTGACTTCTTACGTTGGAGGTTGCTTGAAAAAGGACAAATGATTAAACATTGATCCACCAATGGTTGAATCTCGAATGACCTTTTCCCTTTACTGTCGTTCCAGTCCCGCAGTGTGGATAAACAGCATGCTGTCATCAATTACGACCAGAACACGGACGAGCACATGGTGAAGGACCTGGGCAGCCTGAACGGGGTGAGTGAGTCCATCTTTAGTGTCAGAATACCTGTGATAGAGGAGCCAGCCCCTGGGCCCCCAGGAGACTCCTAATCACGTCCACATCCATATCCCAGAGCACAGACTGCCTCTCTGTGTGCGCCACCGACGGTTGGTGGTAGTAATCAGGAGACTGGCTTTTCCTGCTGGCCTGGAATCCCTTTTTTCTTTTCTCCCATTCTTTCTATCTCACTCGCTAACCCCCACCTTTCTCCCTTCAGCGATCTGTTGCCACTTCACTGCACCATTATCCCTCTGAAATCCAGAGTTGAGCAGTGGGAGAAACCCTTCATTGTTCTCAGAGTGTTTCTTTCGGCCTGGGTAACTGCAGCCAAACTAATCAGAGCAGAACGGCACAAGGAGCTGAAACTGAAATCCAGCATTGCTGCGTTTTCCTCCAGTTATCTTAGTCTAGTCCCTGTCTCACCTGTTTAGGCACATGTTAACATGATTGATCAACACATTCAAGCACAGTTGCATTTATTCACCTCCACATGGCCATTAAGCATCGTACAAAAACAGAGACAGTCGTTGCATAACAGCATAATCTCTTCAGAGTTTTTATGTGCCTGGGATTAGCTTTCAATGGAAAAAAGGGCCGATTTGCAAAGCACCTTACCGTATCTGGGTGCATGCCAGTAGGAATGACCTGTGACTCAACACATTGACTTCATTAGTGACCAGCGGACGGTAGTTGAGCTTGATGTTTCTTGTCTTTCTTTTGCAGACATTTGTGAATGACCTGAGAATCCCAGACCAGACGTACATCACGCTCAAGCTCTCTGATGTCGTCCGTTTTGGCTATGATATCCTTTTTCTGTATTATTCATTATAATTATAGACAAATGTTCTGCGTAACTGTGTGATTTGATGTAACCCAGTTTCAGTTGGTGATTAGCAGCCCACGCTGAAATAAGCCAATGTCTGGCAGCTGTTTGAGGCACACATTTTTTACATTTGATTTTCCCTCTGTGGTCTTTCGCTACATTGGCATGTTAATCCCCTGCGGTTTTTCAGTCAGGGGGTTTAGATTATGGTCAACTGTGCACAGAAAATCTCCTGCCTCCTTTGACCCCAGGGCATAACACTCACAAATATTGAATCTTAAATATCACTGGGGGGGGAAGTTGTTAAGGGAATAGAGACATCGAGCAATGTTTAACCCGTCTGGTATTTCATTATTTAAATTGCAACAGGCCTGTACTTCTTATCCGCTTTTCTACTTCTTGGAAGCAGTAGAAGAAAGTACTTTTGACCTCTTGAGGGGTTAAAACCAAGCATGATATTATATTCAGTATAAATGTATTAAAGTAACTGCTCATGTACCATACTTTAGGTAACAGATCTGTATTTCTTTCAAGTCCCTTTCCCAACAAACATCTTACTGGTCAGACTCCGAACTGTGCATATATATTCTTAGCAGACATATCCTCACATTGTTTTACAAAATGGTAGGTATGTGTTCTTTAACTCTCCGTGCACATGCTCATGTATATATCCTGGAGAGGAGTCAACACAAGGTCCCAGAGGAAGCTCTCAAAGTAAGTAAAAGCAATAGCATGTGCCCTTTTGGAGCTAGCAGTGATTACTTGCCATGAATCCTTGATATTAATAGAGTGAAGCGCCCCTTTTTTGTAGTATAAATGATTCTGTCTTTTTCGAATTTGACAAGGATTACAAATGAATAGACTTAACCTATTACACAATATGCAGCTTTTCCATTGGAGGTGTGAATGTAATGTGTCTGTGACCTTAGTTTGTCAGGTTCCCGTGCCAACAGTCGTCAGCCTCCTTGATAAGCTCTGTGGTCCGAAACAAATTGGCTAACTGGTGTTGGAGTGTTTGAAAAGACTTAGTTCAATTCCAAATGAAAAGAAAGATACACTTTGTAGTTTTAAACTGTTAACACAAATGTTTACCAGTTCAAAATGCCAATACTTCAACATTTGAAATTGTAGTATTCATTGTCAACAAATAGAAATATGAGCAGGAGTCCATGGTGGAGACTCTTCCTGTTACCCTGTGTGTCTGAGGACAGGAACATCTGTACTGATTGTTGGCAGAAGGTTTCTAACATCCTGTTTCCTCTCCTTGTGCAGCACGAGAAGTACACCAGCCAGTTGCAGCTTGGTATTAAAGCCCTGCAGGCCAAGGCAAAGGAAAAACAGCAGCTCCAGAGCTCGGAGAAGAGCAAAAGCTCTGTGTCCAAACTTCAAGACAAGGCCGAGCGAAAAGCCCAGTCTCTTACAGGTACACAAACCTCATATAACAGATATGAGCAGGAAGTCGGCAGCTTTTATGGATACAGAAGCAGGGTAAACATTATTGTTGCCTGTGGGGAAAATGTTCCAACTTAAGTGGATTTGAATACCATGTCCAAGCAAGGAAGAGAAGTGTCTGCGCCTCCATGTGCTACAGGGCTTTGACGGGAGATCACTCTATGAGGCGGCTGTGGCGTCTTTTATTAACAGCTTCCCTGGTGTGAGATTAGGCTGCCGTGTGAGTGGCGAGGCTGCAATCCTCTGGTGTCAGTGGAGAAATAGATCTTGACATCCCAGAGTTGGCAGAATGAGAGCTTTCCCGACTAGCCCTGGGTAAGGAGTTAAGGACAAACAGTCTTATCTACGTCATTCATCCCCGACTGCTGACGAGGGGCGGCAACCATGGTGCTGATGGTTCAACGCGAGCAAGAATTAGAAAGGTGTAAAGGTTCTATCAATTGATCTGGTGGTGGCTTTGTTGCTGCTTGTACTACCAGTGGCTGCTATGGCCTTCTGCCCTGAGCCGTACTGAGTACATCCTGCTGTACAGTACAGGCAACAGTTTAACAGTCGAATAATTGTTAGTTCAAGCGAAGCACTTTGTGAATGAAGCTCATTCATAGGGACAAAACCTATTCCAGCTGCTGTTGATTTTGTAATTCTCGCGCTTTCTGCTCCTAATCGCCCCTGTGAGAGAGAAGAGTACAACTGTTGCTTAAAATAGGACTTTCCCAACATTAGACTCCCAGAGTGCAGTACAAACAACCCTTTGAACTTTGGAAAACATTTAGTAAGATGGGAGAGCGGTTGTATCGTGCAGCTAAAGCTAACCACAGTGATCCTGTAAACCTGTGACTGCAGACTCTTTGTTGAACGCGCCGTGTTTACCAGGGGCCCTGCACTCACCCTGCAGTGTGATAGCAGCCTCTCCCTGTGTTGTTGTGAGCTAGTCTACAGAGATAACACACTAGCCTCCTCTGTCTCGCTCGATATACAGTCACAAGAAGATAAGGAATGCATTTCATAGTATGCTACAGAAAACAAAGCTGCACTTGTGTAAACACATTCTATTTCCATCACTGTTATAAATGAAAAGTCTGCCACACCAGAATGAATGAATATCTGTTGGCTTCAGGCAAATGGATTGGCTTTGGCTGGGCTTGTTCGACTGGAGACCTTAATAACATATTGTATTCTGGTGGTTACAATTGATTTTGTTGTCAAATTCAGTCGCTTACAGCATAAAGTGCTGCGAGAGCCGTGTTTCTCTTTTTCTCTGTGCTCTTAGTTGTGTTCCCCTGCAGCTGGGCAGGATGTGGAGTGTGTCCAATCCTTGAGCTGTCTTCAGGGCAGGACGCTACACTTGTACAGTGTGTGCCTCAGGCCTACTTCACTCTGCCAGGTCCTGAGGCTACTTAGTATTTACTGAAGGGGCACAAAATGGATATTTGACGTCTTCCCTGATACTGCACACCTCAGCACTTCATGATTTAAACAGCCTGAATGCTTAAACCCTTTTTTAACCGATTGATCATGTAGTCATTTACCATTTTATCATGTTTTCATACTAAGATGACCCAAAACATTATCCATCCTGACAAATCCTAAATCTAATGTGACTAACATGAAAGTATTGGGCTGGAAAAGTATAAGAATGAAAGCTTTTTGTGAAGCCACATATTCAGGACAAACATTGAAAAGGATTTTTGGCAAATTTCCTTCACTCTTATCTTTTTATGTAAATCTTGGCCTGCTTTTAAATCTTGCTCTAAATGTCCATAAAAGCTGAGCATAGCTCAGTCCATTTGAGTTGTGACACCCACTCATGCTTGCCTTAGCTAAAAGGGGAGTCTTGGATAAGGGGAAAGGAATTAGTAACAAGCCCCTCTGCATCTCTCGTCGCTGTGTTGATGTCTTATTGTGAGTGTCCAAGGCAACAGTGGCAAAGTGCTGTTGATGCTTAGAGTTGTGAAGCCTCCACATCAGAATCCAGAGAGCGTGCTTAGCCTGTGTATCAGGCCAACAAGCAGCTTCTAGATGATCTGATTAGTGCCGTATAGGCTCGCCGGCATGTGTGAACACTGTCAAGCCAGCGGCTAAACTCCAGTTACCAAACAGCATCAGGGAGAATACCTGCATGGTATCCAAGGTCAACAAAGTGCAACCAGTGTGTCGCCGTCGACAACCAGCCTCACGTTACATGCAGTTGTTATGCCATGTTTTATATTGTTTCTTTCTTTATAGATTAGGATTAGCTTTGTCCCGATTTTCACCAGAAGGATTATGTTTTGGTGGTTTGTGTGATACTGTATGCATCCCAGCTGGACCCCCACTATTCTCTCTGTGTACGGGCAATGGGGGGGGGGGTTTAGAAAGCCCAAAAGCTGCCGTGTTTAATGTCCTGCTGAGCTCCAATGTGTCACAGGACCAAACTTAGACACAACATTGTTTTTTCATTTAACTAACAGATTGCCCTCTCAATGCAATGTATATGTAAAGTCAGCTCTGTGTTCGGCTCCTGCCTGAATTGATCCACGGGCCTCATAGTGTCCGTTTGTGTGTTAGCTTCCACAGAGTCTCCCATATCCAAGCCCACTCCTCTCTATGGCCAACCATCCTGGTGGGGCGAAGATGAGGAAGCAGCCAGCAAATCCAAGAACAGAGGTGGAAAATCACCAGAACAGGAGTCTCCAGGTTAGTGTCTTCAAATGGTACTAATGTGTACAAACAACAGACTTAATTATAGTATTTATACATAAGTATCATTACAGCAGAATGTCATTTTATACTAGTCAGTACTACAATTGCATTGGATCTTCCCACATCTGTCAGTCAGATCCTGATTTGTAATGACATGTTTTCTGTGGCTCTGCTATCTAACGCCCTTTGTGGGTCAGTCAGAGATGGATGGTAAGAAGCACAGAGCAGGTCCCTGGGTGCCAGTTGTGGAGTGTTAGCCAGGCTGCACCGTGCCAGGCCAGTGGGCAGTGCCTGTCAGCCTCGTGATGGATTATGTCCCTCTAAGCCTCTGGAGGGGGGAGGAGGGGTAATTGTTTGCCTCATGGTGCCCAGGCTGAAACAGATTATTTCCTGCTCAGCTACCCTCCGCTGGACTCTGAGCTCCTAAAGTGATATTTGGCCACATCTAACTGGCACCCAAACACACACTGGCAGATTTGTTTTCTCAGTCAGATTTGTTTTTTGTGGCTCCCACTTTCAGGGATTTTGTGAAATTCTATCATCCCGTCATCTCAATGTGTTGCTTTGTGTACATCTGACATTTGATTGACTTTCAGTGTGAGCTGAAAGAGGAAATTGAAACAAAACACATACAAATGTTTCTATTTGTAATGCCAACAATCTCTCTGTGTTTCTCCTCCCTGTACAGAGCCTGCTAAAGACGTGTCCAGATATGAGGTCAACGGTTCTCTGTCCGAGAGTCAGGCCAAGTCCATCCTATCATACCGCCGCGAGCCCAGCTACTTTGAGATCCCAACAAAAGAATTACATCAGCGAGCTGCCAAGAAACCCGAGTCGCAGGTCCACGAGGTGCCCACCAAAGACACTCCAAATCCCGCTGACATCGTCTCCTCTACGCCCCCCGTGGTACAAAGCCACGCCTCCTTCACCATCGAATTTGACGAATGCACGCCAGGGAAAATGAAGATCAAGGACCACGTGACAAAGTTTTCTTTCCGCCAGCAGCACAAGTTACCTTCCACAGAGCACGTCACCGCACCCACTGAGGTGATTTCAGCAGAAAGCAAAGTTGCTGATTGGCTGGTCCAAAGCAATGCTAGCATGAGGCGAAAGTCCATAGCTGAAGAACTGTATGGCACAAACGGTTACTCATCGCCTCTGAGGATCACCAAGGGTAAGTCCCACATTTTCTTTTACCTATACTGACTTTAATTGAAATAGTGTGCTAACTTTTGTCTTTCCATCATTAGCTAACCACAGTGAAGATGACACTCATGTTGAATCAAGAGATCCTGCAATAAATGGGGGAGATTTCCTCCAATCAGATCCTCTGAGTGGGTCCCATGTGTCCCCACAACCCCTGAGAGCCTCCCCACCACAACGCCTCGCCTCCCCTGACTCTGAGGAGGCGTTGTCCCGCTCTCCACCAGAGCCTCAGTCCCTGTCCAGTCTTGGCAAGGCTGAGCCTCACCAAGCCTTTGTCATTGAATTCTTTGATGAAGGCCCACGAAAGAAGCGCTCCCAGTCCTTCACCAATAACCCATCTCCACCCGAGTCCTCATGCCTCAGGGTCCCTTTGGATAAGGTGAAGAAAAGCTCAAGCCCAGCGGTGGAGAGACGAGGCCCACCTCCAGCCTCCACCACCACCCCAACCAAACGATACACTGTCCCTCTAAAGGGCCCTGCTTCCACAGGCTTCCAGAGAGCTGGCTCTCTACGCAGGGAGAAGACAGAGGACCGGATGAGCACCAGCTATTCCTCCCGCTCTTCTTCCTCCGTGTCTGCAAGGCCCTTTAGCAGTGTGGGCCGGAGGTCTAAACTCGCCCAGGAATTTAATGCGGAATTTCTCAAACAAGCAAAGCAGGCCGCGTCTGCCAGCTGGGAGGAAAATGCATCTAGTCCCCCCACAGCAGCTAAAACGGAGACAGTGGCCATATCGCAGAGTAGTCCCGCTCCATCTAAAGCTCCATACCAGCCACAGACTTCCTCTCCTATCCACCAGCCTGTTGCCCTCAAGGCCCCTGTGATGGCCCCGGTAACTCAGAGTGTGGAGGTCACAAGCCCCACTGTTGGTCCAAAACACGAGGAGGAGGACAGTTTGAGTGACGCAGGAACCTACACCATTGAAGCCGATATTCAAGATAAAGAGCTAGAGGAGGCACGGACCAAGATTGACCAGGCAAGTTTATTTTGCGCTTGATTTGAATGAATGTGCTTGAAGGAAATCATCTTTGCATTTTCACCAGTGTCCTCTGTCTCTAGGGAGAAAGTTCCACTCCGAAGGAGCCGTGTACTTTGTCCGACTTATCAACCTGCACTGCTTTGTTCCTGACAGGTGTTTGGTGTTTTACAGAGCCCAGAGCGAACCAACCAGACTGAAGCAGATTCTTCCTCAGAGTTTAGTCCTGTTCTAGTTGAGAGCAGGGAGCAGGATAGGCAGAGTAGCTGTGGGGAGGTGAGGCCAGCTCCAGAACAGGGACAGAGTCTGGTGGAGGTAAACCTTCTGCTCAGGGTGTGATCAATGTTGGAGTGGAATAATCTATATGTTATCGCTAATCCAATGTCTGTATGTGCCTTCTCGGGGTTTCATCTGTGTTTTTGGTGTATCTCTGTCTCCATTGATTTCTAGATTTGCTTCATCTTTCTTCACAGGTTCTTGGTATTTCTTTGCTTTCTAACCAGATGCAAGATAATCTTAGGGATGCACCAATAGCGAACATATGGCCGATACTGACTTGGAAATAGCTGGGTCGGTTAGTGGTTAAAACGGGGCCATCCTATTCAATTACCAAATATCATATACTGGGATTTAATGAGCGATTTGTTGCTGCAATTAAAAGGTTAATGCTTGAATTAAATTCCTTTTTAACTTTCGCGATTTTTATTTTATTTTATTGGAATTATTACTTGATATACACACAAAGTCCAGGTATCAGGTCAGGCCTGAAGAAGTCATATCGGTGCATTCCTAAATCTTACTCATGAAACAGATGACATATGGAATTGTCTGTGTGTCATATTAACTTTGTTTTCTAAGGAAATCATATAAATAATAACTGCTTTCTTTTAAGTGTTTAATCTACTATCTTTCTTATATTGATTAAGTTGTCTGTTATCTGGTGCAGGTCCAGGCAGCAGGTGCAGTGTTGCAGGGGGCTCCTAAGTGGATGTCTTGCTGGGCCAGCCTGGCAGACAGCTACACAGAATCTGGCCCTTCGTCTGGCCTCTTTGACATCTCCTCCCAGATGGAGCTGTCAGCAGGGGGTAAGCCACCTGACGAGACACCAGACTATTTGAAATGATAATGAGACGCCCTGATGAATATGAATGATTCCGTTTTAGTACGTGTCATTAATATGCATTCAAACTGTTTCACTGCAGCACGAGGATCAATCACCAACAATGCCACGCTCACCCGACACAACGACAGCGCCGACAGCGACGGTTCAAGAGCTCGCCGCATCCTGCCCCAGGTGCCGCAGAGGGAGAAGAGTGACATTCCAACTCCCAGCATTCATGTTCATTATGACCCGCATTCGACATTTATTGTAGGGGAGAGGGGCTTGGCGACCCCCAGGTTTCAGGAGGGCCTTCACAGGTTATCGGTGCAGGACGACGTAGAGCCCGACAGCCTGAGCGATGCCAGCAGGTCAGACGACGGTTCCATCGTGGAGCAAAAGAGGAGACAGCCGTCGGACACAGAAGAGAAGACAAAAGAGAACAAACTCTCAACAAAGTCTACGTCATTCTACATCGGGTCCGAGGAGTCACAACCTGATCGTGGGGGCTCAAACTCAAGCACTGAAAAAAGAAATGGAACCAAAATGTTCTCAACAGCCACTCTAACCAAACCCAAAGGTAGCCCGGACTCAGGAAAAATCAAGCCCACTTTGTCGGCTCCTGTCCTAAATCAGAGTTCAGACTCAGAGGGTAGTGTCTCTCCATTAATCAGACAAGAGAGCTACACTAAGGAGCAGCCTAGCAATGCCAGATTACCCAACATCTCTATCCTGTCTCTTCAGAGAGAGTCTGAATCATTCCAGGGTGCCGTCAATCAGGACACACATTCTTACCTCAAGGACACGGAGGACGTCCTGGCTGCTTTGGAGGCCAAACTCCGAGCAGGACAATCAGTGAAAACCCCGTCTCCTGTAATGGACTGTGTGTCTACGGAGTCTGATGTGGATACCTCCAGCACTGTGAGCCAACATAGCAATAACACCAGGTCAAATATACGGACAAGTAAAGCCTCTGCTAGTGACCTCCATAGGGATAGGTCTTCAGGCAGTATAGCTAGTCAGGACTCAAGTTACCAGTCCACTACATCGGAAAAGATGCGTTCTCTGGAAGCAGATAGCAACAATCAGACCGGGTTTTTCAGGAGGCCGGTTGGACTCAGACGTAGTGTCGGGAAACACGGATCCACAGACCTCAGTGACGACCCGCAGAGCTTACCTTACTCTGATCAGGAGTCCAACAGCTACCAAACACGCAAAAAATACACTGTGCCCCTTCAGAAAGAGGACTCCAAGACAACAAGAACGTCCATGGCCTTGAGTCGGGCCAACAGCTTGACAGCCCCGAGACCCACCAGAGCGTCCATGCTCCGCCGTGCTCGCCTGGGAGAAGCTTCAGACAACGAGGGCACGGAGACGGACAGGATGTCCCAGGAGGCCGGCAATGCCCCGGCTAAGCAACCCCAGGAAACCAAGAAACTCTCCAGGCTGGACATGCTGGCGATGCCTCGTAAGCGTGCAGGCTCGTTCAACACTCCCAGCGACACGGAGTCCTCTTCAGCCCCAATCCGCTCGGGATTCTCCAACCGCAGCACGGAGTCAGGAGGCAGCTCGGCTCGGAGGGCCTCCACTTCGGGGCTGAAGCCTGCAGAGAAGCAGCAGAAAGCCCCGCCGAACAAGGCCCCTCTCACAAGGGGACGCTCAAACAGTGCCAAGTATACCGGCAGCACCACAAGTGAGTATAATACAGAGATTCCCATGAACCTGTTTCATTGGGTTTCAAATATTATGACTGGTGTAACCACTTACTGCTGTTTTAGTCAAATCTAGTATCGTTGAAAACAATCTGAATTCAAAGTATTTCATGATCAACTAAAGTGGTGAGTTGGTTTGATACATTCAGAGTCCTCTGTTTATAGAGTGTCCTTCAGAAAATAACACCGGGGTTCTATACTTTTCTCATAAAAGCGGGTAATGAATCAAACTAACATTACATTGTTTTGACCAGGGCAAGTAGCGCTCTGACTGTTTGGTATTTTCCTGACCTTGACATTCAGTTTGCTCGTCTTCATGGTATTTTGGTGCCTTCACACAGGTGGGAGTCAAGGGGCAAACAGGAACATAAAAAGTGCCCTGCGCATTGTTCTCTGAGGATTATGGGACCTGATGAATATTATAAAGTTAGCCATGTTCAAAATGCTTTATTCTCCAGAGCACTCTCTACTGAAGTATGTGGTACTCTGCTGGTACTCAGATGCTGTTCTGTGGAATGAAGTACTCATTTCAGTTTGTAAATAATGTTTTAACTGGGGAAAAAAAAGATATATTTTCCGTGTAGAAATGAGCACTTCCACAGCAACTTCTCTGTCTCTGGTTCTGGGAGGATTTGGTCTAATATGCTTGGTGGTGTTTTTCTTTCCCATATTCTTTGATGGTATCTCTCCTTCTCTCCCGTTTTCCCAACTTCCTCTATCCTCTCCCTCTGTTACTCAAACCAATTCACGACCCCAAGGCTCCAGGAGACGTCAGAAAGGCTCTGACTACGCCTCTACCTCAGACGAGGAGTACGACTCAAACCAGAGCATTCCTAAACACAAACGCTCCCAACCTTCCTCAGCTTCCCACAGCCCTCGTCATCAGGCTCGGCCTCAGCCCGTGGTCGCGCTGCGCCCCAAACCCCGCAGCAGAGACTCTGAGGACGAGAACAACGAAGGAGAGGCCTATAATAATTGGACCAATCACAGTTCTGAGATTGCAAGGTAAGGTTTAAAGAAAGCCTGACTATAGCCAAACTTCAGCATTTATTTACTGCATTTTCCATTCTAGGGTCTAAACAAATCAACCTTTTGAAATACAGTAGAAACATTTAAATTATAAAGACACTTCTTATTTCTGTCATCTTTCTAACACATATTCCTCGCCTGCTAGGTTGAGTCAAGACCTGGCTAAAGACCTAGCTATCTTGGCGAGAGAGATTCATGACGTGGCGGGTGATGGTGACCCCACAAACCCAGCAGAAGAGATCAGTGCGCCTGTCTCCGCAGTAACCGCTCATGAACAGGTACATCACTTTTTCTTTCTTCAGGCTGTTGCCTCTTAATCTAACACAATAAAGCATTAAGACTCAATTTGATCAAGTGACCAAAACGAAGGATGACCATTCTATATATGTGTTGTCCTCTTTATCACAAACTACACTTGCAGGTTCTCATATAGTACATTTCTCTAGATATTTTACAGTTATGTAAAATAATATTTTAAGGTATAATACATTGAAAGTAAAAATAATAATAACTTTAATTTGTATAGCGCCTTTCATTAACCCAAGTTAAGTTAAGTTAAGTGTTACATTGCAGGGGGGGGGGGGGGGTGAGTGAGTTAATGTTAGAAGGCTTTGTTGAACAGATGAGTTTTCAGGGTTGATTTGAAGATGTTCAGAGAAGTGGCGTTACGGAGTTCAGCAGGGAGGGAGTTCCAGAGGGTGGGGGCAGCGACACTGAAGGCCTGGTCCCCGAATGTGCGGAGGCGTGAAGGTGGAATGGAGAGCAGGCCGGAGTCTGAGGATCGAAGGGTGCGGGATGTATGGGTGGAGGAGATCTGTGAGGTACTGAGGGGAGAGGGCATGGAGGGACTTGTAGGTGATGCGGGACTTGAGCGGGAGCCAGTGGAGGTTGAAGAGAGTGGGGGTGATGTGCTGCCAGCGCTTGCTGCGTGTGAGAACCCTGGCAGCTGAGTTCTGGATGTACTGGAGCCTGTCCAGGGTTTAGCTGGAAACCCCGGACAGGAGTCTGTTGCAATAGTCCAGGCGGGAGGTAATGAAACAGTGAATGAGCTTCTCTGCAACAGAGTCGGAGAGTGATGGCCGGAGTCTGGATATGTTTCTGAGGTGGAAGAAGGCTGATTTTGATACTGACTTGATGTGGTTCTGAAATGAAAGGGTTGAATCCAATACAACGCCAAGGTTGCGGCCCTGAGGGCAGGGGCGGACCTGCCCTCAGGGCCGGTACTGAAGTGGGCCGGTCGAACGATGTGGGCCGGCCGGTAACCGGCAGGGCTCGACATTAAATGGCCCGCTGGCCCGGAAGCACTATTTAGACACCCCGGGCCAGCATAACGTACTTTCCACAAAATATTGCTTTAAAAAAATGGTCCTGTGGTATTGGTATTTTGACTAGCAATTTAGTTAAATTGTTTCGTTTATCAACGCTACAACATAGCGTTCCGTGAGTCGGTTGTCGTTGTTGGGTGAAAAGCAAACAGCTGTTTGCTGCGGAGCGCAGCGGGAGCAGGCTCCCGTGAGCGGGAGCGCGCTCCTTCACTACAGACTATCGCGCCACCTAACCATTCGCCAAATGTTTTTAATACCAGCGGCGGTAACCGGCCAAGCGCCGGGCAAAAAACAATCTTCAAATAAAAGAAAGTCACCGGAGGAGTTAAAGGAGAGTGACAGGGAGCATGAGAAGAAGAGGGAGAGAAAGTTTCAGCCAGCTTGATCGATGGAGTTGGCTTCTATAGAGTGGTGCAGTGACGCGTCCTAAAACCCTTTTTATAATCTATCGATTAGATTTATGATTCGAAAATGATAAAAGTAGGGTAGACATGTGGAGATTATCCGGCTGAACAAAACGTGCATTTATCAAACAGGTTTGTTTTCCACAGACCTTATTTCCAGCTATTTTCCAAAACCCTTGTCGAGGGAACCAGCAGCTTACTTCCTGGTTTTAGGACGCGTCACTGCACCTCTCAATATGATGCCAATATGAACAAGGCCTTCTGTCGGCTCTGTACATCAATGCTGACAAGTAAGTGAAGAGTAGACAATATAAAGGTATTGGCGAAATGTCCCAGCAGTTTAGGATAATGAAGGTTCTAATCAAATCAATTACATAGTTACATGTCTAACTCCTAATGACAGGAAGGCAGAAAGTGCATTATACAAATAATAATAGGCTACTCATAATAGCAGACATTTTTTAACAATGACCACAATATCATTATTTTAATAAACCAAATATGAACAATTGAGGAAAATTAGGAAGAACTGATGATTAAAATGTTGTAGTACAAGTAGTAATGTAGTTAGTGCATAAATTACTATTGCAACAAATGTGTTAATTTTCTTCATTATTAGTCGATTCGTTTTGGACGAATGCTCCGGGCCAGTGGTTACAATGGTGGGGCCAGTGATAATACAAGTCCACCGGCCCGGAGGTAGACATTATTTACCCTTAATGTCTACCGCTAGTAAATTGTCTTTGGGGGCCACAACCATGAGCTCAGTTTTATTACTGTTAAGTTTGAGTAGGTTGGTGGTCATCCAGGTTTTAATTTCGTGGAGGCAGTTGATTAGCGACTGAGGGGGAAGATGGGCAGAGGGTTTTGTGCTGATGTACGTGATGTGGGTGTCGTCGGCGTAGGAGTGGAAACAGAGACCATGGCTGCGGATGATATGACCAATCGGAAGGATTTATATTGTAAATAGAAGGGGGCCGAGCCTTGGGGGACTCCATGATTGACAGAAGCACAGGGGGAGCTGCAGCCAGCGTTTGTGACAAACTCTCCGGTCAGAGAGGTATGAGTGGAAGAAGGGGAGGGTGGAGTCAGTGAGGCCAAGAAGTTCAGACAGGCGGGTGATGAGGATATTATGGGAGATGGTGTCAAAGGCTGCAGAGAGGTCTAGGAGAATTAGTGTAGTGATGGAGCCTGTGTCAGCTGCGATGAGGAGGTCATTGGTGATTTTGATCAGGGCGGTGTCGGTGCTGTGGTGGGTCCGGTAGGCAGATTGAAAGGGTTCATAGAGCTCATGGTTGGACATGTGATGGTGGAGTTGGTCGGCGACTGCTCTTTCCAAGATTTTACTAAGGAAGGTTGGAGATTGGCCGGTAATTATTGAGGTCAGTTGGGTCAAGTCCGGGTTTCTTCAGAATGGGGGTGACTGAGGCGGTTTTGAAGGATGTTGGATAGATGCCAGTTAACAGGGAGGAGTTAATGATGTCCACGATGGTGGGCAGAACAGTGTGTAGTGTTGCCTTTACCAGGACAGTGGTGTCCAGAGAGCAGGTGGAGGGCTTGGCCTTAGAGACCAGCTCAGCGACCTGGACAGCATCCACAGGGGAGAAGGCAGAGAGGTGGCTGTCTGAGGAGCGTGCAGCTGGAGCAGCGGCGCTTGGAGTACGAGCTGTGTGAGGAGCAGGGGGGGCAGGTGCGTTAAGCTGCAAGTGGATGGAATTCAAGTAAGATTGTGTTGCAGCTGGTTCATCGTATCCCTGAGGCTGGACTAAACTACCAGAGAGTGCCACCAAATGCTGCCCCTCCAAGGGAACCGGAGCAGAGCTGCAGTGACCCTGAGGTGAGCTCCAGGCCGCGAGCGAGGAGCAGAGACGAGGTCAGAGCTAATGTGCTACGTCACTTTGAGCAAACCTCTGTGATGTAAAAACATGGGGATCATTGTTTTGTTTTTCCCCAGGTCACTGTGGACAATCTGATGCTAAACCCAGTGTCTCAGGTCACCATGGCTATCAGAGAAAACACTGAGCAACTCGCTGACAAAATTAAGTAAGATGTTACTCGTACATCCTTTATTCCCGTGCTCAGACTGCACTGAGCCAATAATCTTATTAAAGGGGTGTAACTGAGTCAGTCAGCACGAGGATTTATAGCCTAACAGACAATATGGGGCTGAGAGGACTGGGATGTAATCTGCTCAACAGATTAGATGCAGATAAAACTGTTCCTGTTTAAATGTTACCCCCTGAGACATGTAGCCACAATTTGGTGATTTTTTTTACAATTGTTATTGAATTGAAAACCCATAGTATATCAAAAAAGAAAACGTGTATTTTAGTATTTTTCCCTGATTGGATTTAGTTATACTTAGTCTCCAGAATTGGTAAACTATAAGTGACAAATTGACAAGATCAATAATATATTGGACACAAATTAGGATTGCAGTGATAAGTTCACTTTCTGAATCTGTCATTGTGCACACAGGTTACTGTTCCAGGACAGGGTGGATATCTGGGAAGAGATTGATGCAAAGGCTAACTCTGACAATGATGTTCCTGTTGTCAAAAGCGCCAACAAGGTAAGGGACTCGTGTTTGTCAACATTCAAATTGAAATGTGTGCCAATTATTGCTTATCGTATTGGATCGCTGAATTGGACATTTGTACTGCAGGAAATCACATCCATCTTGAAAGAACTCAGGAGAGTTCAGCGACAACTTGAGGGTGAGTCAACAACATTAATACAAACTATCATTTTAATAATTATGTGCAGAGGTGGGGAGTAGTGGAGTACAAATACTTTGTTACTGTACTTAAGTACATGTTTCTGGTATCAGTACTTTACTCCACTGCTTATTTTTCTGACAACTTTTTACTTTTACTTCTTACATTTTTAACACAAACACCTGTACTTTCTACTTCTTACATTTTCAAAACAGGTTTGTTACTTTAGTTTGAATCTGTGTCTGGTAGCGTGATCATTATTATTTAGAGTCATTGCGTGCCTATTGATTTGAACACGATCTGTGTATCCATCATTTCCAGGGGGGTGTACTACGAAGCAGGATTTTCGCTTAGCCGGCTAAATTCAGGGAAAACTCCGGCTTTCCGGTCCTACGAAGCTGGTTCTCTTTTTAGCAGGCTAGATCTCCATGGTAACTTATGCTTAGCGGCTAACCTGGTCGGGACCAGGTTAGGTTGCAGGCTAAGAGCTCAACTCAGTGAAAGCACTGCCTGCTGACCAATCAGAGCTCAGTGTGCGGAGTTTAAAGCGATCAAGTCATATTACAGGAGAAAGGAAATACAGAAAAACTGCCGTCGCAGGAAAGACGGCCGGCAAAAATCACCGACTGTGTGAACGTGAACATTAATAGAATATCACCTCCCATCTTCAGAGCAATCTGACTATTATAACATTAGCGTTAAGAAAGCTTACTTAAATATCTGCCACAACATAAGTAACCGGATCAGAGTAACATTAAGTACAGTCCGCGGCATATCACTTCATAATGTATCATATATTTCTTTATCTGAGTCAGCTGAGCCGTATCTGGCTGTGCAACACTCACAGTGTCACATACTGTATGCAGAAGTATTATTTTAAGCAACACATTAAGTTGACAAAACACTCGAGACAAATGTAATTAAAGTGAGATCCACTCGTGTTTTAGACGGGGCAGTGATATCATAAACCTGTTAATGTACGCATTCAAACACTTTTTCTTTTACCAGCTGTATTCACCTTGCAGGTGCAGCTATGTGGCTTTTATCCTGGATAAAGTGTTTAAGTCATGGATGTTTAAAGTGTAACTTCTTCATATGTCTAATATTATAGTTGACTTTTCATTCAGGAAGTATGACGCTGCGCTGTCAGTATGCTTCTCCATGTTTGTGATTGGTCGAATGCGCCAAATACCACCCCTTTTATGTGAACGCGCACCTAACTAGATAGGACACGGCTGGCTTGAGCGATCCACTTGATAACCCGTGTCGTAGGACCGTTTAGCGAGAGCGCGTATGTTTTTGGATTAGGCCAACCGTCTAACTCAAACATATCCAGGTTAGGTTGAACCAGCTTTGTAGTACAGGCCCCTGGTCTTCTCTAAAAAAAACGTTGTCATGTTGCCGTTGTTCAGCATGGAAACATTCATTAGCTAACAATGACATTATTGTTCTATTAATATAAAGGGAAGTCAGTTAGTCTTTAAAAAAGTTGGTAGTTATGGGAACTTTTTACTTCGATGCCCATACTTCTTTACTTTTACTTGAGTAGAGAAGTATGGTCAGTAATTCTACTTTTACCAGAGTATTTTTAAACACGAATATCTGTACTTCTACTTCTTCTACTACTTGATTATGTGAAGCTAAATATTCAGCTACAAATTACATGTTTTATTTTCCCCTAGTCATAAACACAGTGATGGAGCCCAGTGGGCAGCTTGAAGCATCCAGGGCCTCAGCCTCTTCTTCTTCTTCCGGGGTCCAGCCCTCCAGACCCCCCGCCTCACGGGATTGGAGGACGGTCCACTCTGCCTCCAGACGTGGCGGCGGCCCCCGGCCCAGCGAGAGTGTGAGGAGAGCCGCTGTGACACCAGACGATGTCAGAGCGGGGTATCTGGTGTGAGACCAACACGCAGTTCCCACCAGCGCTGATCTGCTGCTGTGACCCCACACACAGGTGTCGGACCGTTATACGCAATATGAAACCAAGAGGGGGGAAGTGAGAGTGTAAACACAGAAGTGTAGCCTCCTGTACCTCCAAACAAACACTACTGCACTATAAGCACTACACACCCACACAGAGGTGTCATTTACAGTGACCTAAACACCCTTAGAGTACACAAGGCCTACATATGAGGTGAAGATTTGAGGAAGTACCAAAATATTTTCATAAACCAAACCTCGACAAGGCCTCTAGACTATACTTGATTCTCTGTTTTAAAGGTCGACTTCTTTATTTGCCAATGATATGAGAAACATAGCTGATTTTAAAGTTTTTCTATTTATCGTCCTGAGCATAATCTTCTCAGGGAAATCTATGAGTATATAAGATGTCTATGTTTAGTGACAAATCACATTTCTGAGGAAATATTGCTATTTCTTTCGGGTAGAAAGCACTGCAGGAACAGCAGCAGAATGTAGTGTACTGTGTACTCCTGTTCAACCACTTGATTTCCCTTTTTGTTTCCTTCCAATGTTGTTGTCTTCTTGTTGCATCTTTTCTCTTAGTGGACCAGATTTATCAACAGATGTCAAAAGTATTTTTTATTAGGGAGCTCCTTTGTGAGACATTGTAACCGAGACAACATGAGAATTAGTACCAGGACAATTTATGTGATATCACACAGTTGCTAGTATTTATTCTGTTAACATTTCCCAGCGTAGCGACTCTGTGCAGCCCTCCTCAGTGGACGGACACTATTTTGTTCAGCTGAGAATGATAAGGAATGTGTGGTCCGGCTGGTAGAAGGGACTCAGTCTAGTCACCTGGCAACCACACACTCACACGGCTATAAAACCAGGGTTTCCACGCATTCCTGGCCTCTTTACCTTATAAGAGAGGGTTTTTTTATGTGTGTTGAACACAGTTGGGGGCTTACATCTAGTTTTAGTTTTCCATGCCTCAGTCGGCTCTGAAGTTTGGCCAAAGACAATCATAAAACGACTTAATGTGTTTACACTAATCACATCACACCTACAGTAAATATCAGAGCTCTGTGGTTAGACCTGATGTTTCCTCTTCCTCTTCTGATGGGTCCTCACATGACAGGAGTAATGTAAATGTAGCATTTAAGTGACAAAGTCAGCTTGAATCTGAAAGTATAAATCTAATGATTAGTTTGTGACATTGTGTTCTATATGTAAATAAGTAAAGATATTTGTACGTCATAGAAATTACCTCTCAATCGTGTCTTTTGCACATTATCCCCCTCGACTTTATAATGCTGCAAACTGGAAACCACCTCTGCCCTGTGAATGATTGTAAACAGTTGATGCTGTGGAGGTCGAATCGGGTAAAGAAGGTGAGCCAGTGCACCAGCAAGAGTCCCCCCCCCAGTCCAGATTGTACATGTGATTGTAATTGGGAAGTACCTTAAGTGCCACAGAGCTGTGTGGGACAGTGGTTGTTTACAAACTCAAGCTAAAGTTGAATGTTTGTCCTTTAACCTCACTTGCTCAAAGTGTTGCTGCTATTCGTTGTCCATGGGATAGAAAATCTCCTTCGCTTTACTCCATCTTAGTCTAGAGCAGGTTTGAGAGCTGAAATGTCATTCTTGTTTGTCAAATTTGTGACTCCTTTTTTGATATTCAATCAGTTTCTCCTCGTTTTACCCAGAATGATTTTTGTTGTAATCTTGCTGTCTTGTAAGCTGGTATTCATGTGTTGTGTAATTTGTTAGAGAATGATTGCAGGTTTTTCAAATAAATATGATCAGTAAAGTTATTTGTCTTGATCTGTTTTTTTCACTCATTAGATTTTATTTTGATGTTGTTACTTAGCAAAAGCTGAAATGAAAGTGAAAAGAGGAACTGCAGTGTATTCAGTAAAACAGATATCACTTCAGATTCATTTCTAGTGAAGCTGAAGGGGAAGAAGCAAGTTGCCTCTGACATTTACTACATCAGCTTTGTGTAAGTTACTGTTGCTTTCAATACCTATAGTTCATCTTTCTGTCATTACACTGGTCGGATTTCTAGTATGTTTATTAATGTCTTCCTTTGAACAGACAAGGAGCACTAAAAGAAAATGACCTCTTTGTACAGCAGCCTTCATGACAGCTATGTTCCAAACAAAATGGTAGGACAACATTAAATATTCTTTAACGCTGTTTGATTATGACTCATATTTTTATTTGTATTGATTTTCTATCCAACGTGATGTTAGAGGTCGACCAGCTGTGTGGCATTAGCTGTGATTCTGGGCTGTCTGACCGTCTTGGGGGTCCTGCTGGCCATCGCTGTGCTGGAAAGACCAAACCCCCCCAAAGACCATGAGACACTTCCTCAGGGAGCTGGTGGTAGCGTTTTATCTACAGACCAGTGCAGGTAATAATCCCATGGAAGATAGATTTATATAGTTTATCATCTACTCAGTTGACTCAACAGATGCTTATGCGCAACCTTCAATATTCAACATTATGTGTACTGTACAGCTTTTTCATTTTAATTCAGATATATTGTACATATTTGTATTGTTATTTTTATATGAATGCTTGTTGACTTTTCCAATGCTTGCTTTTATTTAGCACCATATGCTTCCATGTTATAGTTTTATCTGCAAGACATTCGAAACTTAACTAAACACTGACTTTATCACTTATGATTATTACAATTTCTAGACCTATCGTATGTCATATTACAAAATAGATCCTTCCTAAATGTCTGTTTTTAATGCTAAATACAGTGTATTCTGTGTTTTAATGTAGCAAATTACCTATGTTGTTTCTCTTTATGACTTTATCTACATCTATTGACCTAATTATTAGAGTCTTTCTCTGAATTATAATTTCCTCCAGTTCTGTTTCTATTCAAGTCCTTCAGCAGATGTCTCTGTGTATCTCTTAGCATGGCCCTGGTGGAGAGCATCCCTCAGCACATGAAGTACAAAGCCAATGCTACGCTTGGCATCCCTCTGGAAAAAGTATGGAAAGATCTTCTCTCCATGGCAACGGCCCAAGTGGACATATCCTCTTTCTACTGGACTCTAACTGGGGAAGACATTAACGTGAACTCTTCCTCTGACACAGCTGTGAGTTATCAACTAAAACAGAAAAAAACACCAAGCCTGCATATTAAACCTGTGTTAAATCTGTAGGTGGGAAAGGTCTTAACTACGGTGAGTTTGTCCTCTGCAGGGAAGAGACATCCTGAAAGCACTGGAAGAGTTGCCCTCCAGGAACGTATCTGTCCGAGTGCTGACCAGTGTTCCCACTGTTAGAACAAACTCCACAGATTTAGAGATCTTAAAACAGAGAGGTAAGGAAAAGGCCCCTCTGTTACCTTCACTGTGGTGAGATTTGTTCCTCATTATGTGAGCCGAACCGCAGTCTCCCCTTCTGTTGTCTGTAGGAGTTCGGGTGAGGAGGGTGAACTTTGGGCGCCTCACGGGGGGCGTCCTCCACAGCAAGCTCTGGATTGTTGACAGAAAACACGTGTTTATTGGAAGTGCCAACATGGACTGGAGGGCCCTCACACAGGTAACACCAACATCTGCAATCAGAATCAGAAACAGGTGTATTGCGGTTAACACATACGAGGAATTGTTCTTGGTGTTATGCTGCATACATAAAAAAAACTATTTAAGAAAACTATAACATTCAAAATATAGTAATTTTTACATCCAATATGGTTGAATTATAGTAGCCGTAGAAATTAAATAAAAAATGGATAAAATAACAATGTGCAGAATTCAGAGGGATGTGCAGTGCTGACAGTATTCTAATGAAACACAAGGTATTGTTTACATTGTGTGCACATGCTTAGTTCATGACTTCATGACTCTCTTCTGTCTGTAGGTGAAGGAACTGGGGGTGGTCGTCTATAACTGCTCCAGTCTAGCAAACGACCTCCATAAAATCTTCAAGTCCTACTGGGAGATGGGACAGTCTCACAGCTTTGTGCCACAGCCCTGGCCTGCAGAGTATGACACTGCCTTCAACAAACAGCACCCCCTACTGGTGAAAGGTGATAATATCTCCAGCAGGCTGTACCTCACGGTGAGTTCCCCTTGGCTTTCACTTCCTTTTTACAGGATAATGTTATTCTGTTGGACAAAGAGCCGACTGTGTGTGGGTTTTCTTTATTTTTTGTTGATTTTAAACATTCAACACGTAATGTATACTTATAAGAACCATCCCTGATTAACATGAAAATAAGTCAAAGAAGAAAAACTGCAGTTAAAAATTAGACAGGAAAAGAAAGAATGAGGAAAAAATACAATACAAAATAGGGTGATACACATACAGGACACATTCATTTCAATTAAATTAATTGATGTCCTTCAACTTAGCCTTTGACTTCAAAATTCACTCAAAACATGTTTTAACAAAAAGATTTCCCAAATATTAACAAACTCAGAAACGTTCTTCCTCACTATACAGTTTCCTTTGTTCTACTGGACAGTGTAAAGCGGTCTACCCACAGCTCGGGAATTAAAATCTGTTACCACTTAGATCATATTTTATGAATCAAATGTTTTTGTAGCTTTTGTTGGTGTAATCATTCAATATTTGTGTTTCACCCAAGGGCTCTCCACCATCCTTCTGCCCTCCTTCGAGGACTCAGGACCTGGAGGCTATTCTCTCCATCATCTCCGAGGCCCAACACTATGTGGACGTAGCCGTCATGGAGTATTTCCCCACCACACGATTTGAAAGGCCTCAGAGGTGACCCACAAAAGAAACCATCTGTTTCCGTCAATCGATACACCTTTTTATTAATTTCCTAACAAAGTATTCTTTATGTATGACAGATACTGGCCTATCATTGATGATGCCATTAGAACGGCTGCATTTGAGAGGAGGGTTAAGATCCGGATGCTGATCAGCTGTGGGCGGGACTCTGACCCAGCCATGCTGCCATTCCTCCAGTCTCTGGCCTCCATGGATAGCCCTCACCACAATATTAGCCTCCAATTGGTCAGTTATTGCTCCTGAAATAAATGATAGGCTAGGAGTTACCAGATCTTAGCCTCTGAATTATCTTCTTTTTTTTTCAGAAACTGTACATTGTGCCCGTGGGAAACCAGTCTGATATTCCATACACCCGAGTCAACCACAATAAATACATGGTGACTGATAAAGTCGCCTATATTGGTGAGTTATTGTGCCTTAAGAAGTCTATTTGTGAATTGGTTAATAATTTACCTGATAATGCTGTTGTTCCTCAGGCACCTCCAATTGGTCAGGGGACTACTATATGACCACAGCTGGAGTGGGTCTGGTGATTTCCCAGCATGCTCCTCACCATGTATGGAAGACCAAGGCCCTGCAGTTCCAGCTGAAGTCGGTCTTTGAAAGAGACTGGCACTCCGAGTTTGCTGTGCACCTCGCAGACCTGGGCAACCAGTCAGAGTGTGCACTATCAAGACCATAATCCCCTTCATCCAAGTTGCACACAAATCTTTTTCATTAAGCGTCTTTGTAAATAGAGCCCTGACATCCATATGCAAGCTTGTAAGTAACATAATGTAATGCAATGAAATGCACATGCACCCTGATAACATTTATAGAGCTATCATTTATATGTTGTATGATTAATTAATATGATGTATAATGATTACATATAAATTGTTAACATACTTTATAAAGATTAAATATATGTGAACATCAATGAGCCAAAATTATTTCTCTGTCCAGAGTAAAAGCCTCTACATAATAATGAGAGAAGTACTGTAAAAATTGTAGAACTTGACTATATAACCCTGGAGTTATTGAATATTTCCAAAAAGAAAAATCACCCAAATTATGAGCATTTATAAGGATGTATTGAAAATATATGTAACATTGTCACCAATAGGAGACCATTAATGTGTGAAGTGATTTTGGTAAAACCTTTCTTTATGACAGGGAAGTGATTGAATATTTTTTTAGGATTATGTCTTTAAAGCGTTGCACTTTGGAGATGGTCCAGCTGCTCCAGCTGCAGATAGAAAGTTGTCCAGCCGGAAAACAGTGCATATTGGATTGTTTTAATAAAAATTGAGGTTGTAGATTGTTGTCTGTTTTAATAAAAAAAACACCAACATATCCCTCCTACACAACATCCGTCCGACACACATGACACGGCATTGTCTGTCTACGTGATCATCTTATTGTATTAAACCAAATCGCTGGGAAACTCCGTTGTGGCCTACAAACGAAATGTTAGGTGTGTATGTTTGACCCATAGGTTGGTTTGACCCAGTATGACCCATGGGGTATGACCGGGTGAAGGGATGTGAGTGTTGTTCCCCTCCCTACCAGCAGGTGGCGCCCTCATTAGCTGCTTATCCCCCGCAGAAGCGTGCGGGGCGGGGCTCCGGCTGTAGTACGTGTGCTTCACTCACAGCAGCTAGTTTCAGTAAGCCGACGCTAAAGCTGAAGTCAGAGTCATGGTGCTGCTGGAGAATGATTCGGTAAGAACATTCATTTCGTGATAATTTCATCCCTCGACGTTTTTGATGATAAACTAGACATACACCCTGTTTGCTCTAGCTGTCTTACAGATGCAAAACGTTAGGCTAGTCATCAAACTGACTCGTTAGCCAACATGCTAACCATTGGTTGAAGCTAACACTGGTTATACGTTAACATGGTAAATGTGTTTATCAGCGAATGCACTTTCAAACATATATATTAATCGTCATAAACTGGCTTTTGTTACAGTTCTGTATAACTGGTTATCATTTCATACAAAGACACCCATATCGTCTAACAGGGTGCTGTAAGTTAGCACTCAGTAGTAACGAATCATATCTAGACAGTATCGGCAAACAACAATCATTTTCCTAATTGCTAAACTTGTTAAGATAGCCACAATGTATACTTTTAACAACCAGGTACTTTTTGGAAACCAATGCTCAACTGCCAGATTATTAGGCGGTGTTAACGTACATGTAGCAAGCTAAAACGAATGCAGTTTAATCAAATGGGCCGAATGAAAGTAGGCAAACGTTAGTAAAACCCTTCAGTGTGATGCAATATCATTTAAGAGCAGCACAAACGTTTTTCAACTTTCAAAAAGTTCTTGCAGAAACTGTGTTAACATAATGAGTAAAGTAGTTAAATGTTTCACCTAACCTGAAAACGAAAGGTATAATAAAGCAATGCTCCTTAACCTACATGGAGTCTGCTAAGCTGACAGTGTACCATCAGCTCGTATCGGTGGAAAGCATGGTTGATGTGTCCAGTCCTCTTGCTCTGATGAACTCTTCTTATCTGAAATGAATGTTAATCATATTTGTTTTTGCCTCACTGTCCAGTTTCTCACAGAGCTTACACGACTGTTCCAGAAGTGCAGATCATCTGGCAGTGTTGTCATCACGCTAAAGAAATGTAAGCAGATCCCTCCTGATCTTTACATTTGATCAGGAAGTCAAACTGTGAATTTCCCATTTCAACATCCAAGCATTTAAAATGGATGATTTGTTTACAGATGATGGGAGGACCAAGCCAACGCCCAGAAAAGGCAACCCTGACACATTTGAACCATCAGACAACAAATGTCTCATCAGAGCATCAGAGGGCAAGAAGAAAATTAGCACAGTGGTGAGTGAGCGGTGTTTCCTGTGCTTGATGTATTTCTGTTAATGGTTTCTACAGGCTGTTAATGCTCGGTTCTTATTTCTTGCTGTTTCAGGTCAACACCAAAGAAGTAATCAAGTTTCAAATGGTATGTTGAGTTGATCATTTAGTCATTTCTGTGTTGTTTTGAAGCTGTCGCCCTTTTTGTTTGATCTTCTTGATGTTGTTACAATTACCTTCTGTTTCATAGTGGTCTATCTTTGATCAATTAGCCGTGAGAATTTGCTATGCGGCGATCCTTATGTTCTGGTGGTAACAGGAGCTTGGTTTTAATATGATGGGTCCCATAATATGGTGGAAGCAGCCCATACATACTTAAAATGTTTGGAGGTAAAAATGTGCCTTTTTCCGCCGGTCTGTGAGAAACTGGGATCTGACGTTATGCAGATCAACATTTGAAGTAGTTTCATCCCTCGCTGAGAAGGGCTGCAGGATATGACAACACTCATCAGTTGATGGAGACTTCACAGACGTGAATTTAAAAGAAAATAATCAGATGTTTTTTATTCTTTCCAGGCGTACTCCAACCTCCTAAGAGCTCACATGGATGGACTTAAGAAGAAAGATAAGAAAAGCAAAAGCAAGAAGACTAAAGCCACCTAATGAGCAACTGACTCTTAAACATAACCATAAACTGGCCTGTTGGATCTGAGGGGACGGGAGAGCCCCCCCCCCTCCCCTCCATTCACCGAGGCCTCAGAATCACTGTTCATCCACCAAGTGACCGCTCTGATATCATGCCATTGTGTGCATGTCTCAGGACAGACACCCTGAGGATTCCTCTAACTCATGCGGGACATCAACCTTTTTCAATCTCCACCATTACTGCTCCAGAACCAGGTCATCATCAACATCTGCGTCACATCTGGAGCCACATCCATGGAGCCCACCACTTGCCTGCCTTCCATACTAATTGAATTGTTAGAGTCCATATTTATGTCCTATTTTCAGCTGACCTGTGCGCTCTGCTGCCATGTTTCAATTTGATTGTATCTTAAGAAGAATCTGTTTTCTAAATAATGAATTTACTGCAAAATTACTTTGAAACACAGAAGTCAATCAGATCAGATATATTTCATAGTTTAATATTGGACTTGAAAAGTACTTTTATTTCACATGAAGTACAAAGGCAGTTTTTTTGTTTCAGGCCACGATTTCATACCAAGCTGCCAAACTGGCCGTCTTAAATTGTTAAACACCAATAAAATGTGTAGCTTAAGTTAATGTAGGGATTTGAAAAGTGAATCGGATTTCTGAATGATGACGGAAAACATGTTTTAAAGTTATATTTGACTGAAAGGCATTTTTTGAGTTATGAAAACAGAGACAAAGTATTGGCTGGTTATTTTAATAATGTCATTTCAGTTCATTACAAGGCAGGTTTAAACTATGGCCGGTATATTTTCCCAGTCATGTGAATTGTCTCTGTGCTCCAGGTCCTCATTAAAGAGGACAGCAGCAGAATCTAAGTTCAGAAATAAAGTGCGTTGTTGAAAGCCACTGCAAGTTCTTTTGTGTGAAGTGAGAAGATAGCAAACAATGATCACGGTTAACATTAAGCGTTGTAGAAAAGACACAGTAAATACATTATATACATGCACACTGCTGGTTTAAAGAGGCCCAGTCTCATATCGCTGTGTTCCTCTTGTCCGGTCGCTCCTTCGGGGAGGCTGCGAGCTCCCGCTGCCGGTCACCCTCCTCCTCGTACCCCCGCTTCATGAGGCCCGTCACAAACTGGAACAGGGTCTGGAGAACACATTGAACTGGGTCAGGGTCCCCTTAGGTACATGGGGGACATTCACATTCAACAGTTTTGAATGCAGATAACTACTGTTCATCACAATGCTGTATATGTATTTATTTTCAGCCATCAAAACCCATTTTCTCTGTTGAAACAGTGCTGTAAGATACTGCTGGAGTGGAGGATGAGTAATAGAGGTTTGCTTGAAGATATATGTAGCTCAGTTATGTAATCCTTCTTTATTTATCATAAGATGTTAGCTGTTAACATGCAACATGTTTAAGTTAGGCTTTTTCTTAAACAAAGCCTGGAAGAGGAGGATACACTTAAAGCATGAGGACGTTTTTAGATATTGTCACTACAGTATGTTATTTTAAAGTATATGGAACCAAACACAATGCTGTAATTGAGGTTTGCATATGAAATACATTTGTTCAATATTTGCTAAATATTGGTATTTCGTCCTAAGTGGGAAAAGCCAAATATTAAATGTAATTACCATAACCAACTACAACCACTAGAGGGAACTAGAAGCCATTAATTAAAGCAGAACGATTTACAGAATGTACCCTTCTCTTGCGTTTCGGGTCAAAAGTGACCGGATGACTTTTGTTTTAATCATAAATATTGTGTTGTTCATCCAATTGCCTCAATACCTTATGTTATCCCCCACACTAGGCCTCTGAACATATACACTTGATTTATTCAACAGTGAAACACCCATGATGTTTTCGGTCAGAATTGACCGCCATAGAAAATGTATGGGTATTAGTGTAGTATGTTCATCCTGCAGATGGAAAACACACACACACACGTGTTACGGGAACCTCTCCCTTTCTCGCGCTGTATGATACAATCATACCTTCTCACAGGTGCGAGCTCTGTGCCCCTCGAGAAACACAAACCTCTTACTTTCTCGCGCTAAATGCGCCTCCCTTACTGGCTGTCAAGCAGTCATATTTGTGCCTTGCTGACATTTGACTCATTGACACAATGAGCAGGCGACCGATTAGGCGATTTTCTGTACGAGAGGCTCTGGACAAATGTGTTGAACCAGATGAAGAGGAGATAGAGGAAGATGTCTCAGAAATGGAAGAGACAACAGCGATCCAGACTATGAGCCTACACAGACCAGGAAGAGGCCCCTGAGATAGAAGCCCCTGAGGGAGAGGAGCCTGAGGTGACATTCCACAGTTTTGCATTGCCAACTATGTGCGTGAGCACGCACGCACGCACACAAACACACACACACACACACACACACGTTCTGTTATGGTATATTTCTCTTTCAATAAATGTTCATTGAGAAAAACAGTATCAGTGTCTTGTTTTATATTCATCACAGTGAATGCTGAACTTGATGGGCCCACCGGTGGGTCCGGACCATGACATGAAACACTGGCTTGCTTGTATCAAATCAATACATCCCGCATCATTGGAACGGGAAGAATCTGAGCTACACTAACTAAAGCATTTCCATCTTCAGTAAACACAGCATAGATGGCAAGCATTTTTATAATATACAGTAATGTAAAATAAGCACTATCTTTGAACTTACTGCAACAAATAATATGAAATTCACCCCTGGTGTCATTCTGTCTGTCATCCCTTGATTCTACTTGCTTTGACTGTTCAAATGAGATGTCAACCATCAAAATTGGATAAGGGGTTCCAGAGATATCACTGTGCAAAACCGTGCAAAACACACCGGTCAATTTTGACAGAAAATAGCATGGGAAGGGGGGTATGACCTAACGCAAGAGAAGGATTCAATTCAATGTTGTTAAATTTAATTTTGAAATATAACTTTAAGCTTCAAACAGACTGTTTTTAATAAAATGTCACCAAATTGCACATTCAAAATGGTTTTTATGGATATGTGTTATATAAGGAAAAAGTTCTTAAACATCTTTAATGTATCCACACCTATGCGTGCAGATCGCTCTGCAGTAAAGACAGATGCATAGCACAGCAACATCTCTGTATTAATTACACTAGGGCTCTTGAAGTGACATACCATGATGTGACAGGGCCATGTCCCATTTTCTCAATATGCTCATGTATGGTTCAGTGACATGTAAGTCGTCATTAGTCAGGCTGGTGTTGCACTGGGTTCCATCTTGACATGTTACATGGAGTATTAAAGACAAACCTGAAGCTGACATGCTGATTGCACACATCCAGCCTATTTCACCAGGCGTTTACCCAGAAGGAGTCTCTGATTAAAACTACACAGAGACACACTCCTCACCTTCCAGGCCTCCTCCAGCTCAGACGTCCACTTCTCCTTCAGGATGGGCCGCACGGCGCAGATGAATTCAGCTCCGACGTACTGGAAAAACAATGACAGATACTTACTGATGTGCTTAGGGCTTAGTAACAATATCCATTAAGTGTGTCACTCCATTAAGCAGTTGTGATTAACATTTACAGTATCAGTGGAAATTAAAATATCTGAAGTCCTCTTAAAAAAGCAGCAAAACTGTTAAGTAATCACTGTTTGGGATCTCTTACACTGTAGTACTTGGGAGGGGCGTTGTAGTGATAATGGCTTTTCCCCAGCTCCAGAGCCAGAGCTTCCAGTCTCTCCAGCTGGTCCAGTCTCGCCACACTTTTCTCGATAAAAGACATCACCCTGAAAGAGATGGAGAAAAGAAAAGAGCATGCTTGATCCACCAGTAAGTGGGGAATTAGAGGCTATCACCGGGTACTTCTCCACCGGCAGTGGCTCAGTCAGTAGGAGCCTGGACTGTGAGCCGTAGGGTCGCCGGGTTCAAGTCCCCGACCAGAGCTAAAATATGGAGTGTGGACTGCTACTTGGAGAGGTCCCAGTTCACCTCCTGCCCTGCCGTGGTGCCCTTGAGCAAGGCACCGGACAACCCCCCACTCCCATTGCTCCCCGGGCGTTGACAATAGCTGTCCACTGCTCCTAGTACTAGACTCCTGGTACTAGGATGGGTACACATTTCACTGTGTGCTCTGCATGTCTGACCATTAAAGAGCACGAGGATGTGTCACACTCTTCTGCCTTAAAAAGCTGCATGGTGACATTTACTGGTAACACAATTGAATTTGTATCTTAATGATGCAGCATTACATTACACAATATTTTCCCCCCCAGAAGAAGACAATAATTCTCCCCCTGCACAAAACCCTACAAGATGGATTCTCTTTGTTGCTCTGGCAGGTGTGTGCCATCACTGCAGCCTGTGTGTGTGCAGCCTGTGTGTGTGACAGTTTTGGTGATGAATGGAACAAAGGCTTAGAGTAGGTTCCGCTCTCTAATCCCTCTGTATTTGTATTGCCGTCTGTATTCCTCTCTAATTTGTTCTAATGTCCCTGTGTGCCGTTGAAGGGCCATTTGGCCTTATCCCTGAATTTGAGAGCAGCCGGTTCACACTGAGATGCGTAACACATTGTGCTATACTGCCACGCTCGCCTCTGGTCCTTCAGGTCCTCAGGCGGTAATTGGCTGCTTTGACCTCGTGCATAAAGAAAGGCAGAGAGCCCTGATGCACCCTGGGAACAGCAGAGTGGCTACAAGCTGTGTCTGAGCAGAGGAAAGCTGTGATATCATTATATACGACTACCTGAGGCGTGCTGCTTTATATTACGGCACTGTGCCGTGTGCAACATGGTATTATTATCATGTATTGTTAAAAGGAACAGTATTGTGATATTCTAGGTTTTTCCCATAAAAGATCAAAACATTGACTGTGTGTTCCATGCAGTAGAGCCTGCAGTCAAAGCCCTTGGTGTGATGTAGCCGCGTTGTTGTCCAATCACTATCAGAAACATCCATGAGCCACACTGCTGGGGTACATGTTCTTCCAATAACACTGAATATGGCCGCTGCAGTTTTACATTTGGGTCAGTGGCACATACACTGCTCTATGTGTCTGGGAGAAAAGTATCCATGTACTTGTAATTAAGAGGAAAATACAATTAGTAGACTATAATTTGACATGCTTGACCTTGACATTTTTATGACGGGTTGATTCTAACATTTATTTTCTTTTTCTAATGACATACTGTAATACAATGTTATTATGGCATTCAGCATTCATAGTATAGAATAATGTTTAACATGACACCTTATTTGAAATGTGTTAGCCATACTCCTGTAGAACTTTATTATTACTATAGTATGGCATGCTATGCTAAAGGACGATGAATATGATCATTTACAGACTTAAATTGAATCATTTGTGATGAATTCATTAATCAAGATATCTTAATTGAAAATCACCAGAAAACACTTACTCAAAATCTGTTTGAAATATTTGTCAGGGAATATCCTTTAAAGATTGCAGTTTAGTCTTTACATTACAACCAGAAAACATGCTGTATCCTGATCATTATTGTTATTCAGATATGAAAAGCCCTAGCAGATGTGGGTCGTATTACCCTGACCCTGTGCTGTCCTCTGATTGGCTGGAGTGTTCTGTGATTCAGAGCTGGTCACTGACCTCAGGCCGTGCGCCCTCAGCTCCCGGCTGGTCCGCAGCCTCTCCAGGTCCTCCACGTCTCGGAACAGGAAGAAGACGTCCTTGCATTCGGGATGGGTCTCAAACAACCTGTTGCCAAGACAACCACAGTGCAAGCCTGTCATAATCATTCCCAAAATGAAAACACTACACCACCGTTGTGTTTCCCAGCTAATATGACATGACCCCAAGAGTCTAACAACTGTGAAGTCCAGCTCATCAACGACTGGAGGCGCCCCCCCCCTCCTGCAGCCGTTCCGTCACTGTGGATTCATGTCTGACTGTCTTTCTGTTCTCACTCTGTCCTACACTTCAGTCACACCCAGCAACTGCAATCAGTGACAGGCCATGGTGGGTCTTTAAACCAGGTAATGTAGACATGAAAATCAGTGATGAGTCCCCCCGCCCCTTCAGAGCCGGGGCGGGGTTCCGGTTAAATGAAGACACTGATCCTGATAGAGTTCTGCTCTTCTGATTACCCCTCAATCCGTTTCTTTAACCAGACAGTTTAATCACGCTGCCTCCAATCAGAGCGACTCCCAGTCTCCAGCTGAGCGACCTGCCATCACTCACGCTGCCAGGATACACAGCTCCTCGTCTCGCTGTAAGGTCGTGTTGTGCTTGCAGTGAGAACCAAGGGTTATATGCAAGTTCTCTTTCAGTATGACAATGGTGCAAAGAATACAGAATAGAAAACCTTCTTTCTATTGGAATATAGTACACATCTTTTTTTTTTATGAATATTCTTTTATAGAAATGTGCCTGTATTTAATTAAAAAATCTTGTTTTTTTTATAGCCATTATGTCAAGTTACCAAATCACACTAAATCAATACAACATTGTAAACTACACTAGAAAAGCAGGAAAAACCTCCTTTTATAGAATGTTGTGTTTGTTCTTTAGTCTACTTTCTTTGTCTATACAATGCTTCATTGGAGTGGACTCATTAGGTCACATGACTTAGAAGCATATTCAAAAATAAATGAGACTTTTCAAAAAAGAAACTGCTGATTCATATAAAATACATACAATGAGTGTACTGGTCCAGAGTCATAAGGTCATATAATATAAAAAGCTATTTATTAATTTCAAGGGTTTTCAATTGAATAAATGTTGACTTTTTTTCATCAAGATATTCGTATGAGTATAAGAAGACCTGAAATCTACCACAGTTATACAATGCTGTATTGATTTGGAGTCACTGAGTCATAGGACATGGAAGCTAGGGAAAACTGAAAAGAAGTACAAATGCATTCATGACACATCAGTAATCAATATGCCACGTAAGATACATTTGTTATATGTTACATACATGTATAAACAGCTTTCATTAATATGGATACGTTAGCATGAAGGAATCGAAAATTAAATGCGTATTTATCAAACAGTGGAATGGATGAATAAAAAAAAAGACTTGGATGCCTATCTAATATCCTAAAACTCAGACAGAAGCTTATTCTGTTGACCCATGGCTGACTACCTGAGGCGTGCGGCTGCACTACTAAAAAGGAAAAATAACATGTTTCTAAACCTGGCACACAGAACAAAGTCCTCATGAATAAATACATTAGATGTCTAAATCATGTGTCCCCCCCCCCTTTCATATATTGATTGATGAATAGAGAGAGATGGGTTGAAAGGGGACGGTCTCTCTAATGGTTGCTGAGGAAAACATGAGATCTGCACACGTTGACGAGCAGATTAGAATACAGACAGCTCTGTTGAAATGCAATACATTGACAAGATAAGACGTGAGGGATTGTTCAGGCCATCTTGACATCTTTACGTTTTATTATGCGCTACCATATTCTCATGTCTGCCTGTTTTAATGATGTGTCATCCCATAGTTTAACTGAAGTGTTTTTAAATAATAATGCAACTACAGCTCTGGTTTATAGATATATCTTTTCTACAAACTAATGACATGTTCCTTTACCAATACACCAAATTCATTTAGATCACGCTAAGTAAAAAGATGTTCCATAAGTTAAAACATTTATACTGGGTTTAAAAATGAAATTTGAGGTTTGAAAACACTGCGTCTTTTTTTGGTTATTTCGCTCAGTTGTGATTTGCCGCCAATGATTGCTCTAAATAAATGAACTACTTTGAATTTGGAGGACATGTTGTCGGCATAAAATAAAGCAAAACGTTTATTATAATCAATAACACACATGTAAATGGAAAAACCAGAGAAATTGAACATTTCCGCAGTAGTCTCTTCATTTCTCCCAGAGCTGTAGCCTATGTATTGAGAATACACATTTGATGGAATAAATGTGTACAATGTTTGCACTCTGGTATAAGACGCTTTGCAAATGTTCCTGTCCAAGCTTTATGTATTAGAGAGAGTAAAAATGGGCTCTTCTTCATTTTCACTGTCAGAAATGTGTTTGACTCTTGTTGCATGCAGTGACCATGCAGACAATGTAGCCATACAGCTCAAGTGGAATTTTAATTGGCACTGTTTAGAGGTTGTATAACTACTGTGGCATTCATGAATAGATCCAGGCCTTTGGAGTATCTTATTTTGTTTAAATTGGACTTCCACTTGCCAAATAATAAGGTCAGTTAAATGACAGCAAGAGCAGAATGAAAACAGGTTTTTCAATGTAATAATTACTGATCAGTCATTATACAAGCCCTGACACCCCTAAGAGGCCCCTAAGAGGCCCCTGATTTCATGCTGAGATCAAGCTCTTCAACAGTTGAGGTCACTCGGGGGACACAGGGGCATTTACTGGGCTTCTAGCCATGTGCCCTCCAGTCTTTTTACTGTAGATGCTGCAGCCTGAATGTCCGGCACTCTTATCACCATACACTTTCATTCGGTTTGCTTCCCTGCCAAAGGCCAAAGATGTTTTTCCCGGACACTAGTCATCATCCTAATTGATCAAATGCATTTTACTGATGGCTAATACCTTTAATTGTATAGCACTATTGCAGGCCGTTGGCGGGTGTTATTATGTAATGTTATTAAGATGTGATAGGAAGTGATAAGGGTTGGAGGAGGAGGGGGATTCTGCTCTGAGCTCTAAATGAAAGCTGTGTGGGTCAGAGGGCAGAGGGGAGGGATGTTGGATGTTCACTTTACAGCTCGTATGAAAAGGTCAGGCATCGTGTCATCCTCACAGCGGATCAGAAGACCCTCTGCACACCTCCTCATCTCTTAGGTCAGAACACAGTGTAGGGGTTTCACTGAGCTGTCTAATAATAGTCAATGGCTATTCTGATTATTTAAAACACACATAAAATGGAAGTTGTTTTTCTTTGGAAAATCCATAATTTTCCCACTACATTTAACAAACTATTATATTCACATTTTGAAGTGAAAAGGAGATTAACCGCATTATAACAATGGCTACTGATCTACTGATACTGAATGGCACCTTTACTTTCCTCTGAAATGCATTTATATGTACCGTAATCTTCCTATATAATGTGTCTGTGTTTATTTTCTTACAGTTTTATTTTTTAAATGTTTAGACCATTAAGTAGTTAGGGTTAGTTATTGGGTTGTGTGTGTAAGTGTGGGGTATGTTTTTGGGTTGTAATGTTTCTGTATAATACATGAACTCTCTCAATTTTAGATGTATTAATAACATGTCTCCATTGTGTCTTGTGATTGTTCTTAAATACAATTAAATGAAACATGAAATCATAATTTTTTTTAAAAACCATTTGACATGGAAAAGTACAAACAAAGTTTAAGCATCCTACCTGACGAACATGATAATCCCAACTTTGGCTATATCGTCCCGGATAACTTTCCAGGACTCCTTGATCATATGAATCTGAGGCTCGCTGGGAGTCGCAGCAGCATCCTCTGTGGTCCTCTCTCCAAACTCTCCTTTAGCTTCCAGACCCGATATTGCGCAGCCCATACTTCATACGAAATTGACGTTTAATGATTTCGTGCCAACCAGTAACGAAAAATCTAAAGTTAATTGATTTTGTGCAAGAGGAAGTCTGATGATGGCACCACGGGTTTATATGCGCAACTCAAGACGCTTGTTGGACTACACGCCTCTTGTCCGTATCGCGGATGAGTATCAAGTCAGTAAACAGACAGAGAAAGTGCACGTTCTGCTGAATAGTGCAAAAATAAAACACCCGTTAATGGGAACACATTGCTATGAGTGCTGAGCAGTACTTGTGCTTTTATTTTGAAGGATGGCGGTGTTAACTTCCGGTGAGAGTCCGTCTGTTAATGGCGGGTTTGACGCAACTGTTGAACGCAGATAATTCAACTGAGAGCCTGTTCCTCCATAACCTGAGGCACAAAGGCTGGGCTGTGTGTAGTCATTATATATAAAAAACACATAAGATAAATTAATAAAGACATAAACTGTATATTTGTTTGTCACAAATGCAAGATTTACTCCTGAGAGCACGTTTTATTTAAACCTTGAAGTCAGTTCAGTTTAGTTTTGCGGCTTGAGATGTAATTCAGAATACTAAATCATGTCAATAAAACACATTACTTCCACTTGTTACTAACACAGTACAATGGTCTTGACTCTCTTTGAATCCTGCATTAAAAAAAGTAGTGCAGTCGTGAGTCTGAATATGAAAGCACTCTTCATTTCTTTTAACCAGTGGACCACGGATGTTGTAGATTTAACAAGGCTCTGCAATGGTTTCAAATGCATGACAGAGTAAAAGGAGACATTTGTGGACACTTACCATTTCTGTTTTTATTGGAAATATGGGAAACTTCAAGTATGAAACAATATATTTTCTGGAATGGAAAAGTAAAAAGGCTTGCTACGGGTCAGTATTTACATAAGGCTAATTTCTCAAAAATGTACAGTTTCATAAATAATATTAAAGAGGAAATATACAACTTATTGAGAAAAATAAAAGCTCCAGTGATACATTAAGTGAGAAGGGGTTAAGAAGCAGCTACAGTTAACGTAGAAGCAAGTTACTGCTGTGACATGCATTAAAGTGAAATGTAAAAAAAAAAAACCTCTTTGGTTTTGTGCTCAAACCTTTTTGCTTCCCCTCAAACTCCAGCTGGCAGTCGACATCTTAAATGAAAATAGTGCTATGGTGCTTATAGCAACAATCACCAACAGTGGGAGGAAACCAAATGGATGCATATCATAAGAATAAGAATAAAGTAGAACCTAATCTTCAATTTGATACTAGGGACTATATACACATTTTACATAAACTTCTGTTGTACAGTGCAAACAAATACCCAATGTACAAATATTGCAATACTCCTATTTAAAGACAATTTGCATGCAACTTATTGGCCTCACCAAAGACCAATATCCCTTTGAGTTTCACTGGTGCAAACATCATCACCATGACCTATAGTGAAAACAATGTGCAGACAAGTTGCATTCTTTTGGGGGTAAAAAAGAAACAGGGCAGGAAGTGTCAGGCAGACAATGTTTTCACATGATAGTCCCTGATAATAAAAATGTTCATAAATCGTATATCATGAGCTGGTGGTCAAGCTCTGGAACTTCTCTCGTAAGCTTTTCACCAGATTACTTTCTGTAATTTTCCCTGAACCCGGCGCAGCAGACTTATTGGTATAGTCCAGCTCCTCGTGGAGAACGCTGTCCAAATCTTTGCCTGTTTCTCTTTTTGTCAGAGACACCTGACTGACTGACAGGCAGGTCCTCACAGGGTCCTTAAGGTTCTGTACTTCATTGAGTGGAAGAGACCCTAACATGTGGTCTAAGGAGCTCCACCTGCACAGCAGGGGCTGGGCCCAATCCTCCACAGCACAACTTTCTTTGTTCCCCGATTCAGACTGTGGGCTGAGGGAGTCAGTCGGAGCGCCATGGAGGTCAGAGGAGCTGCTGTACTTGTGTGAGCAGCCATTGCACCGCTCTGTGCTGCACTCCAGCAGCCCGTTTGGGGCCGTGCAGCTACGGGTTACTCTGGAGGAGTGGGAGGGGTCTGTGTATTTGGTGCGCAGCTCCTGTACGTGAGGCCAATGGAAGGCCTCGGTCTCCGGGGGCGGGCTCTGTGGGCTGGCTGCAGAGCTGGGGGTCTTCTCCGGACTTGGAGAACGCTCCTCATGGATGACCGCTTGATTGCAAATGTTCAAGGGCAATCTCAGGTTGGGGTTACCTGCACAAAAAACAGACACAAAACGCTGTTCAGTTTTCTACATGAGCTAAAGAAGTAGGTCACTGCAAAAGAGAGCAACATGGCAATCATTTGCATCTAATTTACCCTTTTTCCTCAATTGTACTTTCTCTTCTTGAACTGCAGGCAAACTCTTGAAGGCTTGTTGATTCGCTTTTTCTCGGTTCCTCTGCCAGACCAATGGTCTGTTGTTTTTGATGCGCTGACTGTACTGACGTGCGAGCTGGAACACCTTGTTTTTCATCTTCCCCATGTCCTGCAGGATCTGGTCCTCGTCCAGACTTGCCCGTAAGCTTGTGATCCTGGGTAGTTGGGCCTGGTCGGCATGGCTCTTGTCTTGAGACGTAGAGTCCTGACTGGATCCTCCCTCCAGGGCTGGAAAGGTTGTTGTAGGAGATGAGATGGGGGAGAGATCTGAGGCGGAGCTTATTTCAGACTCTTCTAAAATCAGAGATGGTTGCCTATTGATTTTAATGTCTGAAAGGTCTGCGCTGGTATCCTGCGCCACATCTAAGCTCGAGTCGCTAAGCATCTCCTCTGCACTCTGCAGGATGTGCTCGTTCTCCTCCGCCATCTCCATTTCTTGCCAAACCTTGTGCATTTCTGATGAAGGTCGGAACTCTTCTTCTGTGCTGGCTGAGGCCTCAGAAATGCTCTGAGACCTAGCCTTGGCTCCCACTGCCCTCTGTGGTTCAGTCTTTTGAGGAGTGCCAGCGCTCCGATTCTTTTCCAAGCCAGGAAGGTCAAACACTGACCAGGAAGTGGGCCGGTTGCGAGAGAGGCCTTTCCTGCTGACCGGGGTACCTTCTTCCTGAGGAACACTGTTGAGCTGTCGGCTCAGATGCTGGACCAGACCTGCTGGTATGTAGGAGAGGCTCTCTCTGCGCTTGATGCTGAAGTTAGCGTCTTGGTGCTCGGCGTGCTCGTAGTATCTTCTGATCTTGCGGATGAGGAGGCGGTCTAGTTTGGAGAGAGTGGACCCGAGTTCCCCTTCAATCAGAGCGTGCAGTTCAGGATCGTTTGTAGGCATTGACAGATCAGTCTCTGAGGTCACCTGATGCTCTGGAGACGACTGAGCCAACATCCGGGCGTGTTGCTCTAAGTCCATGCAAGCTGAGGGGCTTTTTAAGACTTCATTTTCTACTGAGGGCGAGGGGCAGGCGAGGGACCCCAAGTCCTCTGAGACCAGGCTGCTCCTCCTGGACAGGCTGCTGATGAAGCGCTCTGCTATCACGCTGGACTGGTCCAACACAGAGGAAGGTAGGATGCTTTTATCGTCTGAGAGACCCTCCTCTTCCTCCTCTGAAAGCTCCCCGTTCGTCAGTACGCTCGTTTCATCCACTTGGAGAACGGAGGAGTCACTCTCTCCTTCTCCTTCTTCCACAGTTTCTCTCGAGGTATCTAGAGGTTCTTGGGTGTCGTCATCTTGTTGGAGAGGGGAGACGGGGGATTCTGGGCGCTGGGGGTGATGCACCTCTTGATGATCACTCTTCTTCACTTGAGGGACACGATCTGGAGGGCACAGCTCCTCCACATTGGCCTGAAATATGATAGGAGTGTTTACAATGGGGGAATGAGACATTATGTTGGCCATTAATGGACCGAGGAAATTGAATCTAAAGCATCCACAATTTATAATGCGTGTCTTTTATCTTTTGAGTCCAACTTGAGCTTAATAACAATGTTTTTATGTACAATATGAAACTGTGGCTAGAAATTAAGGTGACATTGGGAATGTATTTACAGCTTGGGTAGTAATGACCTTTTGTTGGACCATTTCTGTTTCTTGTTGCGAGTTTAGTGGGGAATATTTCTGTGTCTGCGGCTTTAACCGTGTTTATATTGGTGATGTCGCCACAGTCGGCCATTTATCTAAATTAGTTTGCAGATGTTGTGTTCCTCTTTTGGAGTGTGGGCAATTGCAAGAAAGTGCAGCTTGGAGCTGTGTGGTGGAGATAAGGTTAGGAAGAGTAATGAGGAACACTTTTCTCAGACACAGGGGCTGTTTAGCAAAGTTATCTTGAAAATCAGGCGGTAACGGCTCCAAACTACAAGGTTGCCTTTCTTAGTGGGAGCTCTGATCACAGAATATCAATGTGTGTGTGTGAGGCATTTTAAATGTGCAGACTTCAAGTAAACATCAGCACTAATATAGCTCCAGGAAAGTTTTCAAATAGGCCTGAGAGAAATGCCCTATTGGAAATGATAAGGTAGGAAACCTATGGAAATGTCTAGTGCAGGGGTGTCACATTAGCATTATGGTTGCACTCAAAGGGCCGGTTGTAACTTTAAGACAATATAAATATATAAAATAATGTATTATATTACATTATTGCCTCTGCATTGGATTATTATCGGATAGGGTAATAACTTAATAATTAACTACGTCTGAATGCAGAAGTCTAGGGCAAATAATTACAAGTCTCTTCAGTGCGCATGTCACAAAATGAGATGCATTGTGGGACATGTTTATTGGCAATGTGCTTCTGTAAAACGGCATGTAACTGTATAATAAACATATTATATTATTTGCAAGCTCTTGCGGGGCCACATCAAATGAAGTTGCGGGCCGGATTTGGCCCCCGGGCCTTGAGTTTGACACCCCTGGTCTAGTGCATCATCATATAGGCTGTATAACAACAGCAAATTGATCAAAAGTGTGTCAATTTAAAATATGCAAAGACTTACAAACACGCTTAATAACACTTTAGGCAATACCGAGGACATGAGGATAGACAGGAAAACTGTAAATGTCACACGTGGCCTGAGACACCTGTGGAAATGAATGGCTTTACAAATCTATAAATTATTTGTTAAGTACCTGTGTGGCAGGAGTTTCTTTGGCAGCCACATCCACATGTTGTTCCTCCTGGCTGTGAGTTTCTACCTCCTCCGTCCGTGTAGTTTTCAGTTCAGCCGTATCTTTATTCTGATCATCCTGAAGAGCAAAATACAGGACATTAAACTGCCAGTTTGTATACTAAAACATCCTGAGGTTCATGTGTCTTAAGGTCAGCCTTGATAGCCTATGATACGAGTCTTCAAAAGACAAGCATTGTTTTCATGTTCAAAACAATACTGGTATAAAAATGAACCCTAACAAAGACTTTCCGACTATGAATATTCAGAGGGGAAATGCGATTATGAATTACCAAAGAGCAAAGCCTTTGCTTTTATAATGATTCAATTAGATTACTACAATAACCTTTGAAGTCAAACAACATTTAACAGCTTGCATTAATCCACTGGATTGAATGGAAATGCAGGCAATAGCATTAGCTTCAACATCAATCATGAAGCACAGCACATTGTAACTATACGCATGAGAAAACAACACAGAGGAGAACCGTGCATGCACAGTGGGATGACCTCCACCTCCATAAAAAAGCAATACATTCAAAAGGCATGCACCAAGTCCGACTTTAAAGTTTCACCCCCATATGTTCCCCATATGTTTCAGAGTTCACACTCGGCGGTTTTGGGAGAACTTCAGTCCATGCACTTCAATAGGAGGACTTTAACCTGAGGCATTCAATGAGCACAGTGCAAATGGTAGCAGGTGTTAGTTGGTTTCTATTTATGAAGCAGGAAAAAAAGAAGGAGAGAGCAAGCGTGGGAGAAAGAGTGGCGGTGAGTATTGGTAAGCCAGTGGAAGGGAGCAGGAAATAGGAAACCCGTGGGTGTCAGAAACCCTCACCGTTGTGAAGTGAGTAGAAAGCAAAGCCCTGGCTCTATAGTGCCAGCAGGAGATGGCCGCCAGCACTGAGCTGGCAAAGTCGGCTACCTGGTCGTCTCCCATCAGTATATCCTCCATGTAACTCTCCTCCTCTTCCTCTTCTGCCTTCTCCAGCTCCAGAGAGACCAGTTTCAGGTCACTGTTAGTAGGACTTAGGGGCTCCAGAGAGTGCCTTCTGGGAATTAGACTCTCCACGCATGACCTCTCCTCGCCTACACTGGAGGCCAGCACACTGACACTAGTGTCCGGCTGAAGGGAGCACCTCTCCCCCAGCAGTGCACCCTCACTGTCTGCGTGCTGTAGCGTGAAGTCATAGAAATGTGGTTTGTTATTAGAAGGCCAGTGCTAAGTCGTGGTGGGATTGCAAAGACTGTACATGGGATGGAATCCTCACAAAGACGCTTAAAGAATAGGTGAGGTATGATTTTTGTAATCCAGGGCAAGTCCAAGTATGTTTGGTGAAGATAAGGTTTGTACCATCTCATTTTTAGTTTTGAGTTATTTAGCAATTGGGAAAGAAAAGTTGGACTGCAGAGTAATACTGGATAAACCATATCTCACCGCAGCACACTGACATTTAAAGAGGACAGAATGAAAAAAGGGTATCAGTTTGGATTTCAGCACTTACCTTTAAAACAGCTGCAGAACAGAGAAAAATAAGAGATAAACGTTAGAGAATGGTCAATAACTTTGGAATAACAATCTCAAGGAGAATATAACGTAATAAAATAACCTGAGCATCACATGAATCTTTCACAATTATAGTTAGCAGAGCCGGAGCGAGGCCCAGACTTTAGGGAGGCCGTGTGATTAGATAAATACTAATTAGAAACGTCTTCCTCTCAGAGGCTCAAACTGGACATGATGCAATTAGCCAGGAAGTGATGACTTACTCCCTCACTAGGATGAGGGGGGTTGACGTGAAAATTGCTTCTTCATTACATTGGTTCAAAAACTGGATGTGGACTGTGAGCAAAAGGAGAGCTGAGGACAAGAACACAGAGGTTTCCTCTTCCATAACGGCCAATTAGAATAGATGCGATATGGGAGATGAAGGCTAAGATTGACTATTGAAAAGTGCTTGTGTATGACAAAGCCTTCCCCCAATGTGGCATATAATTGACTTCATTATGGGTGAGGCCGGTGGAGTGGGAGTGTGTCTTTAGATCTGTTTCCCAGGTGTCTTTGAGGGGGAACAAAGCAAAAAAGGGATATGGGCAATTCCTATTAGACACACAAATAACATCTAGAATGTGGATCAAACTGACCCACTGTTAATGAAGCTGCACTAAGGCTCCTAAAATTAACATCCGGTGCTATGAGCAAACAAAAACACAGGTACAAACCTTTTGTGGTCCTCATGATTTGTTTTGCAGGCTCTAACAAGATAGAAAATGTTGTGTTAAGGACGATTAAAGATCAGCAAATCAATTCTATTTTTATAAAGCAACAAAAACACATGAATAAGTGTTTTTATACCTGATCTCCTTCTCCCATTTCTCCCTGCATCATGGAAGTCGTCAGAATTGCAGGACTCTGTTTTCTTCAGCCTCTCAGGACTATAGTGGTACTTCCCCGGATCTAAGCAGCGGGGGATAGATTAACGATAGATTGTTTATGGGACACGCCTTCCTGTTCAGATTCAGCAGCACATGTTCCACTGATAATAAAACACCCTGTTCTTTGGTGAGAAGCATCTTTGGTTGCTATGGAAACAGTTGAATTGTCGTATCAAAAGTTGTGACCCTTACAGTTAGAGTTGTCCAGGATGGCTTCTTTTGCCTTTAAAAGAAAAAGACAGTGTGTTTAAATACGAGGTGTCCCTTCAGAAGCTAAGGAGAATAAAACAGTTTGTGTTGTTGTTGTTTACCTTCTGTGGGATGATGGTGTTGTGGTTCTCGAGAATGAGCCTCTTAATGTGATGGGCCCAGAGACGCTTCTCTTCTACTGACTTCGCCTGTAACAACAAGCACTTATCATTTAGAAAAGAGTCAACAACATGAATGAAGCTAAACCAGATACATGCATGCATACTGAACAGAGTTATACTGCAGTGTGAAATCACTGGCGCTCAGACAAAGCTTTGGTCAACACAGATGTTAATATTATATATGTTCAAGTATTTAAACTGTTATTGGAATAGTGCTGCAGAAGGAAAAAGGCTGGTGTTCACAGTTACCTGCACAGTATGGGGTTGCTTGGGATGCTTGAAATGGATGACACTGAAGAGCAGGGGATCCTTTGCACTGTCGAGTAGCATCAGGGTGGCGCACTGCAACCATAATGTAATGTAGTGATTTAGCTGAGGCTTGATCAAAATGAGTTGGTCAGAATGTTCTACCCAACAGAAAATATGACCCTTCTCCTACATCTTTAGAACTGTTAAATCAATGAAAACAATGTGAAAAGGCCTACTGAGATGTGGATCTTGTAGACGTAGTGTTCTCCTCTTTTCTTGGTAATGAGGAGCATCCTTTCGAAGAGGAAGAGCGTACGGGTGTTCTTCGCCCGCAGGACATGAAAGGTTCCCTCCAGCACCAGCTCTCCGTAGGTGGTCAGGTCAGGACCCTTCCAGTTTATCAGAAGAGACTGTATCTCCTGCACATGAAAGCACACACCCCCACTGTCAGCACTGTTCCTCCAGCATGAAAGGAAACGCTTGCCAGCCTTAGAAAGCAAGGAAGGTGACGCAGTGGCACTCACTTTAACATGCTGCTAGACTTGAGAAATGTGTCTAGGTCAACAACAAACTGTGAAGGGTTATGGATTAGCTTTGGACAACATCTGTTAAGCAATACTTGATGATTTGGAGGTTAAAACCACACCTTAATGCAGGAGATGAAAGCTAAGAAGGTGAAATCAACCGCAAGACACGAAAGTGACAGAAGTACTAGATAACGGACGAACATGACAACATCAGAAGGTCCAGTGTGAAAAAGAGTGAAAAAAGACAGCAGGGTGTGACAGAGCTGCCTGTAAATGCACATTTTCCAGAGGATGTTGGCATGAATGCGTGGCGTTTTGGTCTGACCTGCACTCTGACAGCATGTTCGTGTTTCCTCTTCATGTCGTTGATGTACCAGGCCACTCCGGTCATGGTGTCTATGGCCTCCTGAATAACCTCATGGCCCTCCTCGTCCGGGTCAAAGTGCCTCGCTATTTCCTTTTAGAAGAGAGCAGGGACAGTTACCATCTCTCACAAGATCGTCCAACAGGGAACTAGGAAAATCTTTCCCTAAACAAAGAGAGATGTGTATCCAGATAAATAATTGTGAGATTTGGCGGCTGTTGTTTTTACCTTATATAATACTAAATGCCTTTAATATCTAGGCAAATCAAAGAACCAGAATAGAAAACATTTCACTCTTTGAACTGGTAACCAGTCACAGGCTATTCGATGTAGCAAAGCTTGCAGTCTGCAGTCAGCATATGGACCAATGTGGACATTGTGTACCTGGAGCAGCAGGTGGTACTTCAGGATCCTCTGGACCGGCTTCAGCAGGTAGGAGCCCAGAGGGAGGGAGCGCCTCAGATCAGCCTGTCGCTCCCTGAAGAACTTGGCCAAAGTTTTACTCCCCATGCAGTCGGTCAGTGCTGCCACTGAGCTGAGGGACAGCAGAGAATTACATTTCACTACAATCAAAGAAAATACCTCAGCAAAAGTTGAATTAAAAGAAATGTTCTCTAGCTACTTACTTGGGATAGTTGGTGCAATACTGAGTGTATATTTCAAAGTGTTCACTCTGAGGAAATACAAGTGCAACAATTAGACATCTAGAGTTTATTTCCTTGAAGATATGAATGTAAATCAGCATGAACAAGACGTTTTAGTTCCTCTAACCTTATCTACAAAGCAGCGGGCGATAGCCACAGGGTCGTTCTCACACATGTCTAAGGACTGCAGCAGTTCACTGAAAACAGAAAGAAAGTTGAGTGTTACTGTTGCTAACCGAATTTATATTTCTAGAAGGGATAACAAAAAAAGAAGGGAAGAACATGATGAGTGTCAAAGTAAACGCATACTAATTCTCAGAGATATGACCTTTGTTGAAAATGTCCACTAGATGGCGGCGTTCACTGTTAAACATTAACCTTGTTGCATGATCAGACTGATAAGATAAAGCATTTGACTTGGAATTCTCCATGCCTTCAGCAGTCGCATGAAAAACAAGCTTTATCCAGAGCTAGGGAAAGCACAACACGAGAGTTGTACAGCATCTAAATGCTTGAGAGGGTGTGACATCACTTCAATAATAACATTTGCATCACTGAAGGAGGCTACATGAGGGGAGGGTCAGTGTGGAAAAAACCAGCCGCACAGAAAACCTGAACATGACCAATGATCATGAGCGCTTTGCACGAAACCTGTTCAGTTAACAAAACACATGAAAATATGTGAATCAAACACAATTCATCACACAGCGCTCAGATCAAAGACTGCGTGGCTCTACCGAAACTGAATAATGTCAACATGTTCACGGTACAATGAGGAAAATCTTGGTGCTGAGATGTGTCTCGGACACAATGTCAATATTTGTTCATACCGCATGATTACTTTGTCAATATTTGGAGGTGAGAAAAGGGTTTAAAGTAGGGATGAAACTTAAAGTGCTAACCTAACATGCTATTTTTAGGCAATAGCATGGGTCTCAGATATATACAAATATATAAAAAACATGTCTATGAAGTGTTTTGCTCAAAATACCAAACAGATCACCCATTCTAGCCATGCCTCATATCCCTCTATTTCTCTTCCTGTTTCAAAAGTGCTGATTTTGGGTATAAAGCTTTAAAAAATAAAAGATTTGATAACAAATAAAAAAGGACCCCCTCCTTTTTTATTTGTTATCAAATCTTTTATGAGCTGAGCTCATGCGTGACCCGGCAGCTACTGTCTAAACTAAATACTGCCGTGATGAAACGCCGTATCATGGATTATCATGGATTATTTCTGAAACAGTATGGAGCTCAAAGGCTTTCTCTCTTGCCGGTTATACCCAGTGTCGGGAGTTACAAAGTAACGCGTTACTGTAACGCCGTTATTTTTGGCAGTAACTAGTACTCTAACGCACTACTTTTTAAATTCAGTAACTCCGTTAGCGTTACTACATAGTGCGTTACTCCGTTACTGCGTTAGTTTTTTTATATAGTCAACAGCCAGGCGAACAGAGATGAGAACTGTACTTAAGTACTTGAGTAAATGTACTTAGATACTTCCTGTGTCACATGCGGAGACGGGCTGTGGGCGTGTTTGTGTTGTTTACTAACAAGACTATCTTGGCGGCGGCAGAGCTCAAGTCTAGTTTCTCCACCTGGAGATATTCTCACTATTTCACTTTTGTCGAGCACAAAGAAAAGAACGTTTTAGTTCAATGTAAGTTGTGTCTTGGCGGGTCAAAGATCCTATCTACTGCCCAAACCAGTAATTAAAATCTCTTAAAACATCTGCAAAAACAACATGCTGGGACGAAGCTAGTAGCTAAGACCACAGAGACTCAGCCGACGCCACTCCACCTCCACCTAAGCAACAGCGGCTGGATTTTAACCAAGGGACTGCTAGCCAGGGAAAAGTCGATAAAGCCATTGCACGGTATGTTGTAGAACACATGCAGGCTATTGCTACAGTGGAGTCACCCGCTTTCAGGTAGCTAGTTAGCATGATAGCATGTCCGGGCGGCACACGGCATATGGGACGGAACACTTTTTCCAACTACCTGGAGAAAGAATATACAAAAATGGAAAGCCAGCTAATATCGATGCAATCCAGATAGCATATAATGCATGTCAAGTTGATCAACAGATTGTATTATTCTCCAATGCAATAACAGTACTGAAATGAAGGCTATAAGGGCATTAATGGGAGCCCTTTTTTTAAGTAACTAAAAAGTTACTTTTCACAGTTCACAGTAACGCATTACTTTTCTGTGTAAGTAATCAGTAAAGTAACTGAGTTACTTTTGGAAAGAAGTAACTAGTAATGGTAACTAGTTACTGGTTTTCAGTAACTAGCACAACACTGGTTATACCACAAGGTGAGTTCCTTTTTATTTCCTGCTTCTTCACACACGTGCTCTCCAGTACAGGTTAGCTCTGAGTGTTAGCGATGCTAATGTGAACACCTACCATATTACGTCCAAAACAGTCGGGCATTTTTTCTGATAGCAACTTTCTGATAGTGCTGTGATATTACGTCATATCGGACACAAATCTGTTTCAGCTCCGTTGTTCCCCCGTTTTTAGAGATTTGGGTACGGAGGAAAAGAGAGAGGGTTTTATTTTCTGACGCTGCGTGAGTTCCCCGACACACCGGGGACACATCTTTATGTATAAAAGACATCAAAAAGTGCATTTTGCATGATACTGTAGGTCCCCTTTAAAAATTGGAATTTTTTTTAAATGGTGCAATATCAAAAATCGCAGGAAAAGATCCGGCATACAAATCATAATATTATAAATATGAAGTGTATTATAAATATGAGTGAAAAAAACCTCTTTAATTAGTACATATCTCTGCAAAAAATGAAATCACGTTTAACATATCTTTCAATGAAAATGAAAAAAACGTTTGCAAAATGAATTCCCTCCAATCATATTATATGCATAATATCTCAAAAATAATCGCAAGTTAAATATATTTGTTCTCCAAATGGTTCGAATCGGCTGTTTAGCTATCTTCAGTGCTAACTTTTGGAGATCACAGCTTCCCAGTACAGTTTGACAAGAAAGATATGTCCCTTTAGATCCTAAATCTGTCAGAATCTGTCTTGTACAGCTGGTTAGAATTTCATCAGAAAGTAATAAGGAATCAAATTATCCCCGTTTGTGGTTCAGAGCTGTACCATAGCCTTGGCATTACCGGGGAGGCTCCTTGCTGTGAGAGGAGAGAGGAATGTTAATGTGTGTTTTGGCAAGCAGTGTGGTCAGCAATGAGTACTTGCTGACATAAATGCGAAGCAAGCATTTCCCCGATTCTGTGATATCTGCAGGAGTGTGTGTGGTGTAAAGTCTGCAGGAGTGTGTGTGGTGTAAAGTCTGCAGGAGTGTGTGTGGTGTAAAGTCTGCAGGAGTGTGTGTGGTGTAAAGTCTGCAGGAGTGTGTGTGGTGTAAAGTCTGCAGGAGTGTGTGTGGTGTAAAGTCTGCAGGAGTGTGTGTGTGGTGTAAAGTCTGTCCTTCCTTCCATCCATTTCGTGTCAGTGTAAGAAATAGCAGCGACAAGTGAAATAACAGCATGCATTCTTAACATTCTTTTATTATCTTACAATAGAACATTATATTACATACACACAGTATGTACGACCTTTGCCTGGCTACCATGAAACTCAATCATAACACAAATTAGATGGAGATGTAGTATGGTTAGAATGCTCTTTGTGTTAGTATTGTGTGTGTGACTCACCTGTTGAACTCATAGATGTCCTCTATGTTCCCAAACAGGCCACACACTTGCTCTGGCCGTATAGGAAGGTTATTCATATCGATAATGTAAGCCAAGTAGTCCTGGAAACACAGCAGAAATGAAGTTATATATGATCTGTTGACATATTGAGTCATGCAGGAATTCAGAATTCTTACCAGTAGAGGGAGCATGTATGTTGAACAACAGCACCCTCCTTGTGTTCCTGTTACATCCTCTATGATGTTTCCCTATGACATTTGGTCTGATCAAGTGACTCCTACAGTTGTGGGGCTGAATGACATGTGATCTAATGTAACCTATATAAAGAAGGATAACATCATGATTTCAAGGCTTACTTATTATTTCGGTTTAATAAAAAGACAGTTTTTCACATACAATTGATGTGATTTTTAAAAGGATCCTTTTAAGGATTTGTTCCGTTGACTTGAAGCCAGTGTTACTGTCTGGAAGAGGCTCTGTGGTACCCAGACCGTAAACATCACAACAGCCTGTTCCCTTCCCCGTATCAGACCCCCCCCCCCCCCAGGATCCCAAGAGTATTCAGTAGTAGATACAAATATCAACAAAAAAAACACAGGAAATAAACGTGCCAGCATCTGGATGATTATCCTCCCTTGTGGGTCAATTACACGCTCATGTGGCAAACAAACATCTCCAAACAAGTGGAGGAGTAAGTTGACGAGAGGCAAACACGCACACACGCAGCGACTATATAAAGAGCATACCAGTAAACAGCCTGTACACACAGCCAGCCTCCCAGACGATGTCACACACACACACCATGTATACATCACTTCAGGGGACATTACATTGAATTACATGCATTTCCTGGAGACTTATCCTAACCTTAACCATAACATGCCTAACCCTAACCAAGTATTCACCCTAAAATGAATGATTCCCCTTATGGGGACCTCCAATTTGTCCCCATAAGGGAGGAGAGTCCCCACACGTGACTGTGTAAACAGATTTAGGTCCCCACACACACACACACACACACACACACACACACACACACACACACACACACACACACACACACACACCACACACACACACACACACACACACACACACACACACACACACACACACACACACACACACACACACACACACACACACCACACACACACACACACACACACACACACACACACACACACACCACACCACACACACACACACACACACACACACACACACACACACACGGGGGGGGGGTAGTCATCACTGAATGAACTGCTGTCAGTCATGGAATGAGAATTCCAGTGCAGTGAGAGCAATGCTGACTTGCAGTCGGCAGGGCGTCTCATAGTCTCCTATAGAAAACTCGCTGCCAGTGTTCATACCATAAACATGTGACCTTTAGCTTAGCGTCAGAGGTTTGATGCTATGTTTGTATTCTAAACTATGTATGTATCTTACAGTGCTGCATGCCGAGCTGTTTAAAGAATATGAAAGGCTATTTTGTCCTTTTTAATGCTGTTATAGGTCAAATTAAAAAAGCACTGACTACATTCTTGATCAACTATGTTGAGTATGATTTCTCTGGGTGTGTTTGGGCCAGGTGTTGGGATGTCTTTGGACATGCAAGACCAGCTGGGATAAACAGCTGTTCTTACAACTTGATTTCATGGATAGACAGATGATTTGAGGATTAGGGACAAGATCTAAAAGGGAAAGAGGACAACAGCTGCCAGATAGCTCAGTGTCAATATCAAGTGGAAGCTTTTGATTAGTTTGCTAAAGGGACAATGCCAAAATGAGAGAAGAGTTTCACACGTCTCCGTCAGATTCAAGGCTTGGTGTGAAATTAAATTGAGCTGCAGGGGATCATTTTGATTGAAGCCATACTGTAATCATAAAAGGATAAAGGATACAACTGTACTAGACTGTGTTCCCACACTGTAGCCTATAGAAAAAACTGTTTCTCTCCTTTCATCTGTGTTATTTCTCCAGTTGGCGTAAAGATGGAGGTGTTTGTGTTGGCTTGGAGGGTTGGGGAGCTCAGTCTGAAGCTCTGTACAGGCCGGGGCCCGAGTGACCGGGGCCAGCGCCGGCTGCTTGATGGGCTGCTGCTCCTGTCAACTGAAATACTTAGAAGTCCTGGAAGTGTTTGTCAGGAGCAAGTCGTTACTCAAGCTGTTACGGGGGCAGCCATCCCTCCCACGGCAACTGCCAGACGCCAGCACGGACAAAGTGAGGAGAGGTGCTTGTTGGCTTTCTGCCAGTCAGACTCAGAAATACCTCACATGTTAAAGACATTACCCATAGTGCAGAGGAGATTGTTTAACAGCAGGGCGCTCCTGTTTCTATGCAGGAACGATTGAGAGCCTCTCGCTCTGGAAGTTGTTTCCAGATTACAACACGTTGAAGATGTGATAAGATGTAAGTGTTCTGTTGAGTGGGGGAATCATCCCTGGCACATTTTCATGCTTCACATTTCTGAGGGGAAGTTTCTGCTATCTTTGGCTAGGATCACAAAGCCCATGATTTCTGTCATGACAGAACTGCACTGTGTCTCAGTTTTGACTTTGTGATTGAACTCCAGATATGAGCACACTCCATAATCCCAGGCTACAGGCTGTAAACTTTCCCTGCACTGTAAATATACAGAACGGTTTATATACAACACTATGAACAGATCATAAAGTGCCCCAAAGCCTTCATCTACATGAAGTAGAAATATATAAACAAAGAACACAATTGCCAGATGTGTCAGGCATGCATTTTTCTCAACCGAGTGATTTGATTAGAAAGCAGAGGAAATCAGAAGGGATAATGGTAATGAAAATAAAATATAAAAATCCACTGGGTGATTTTACTCATTTGGGGCCACAAACCGCTGCTTGGAACACAGCAGACATTATTGGTTCTCAACAGCCATTGAGCCCCTTTCCCCGATTTTAGCTCCTAGCTGGCAACATGTAGTAAATCACCTCCAAAATGTGCTGCAGACATGGAGTCATAGCAGCACATTCATCCAAATTCAAGCATGTGCTTTAAATACACAGAACACTCGTGATTTACTCTCACTCAGTGGCGAACCGTCAGGGCCTTCAAGGTATTCAGAGAATACCCTGGAACACTCAGATAAAACAAACAAAAAAAATCGATTTAATTATATAAATAAAATGTAATCAAATGTATATAAAATGAATAAATGAGAATCGTATCCGTGTTGTTGATCTGTAATATTACAGTGTTACGTTGATTTGTTTGTCCTTCTCGGACCATGCACTACGCATTTCAGTGGTTTTGTGTTAGAAAAGAAAGCAACCAATCAGATCTTGTTCTGGGTCTCTGGGTAGAATATCCTTCAACAAGGTATTCTACATCCTTGATCGAATGCCCTGGCCGTTGCACTGAATGAGAGCGTACGTTTGGACTGACAGTTTGATCAACCAATCATATAGTGATTTGTAGCCAATGGGCGTATTCTTTCAGAGTTTCCCTCGGTTCCAGGGTATTCTAGAAGGCCTGTTAGTTAACTGGCTCGAGACAGAGGATCTATGAATGCGACGAAGCAATTCATGCCGTTTTATTGTTTTTAACGTTGAAATGACAAGTGCAACAGGTGAAGATGAAGTTGTTGCGGAATCGTTGTGAGTACCCTTTTCAAGACGACAATTCAGTGAAAAGACGGACATTATAATGCTGCAGAGGGGGTGGGGGGTGTGTGTGTCTACAGAAGGTCCAGTTGTGATAGACACGGTTCGCCACTGCTCTCACTAAAATGCAGGTCACCCTTGAAAAAGAGATCTTTTGATCTCAAGGGGCTTTCACCTGGTTAAATAAAGGCTACAAACAAACAAACAAACAAACAAACAATATCAGATGGTTGGCTAAAGCTGAATACTTGGCTGACAACACCAACTGAGACGGAACATTTAAATACAGTAGTCAGCATAACCCTAACATCCACTCACCTCCACGATGCTGCGCAGGTCCTGGACGTACATGCGCTCTGTCTCAATGATCTCCATGACAACACGATCCACATAGGTCAGCTTTGGGTTGGGCGCCATGGCGTGCGTGACGACAGGCGAGTGGTGGATATGAGGTACTTTGCCGCTGGCCTTCCTGTTGGAGGTGGCGTTGTTGTTGTTCCACTGGTGGCTGATCACCCGGGGCTCCAGCCGCTCCTGCCAGCGGCCCCTAGAGCAGCTGAGGGTTGGACTCCGCTCTCTGGTGCTGTCTGCTGGGCTCAGCTCCAAGTCTATGTCCTCCTCGCTTTGTATAGGTGGGGTGGTGGACGAGGGAAGAGCTACGGTGCTCCCGAAAGTGCTGCGGCTGTCTCGGGACGACCCAGAGGACAGGGTGGACACGAGGCTCACTGGACGGTCACCCTCTCCGTCCAGTGGCTCCACAAATAGCCGGCTGTAGCAGTCTGGGCCCAAGTCAACGTTTGCCTGGACATGTTCACCGGTGGAGAGGGGCGATGACAACTGAGGAGATTCTGGGAGAGGTGAGAGGAACACAGACAGAAGGAAGGTGTCAGGGTTTGAGAGGCAGATCTTGGCGAGGCCACCTTAAAATGCTGAGGGTCTTAGTTACACACATTTTGGTTTGAGTAGCACGTAAGAACACCTGCTGTTTTATTGGTTTATTTCAGTTGTAGTTTATGGTAGGAAACTCACGTAGCCTGCTTTTTTGCAGCAATGTAATTAATCAAATGTCCACCTGTGCATGCCACAGCCGCCCTGTAACTAACCTTCTGTGCAGCTGCACTAAGTGTTTGACTTGACGAACCAAGATGACAAGGCCATTAGTAAACCATGCAGATAGATATTTATATTGCTCATTTAGTTTCTTATAAAAAACACGATGTATCCCATCTTTGGTAGTATAGTTCTATGGATAGAAAATATAATAATGATCTTAATGATGACGAATAACAGCAAGGCTACAACTGCATTAAAGCACTGTCTGGAAACAACTTTAGATAAATAGTATTCTAGTTACATTGAGCAGACTACTACAAATCAATAAAAGACAGCTCAGAGCTCTGTGTTCTCACTCCCACACAGAGGACTGGTTTACAGTAAAAGGACTTGCTCAAATCATTACTGACATGTTCTAACTTAAACACTGCCTATTTTATGGAAAACCAAGCCATTTCCTCTTTTTCACTCGACTGCTGAACCTTGGAAAAACAGAGCGAGGGAAAACTGACGGGAAGAAAAAAAAGGGGAAGGGTACCAGCAGCTTTGTTTAGGTGTCCTTATTGCCCTACGCTTAAGAGAAATGGAATCCATATTGTATTTCACATCCTTCCTGGCTGAGTTGGGAATTTTCCTCACAGCGTTTCCTATATATATGAAGTCATGGTGGTGTGAGAATGGAGAATTGAGTGGCCACTGTGGCAAAGAGCTCCATTTCCTGAAATATTTGCAGTGCAAAGGGGTCAGAACCGTTTGGCCAAGCTAAAGAAATAAAGCTTTGTCGCATCATTTGACTTCAGGCTAATAAATGGAAATCTATGAGGCACAATCATTAACATTAACAGGTAATGCCGAGTGGGGATGGAGAGCGTTGTTTGGTTTTAATAGTCCACAGATGTCAAGAGCCTGAAATACACTCTCATTCACCAGTGTTGACAAGCTTGTAACATGAATATGTTCATCATTACATGTGAATCGTTGGACCTGGCCCACAGATGATAACACAAACCTGATGTGTCAGCAGAACTGTATTTCATCAATCTGTAGGAAGCTGCAAGCACGATTTACAAGCATGCTAACTTGAATGATCTCCTATGTGCAGTTTAAAGACTACAATGTTTTACAGCTCTCGATGGAATGGATTATTTTAAACAAGACAAATATTTAACATGAGAGCATGGGAACTGAAAGTGCTCAAAGTAAGTGATTTAGGAAGTCTTGAAAAAAATATCTGATATGCAGCCGGATGAAGGGCTCCGCATGAGGAATTAAACAGCATTTCAGTTCATTCACACACACAAACACACACACCTTCTGGCATTCTCAAACTTTCCATGAGTCAGTCCTGAGCTCATGAGAGTCTTGTTCACGCTGTACAACTTGCTCCCCACCAAGCCCTCTCGACAACACAGTTCCCATGCACAACCTCACTGGGAGAAAAGGATGAGCTGGCAAGCAGTCGCCGACCACTAGAGAAAATCTGTTTACGCTCCGTGACAAATCACAGGGTTGATGGTGCAAAGGGAGTGTAGAAGTGGTGAGCCATTACACTCACTAAGCCACTACGAATTAGAGTAAGGCATCTGCTTCCTTTGCAGCCTCTGCCTTTTTACATTTAGTTTGAGCTTTGCAGTGTCTGGTGTGTGAAACTCACTTCGGCCTTACTTCTTTTCAACACACCAAATCACCTCCTCAAATAATGCCAGCAAAAAAAGGACTTGCAAAAATCAACACGATGTTTACACAGTTTCAACACTCTTCTAGCTATTATATAATAAGTGCCAAAACAAGACGTCTCACTGAACTGTAAAAACTAGACGGTGGTATGTGTATCTAAAGCTTCAACACTTGACTTCAGCACCAGCTCAGCTTCAGATACTACATCTACAGACAGGAATGATCTATTTGGCTGATACCACAAGTCACAGGTTTCTGGGAGAAAGAGGAGTGGTGGAAGAATGCAAATGATCTGGACAACATACAGGTTTATGATAAGTGGAGCGCGAGTTCCCGTGCCAGTCCCCCAGTTATGATACCGTTTCTACCCAAACACGTAATAATAAGCAACTATTAATGTATAGAGTAGACAATGTAAAAGCTTCTTGAGTCTCTTCAGCATCTGTAAACGTTTATCACTTATTTCCACATTGTGCCACTCTGTTGTCAGATGTGGAGGAATTGTAACTGTTTTGTATCACATTTAGCTTTTAGTAAGTTTGTATCTAAAGCAAGCATGATCAGTACAATGAACTTTCTTTAGCGTTTTTGTTTTCAAATGAATAAAGGCTTTATATCAACAGAAAAAAAGAAAAGAAAAAAGAAAGCATGATCAGGCGGTTTTTCTAACATGTTACTTTTGTTAAATAGTTTGTATGTATTACTATAGTGTGTGTTCTGTGTGCCAGTTTTGTCATTAAAAATGTGTTCGCATTTTTTTGACTAAACAATTATGGATGCCTGAACATTGCCTTGATGGAAACCCATGGTTAACATTGATAAACTGTACTTACTGAACTAAACGTCACGTCATATTTAGGCTATTTTCCCATCAGCAACTGAGAGTGATTGAAGATAAGCACAGCTCTGACTGATTTAGGACCCCATTTGTTAACATTAACTTTAATGGTAGGAAAAATAGTTATTGGAATGCCTCCTTAAAATCCCAAATGCCAATGATGTTTTGGCAATAACTGTAGGGAAAGGTCTATACAAAGTAAGCACCCTAACAATGCCAGCTATCAGCACACAATGCTTCAACAAAAACAGTTTTTACTACCAATTGGCTATGGCCGTAACATCTAACATCTGCACACAAACATACATATTTGAGCACATTCTTACTATTCACCTGTCAGTGTTTAATTATCTAGATCATAGCAACGACAGCAGCTAAAAATCATTACACAGGGAATTTGTATAGAGATGTAACAGCTCAGTGGACAGACCTTTACATTGTTACTTACACATAATGGTTGCATAGTTAAGTAAATGGCCCAGCACGACATTTCCATTTCAGTCCAGCCATATATTTCACAAAGTAAACCACTTCAACGAAACACAACACTCCTTTGTTTCAGTGCTGCATCAACACTTACAGAGATATAACCATTAACCAAGTCAAGGCTAGAGAGATAGTGTAGTATTTGGGTTACATTTCAGGCAGACTCACAGCACTTTTTGAACGTCCAGTTATTCTCAACAAACTCCCAGCAAGACCATTAACTAAGTGTTTTGAGAATTGTATCCTTAATGGGTTACGTTATATCAGCTGCCCGTGTGTGAACATCGCTAAAAGGAAGAATGGTTGGAATTCCAGATTAAAAACCCTGCCAAACCCCTCATTGTAATTCTTTGAATTCCAGTTTCCTGTCTGTTAAGCTGAGGCTAACATCTACAGACAAAAGGTGTGTTGGTGCTACAAGCATGACCTTGCCTTCTCTATTGTTGCTTCCCTCAATCCAAATCCCCTGGATAGTGGCTCGTTTTAATGCAGTGCTGGCGTACGCTAATACAACATGTAACCTTAAAGTAGTTGTGAATGTTTCCGAGTGTTAAAAAAAGGTAAAATAAAACAGCTTACCAGTTCAGGTACCCTTTGGTTGAGGATAAAATCATTGAGTGCGAGGGGTGTAAATGATAAAGAAATGGATGTAAGGGATGGGACAGGTGATTTAGAGGAAATGCTTCCGTTTCATTGCTACAAGCAGACATTCACTCACTGAGGGGCTCAATGACTAAGCAGTCTAGAACTAATAATGCAAAGTCTACATTTCAGTCTGAGCTTATCATGCAGCTAACAAAGCAGACAGTTCATAAACGTGTCCGCCTCTGACATCACGGTTAAATGAATGACATGCAGAGCCTAATAAGGTGGTGAAGAAGGTGAATGGAAACACTGAATTAAACCCTCCGCACCTGGTCGTTAACATTTCTAAAAGGCAACATGTACGACAGAGATGATCTGTATCCGTCTGACAATGTTGGTGTATGGGACACAAAGCATTCCTTCATAGCAAAAGCTTTCTGGCTTCTCTAAAAACAATCTAAGCATGTTTGGATAATGGCAGACATATCTAAGAAAAGGGTCTCCTACGTAAACACGTTTTCCAGATGAATGTTACCTCCTTTAGGAACATGATAAGCCACGGCATGCAGCAATGCTAAATCATGTGATGATGTGACTTGCGTTTCAAAAGTCCATGCAAACCAGCCCAATGCAAATTCTAGCCCGGGAAAGTTTTTGTTTCCTCCAAAGTCTGAAACTGCCCTTTTAGTTTGGTTATTCACCTTCTCTTCAGCGCTCACAACAGGATGACAGTAAAGTATGTTTGCGTACAGTACCTTGGTTCAAGGTATTAGGAAACAAACTAGACACAAACAAGTTAATAACAAGTTCAGTGTAAAAATTATAGTGCACAATGGGAAATGGAAGACTTCGACAACAGATAATAGGAATTCCTTTCAAGTTGAATTATTATGTGTCGAAGATATTTCTAATAACAAATCTATAAATAAAACACACTCATTATTCTTCCTTGAAGTTTATGATTGCTGACTCACCAAGGAGGGAAACCTGAAGGAACAAGGTGTCAAAGTCCTGGAAGATTTCTAAATCGCCTTCTTCAATCCCTCACACTCCTGTGACCAGACTCAAAATATGATGAACGATGAGTGTGCACTGCACAGTGAAAGAGGTGCTCATTGAAGACACACCTTAAGACTACTTCAGATGAACTTACTGGGAAGCAAAGTCAAAACTTTATTTGATTATTTCCCTTTGAAACTCAAAAATAAAGCTGGCTTGTGACATTTTGTTTTTTAACCAAAGCAGAGGCAAAGAAACAGGAACAACAAAGACTATATCTAATCAGCATGCAAATGCTTATCCTAAAGCTGCAGGAGCACTTTCAGGGAAGGACGTTCCCTCTCTCTCCACTGGAAAACTGTTGGCAGATAACACTAGCCATGCGTCGGTTGCATCAGTGTTAAGCTGCGCTGTGTTTTCCTGAGCGTCGCAATAAGAGAGTGAGAGCACTGTGGACAGAACATCCCACTGACAGAAACAAGCCCCTGCCTGCTCTGTGAGTAATACCTCACACAGCCCCTCCTGCTTGATTCACATTGACTCATGTATCAATAGGTGATGAATTGAAACCCAGCGGACATTGATTCACTTCTTGCATAATTCCTCTAGACACTAGCCTGATCGTACCTGCATCTGCATGATCAATGCTGATACAACTGTGAAGTATTGGTCCAGTTTCATCACATTGAGTCATGCAGGAAGAGCACTCCTTGTTTCCTGGGTGCCTGGCACTGCCTTGACAGCTTCATACATTACTTCAATACCCGTAGGCAAAACTGTTTTTTTATGACTGCTGGTAATGTACCTCACTTACTTAAAAACCTTTCTTGCAACATACCATAAAAACATGGTTTAAAGCTGCTGTCTTTTCACTTGCTTTATTTTGTATGTGCTAGCATAGAGTAAATTCTTTCTTAAGAGATATTTCACTTCCTCACATTAAAGCATGTAACCAGGTGGACAATCCTAGTTCCTAATTGGCTGATTAGTATGTTCACTAACAAGCAAAGAAAAAAAAAACAACAACTTCAAAACGGCTCTTGCGGCGACCGCTAATCTGCGAACTCTTTCAGAGCCAAGTGCACAGTGTGTGACCCCGATTCTCCTCGGGGGATAAAGGGGGCCGTGTGTTGCAATACATCTTAATACGAAATAAAATACTTCCGCCCCTCAAGATCCACTCTGAACTTCCTTCTTCAACACCCCCCCCACAAATCCTCCGGCACTCCCGCGGAGGCTGTAGGGAGACGGGGAGGTAGTCTTTACTGATCCCCTTGGGAAAAACTCCTCCCCACCTGGCAACGGTGAATGGCGGCCCCTCAGGAAGGCAGGAGGCACAAGCACGTGGGGTTCCTCTGAGGATTAGGCCCAGAGTCTTCACAGACAATTATCAAACAGCATGAGTCAGAACGTTTGTGATTACACATCAAGACTGAGGGTATGGACTGATTTCTTATCTCTTCATAGAGTGGAAGAATTTGAGTCACTGTAGTGTTCATATATGTATAACATGATGGTTTGATTTACACCTGCCTTTGACCTCACAAGGAGATTTTAATGCTCAGTTAATGATTAGCCTGAAGGTAGGTAAATAAACGGCAGTGGACAACAGAGGCTGAGTACACACATGCAAACTGAACCTGCATTCCAGAAACACAGTCAAGGTCGAAACCTTATGCTGGGAAGATTGGGGGAATTCTGGTGTTTAAAAGTTAAACTAACTAGAGTTTTTGAAGCCTGCTAATTTCACTAATGTACTGAGCTCGATAGATTTTCTTTAATACCTGAAATGCTTGTGTTGTAAAAATGTGCTCTTGGATCAGACTACCAAAAGTCAACTTTAGGGTAATAATCAGAAAATATTATACTAAATGAAAGAACCATTATTTGTTTGTGGATTTAACCTTATAACATATAACAAACTAAACCAGGATGGTGTGAATAGGAACATTTACTTCCTCAGCATTAGAGAGCAACATGTTTTAGAGAGGCAGGATTCTTAAAGAACCAAAAGGACAAAAGCTCAAATGTAATCCTATAAACCTCGCCTGCACTGGCTCTTAAAGCATCCAGCTGTGCCAGCTAACCTCAATGCATAGGCATGTGATCATCCACTTAGGAGACTCCTCCATCAACAAGCCCCCCCTTTAAGAGCCCTTCAGGCATTAGGACACAGCCAGCTTTGGATCCATTCAAAACTCGCATCTCATCTGGACGACACACACCATCTGGGCCCTGAGGTGCGAGTCCTTTGTAAACTTTACCACCAATTTGACAGCCTACAACCAACCTGCTGTCATGTCCGCGGCACTCTGCAGAGTCCAGAGTCCACATGGGCTGTTGGCAGGACTGTGTGAAGTGTGCGTGTGGGGGGGGGAGGGGGGGGTCACGGAGGTACACTTAATTTACTTCCCATCGAGCTGTTTTATCACACACAGCGTAATAAAGAGTGTGATGCTGTTTCTACCTTGACTGACCCAGCAGTTACTTCCTTGTCTGTCGTGTGCATTACCACACAACAGGCAGCTATATGACATAATTATTAACTTAAGCAACACTAGCGAGTTTTTGTGGACGTGCATGACTTTAAAACTTAACAGGAGTTGCTGCTGGCTAACCTGAGCCCGCCTGTGATCAAAGCTACAGGCAGTTAAATAGAGCTTGAGTTCCAGTCCAGGAGCTCCATTGATAATCTCACTCAGATGCAGCCATCCCTGCCATCAAACATCTATATCCACCACCCTATGCCCATTGGTCTGGAAAAGCTGCGGTGAATGGAGATGATCCACCCGTCCCCCAGAATCCCTTTAAAGCAGTACATTCTGCACACACAGCTACATTCCTCCCAGAGGTTAAGTAGGTCAGAGGGAACCCTTATCTTTGAAAGGGATGCTTCTTGATGCCTCAGGTCTCTTGATGCCTGGCTGAGCAACTTTCATTAGATTGACAGGGTGAGACTTTTAAACCTAAGATTTTTCTCATGAAGTAATAAAAGTTTAGCCTAGGTGGAAAGTAAGAGTGGTAAAGTGGGTTCCTGTGGAGAAGTTGTTTCTCTTCTTAAATTGCATAGCTCTATCCAAAGCCTGCTGCTAGTGGTGAAAACGATAAAGTGCTTCTTTGATCATCAAAACTCTTTGACCAGTAGGAGGAATTGAAGATGGATAGGCAACCTTTTTATTGTTTACCTTGACCAGACACGGGGCGGCTTCCTTTAACCTCGTGCATTCCTCCTGCCTGTTAACCACATGCACTCATCACCTCACACAGATTACCAGCAGCCTCACCCCTCAATTACCATCAATCCATCCACGGCAGGGGCGGGTAGGTCAGTCACACTTTGACTCGCACAAAGTCTGAAAATGTATCGACTGCAAGTGGGTGTTCTCTGTAATGCCAAAATGATTTCGCACAGCTGCAAAATAAGCTGTGAGAACGTGTAGTTGGTGTAGAGTGGCCTTTTGAGGGAAATACAGACACTAATTTTCATGAGGGCGGCACACGTCTCCACCAGCCAAAAGCCTTCTCTGGCAAAAGCAGAACCAAAGGGACAAGCGCGGAGGAAAAAGGGAACCATTGACACAGTGCTATTATTCAGCCAAAGTAGAAGCCCAGCGCCAAATGTGTTCAGTAGAAAAGAGCGGAGGCGTGGGGGGGGTTGAGGGACAGAGCAGACAAACAGATACAAAGAGGCCCTGTGTCAATGCCGTAGTTCTCTGTGACTGCTGATAAAGAACGCTAAAATAATATGTCATTTGAGTTGTTCCCAGCATACAAGGTCAGCACCGCTGGCTAGACCAACCGTCTTGGCTGCCGGTGTTTCTGACACGTTCTGGTTTGATGTGCGAGTGTTCGGGGTTTCAGGGGTATGGAAGAGGTTGGCCGAGCTCCACAGGCCAACAAAGAGCCTCTCTGCCAGTCCCTACTGTAGGAGGGGATTCATTGCTCTCAGTTTATGCTTATACATTTCCTCCTTTCCAGTCCTTTTTTCCCCATTTACCTCTGCTGTATTTCTGTTATGTTAGTACACTGTCCTGGGTAACAAGATACACCATTAGAAATAACTCAACTTATAAAAACTCCATGCTATAAGGCTGGTTGATTCATGGGCAGCAATTACCAGAGCATTGGTCTTACTCTTATTTCGTTTGCATTGATCTTACCTTCCCCCATTGGGCCCTGGTAGAGAACAGAATGGGACCCCTCTGGCATGGCACTCAGGCCTCTGGAGCTGACAAAACAAAACATGAAGGGTCAAACCAAACAGGCGCTTCATGTAAGGGCTTACAGTACATCTTGCATGGCAATGTTTATCACAAAAAAAAGGCAATGTTTCTTTACTTTATGTTAAAGTTTCTTATTCTTTTGTCAAGTCAGTCATGCTTTGTCCCTGAATGCAAACTAGCTACAGTCAATTCAGGGGTTATATAAGAAGGAAATTCTTCCCATTCCCCGGGTCCCTGCTCTGCAGTGGCTCATGCCAGCCAATTGCTAATATATAGTGAAACTGGGGCTAAGGTATGCACAGCGGAGGCAAGCAACATTGATATGAGCTCATGCTAATCAGTCGAGAAGGGCCAGGAGGTTAGACAACAGCCTAAGTTAACATGAACTCAAGAGACGTAGTAGCTACAAAGTAAATGTTTTACATTAAAGTACCTCTGTTACTGCTATTTGAGCATGATTAATATTACGTATGCATCTTTAATTGAGGTTTAACTCAGAAAAAGCATTTAAAATTAATTAACAAAATGTTAATACTATATAAAATATTAATGTATGCTATATAAAATGAGTCTGACAGAAACAGACAAGCCCAGCAAAAACAAGTTCATTCTATATTTTAACCTAAAGTATTTGTAAACAAGTGTTAGAAATGAAGCTTTGTTACTTCAAAACAGGTCTCTCATTATTCGTGTGCCTGTCCAGGGAGATTACAGGTTCACCCTGGTGGCGTGTACTTCTCTAATCCCTCATGCCAGGCTGAGGCTGCGGTGCTGTTGATGATGAGGGGTTTCTCCTCAGAAACACTGCACGGCCAGTTTCTCACATCACTGCCTCTATGGCGCCTTACAACAAATTAACATGGACGACTGTGCATGAGAACTCGTCTCCTTGTGATTCCTGGTGAGCCTCCGGCCTTTTAAACACATTCTTAGACCAGCTAGATCAGAGGAGCAGGAATTCTTCAGGGATTAGGATGAGCATTGTTCATAGTGCGTTTGCTGGCCACTGTGCCGAGCTGACAGCCAGGCAGCCGAGGCCAAACTGAGACCACAGCCAGGAGCTGCGCCAATTAAGATGTGCAGGAATGCATGGAGGAAAGTCACAGAGCTGGATCCACACATTGAGATCACTGCTTCACTGTAGGCTTCCTGCAGCTGTAGAGCTCGTTTACTAGACTAACCCTAAAGCAAAGCTAAAGTTAATATGAAAAAAAGCTCTTATCCACCCTATCTAAATTAAATGTGGTTTGTTTTGAATGTTTTTGTTTCCCATTAGTAGCACTATGAAGAATGTAACAATGGTTCCCCATTTGTTTGTATCTCACACGAGAACACAAATGCAAGCATGTGGGCACATACTAACAGGATGACCATCATTTTTGATGCTTTCATAATAACCCACTCCCACAGTTTTGAAAAAAGATTGACAAATCCCACCTACATTACCATTTGTATATATTGTGCCTTCAGCGTGGATCTGACTGAAGTCAATAATCTTATCTATAGTATTCGTTTCATTTGTCCCCGAGGGGAAAATGGGTTGCAGCACATCACAAAGGCATTTAAAAAGATAAGACAATACGTCACTGACAACAACATAGACACAGATTAAAACAAACATAGAAAAGCAGATATCGGCAGACATGACAAGAAGTAGGCCCTCATTTGCGAATTGGGGATGTGGAAAGATTGTAGAGAAGTTCAACTAAGTTGAAAAGAAGAAATAATTTGATTAAAACTCTATCCAAGATCCATGTTTTGGTACTTGACCATCATCAGTAACAATCTGGAATAGCTGGCTAAAATCACTGATTAAACATTCAAATAAGTAGCTCAAAGTAATGAAGAAAATGTAATGAGCAAATTCCACTTGAATATAAGATTTCTTTTTTTTGTCATGTATGGCTTTGGGGTCCCTCAGACCTAACATGTTGGGAACTCTTGCTGTAAAACACGCACATGTACACTCATTCAAAGTAGGGCAGCTCACGTGTCTTCAAGAATGAGGCCTTCTCAAACAGCCTTTGACCAATTAATTTTCAAGAGACGGGTTAGTTTGTGTAACCTGCAGGAGTAGTATTCATGTTGAGGGTCAGGCTTTGAACTTGTCTCAGTGAACAGTGAACTAATACAATCCTGTTAATCCTGTCTACTATGACTGAACCAACCCGCTTGATGACCAGACCAAAACTATGCTAATCTGATTTTGGTCAATGAGAGGCTAGACTAGGGCTCAAAACGTAGGCTGTAGAAGTCTGGGTCTTAAAAATGTGTTTCTAACGTGTTACCAAAGACTGTTGGTAGATGTAGAAAAGGGTTTGGATGGAGAAAGTAAAAATGTCTAACAAGAAATATTACCGCCAATCTGAACACATCTGGACAGAATTCAAAGATCGTAACTCATTAACTTTCATCTCCTGTTTGCTGACATATGGCAGTTCCAAATCCTTGTTTTCCTAGGGAGGGGGCATGTCCAACTCAAATCCTAAAGAAAACACTACCTACAGGCTAACAGTCATGCCAAGCTGGCCACCTGTGCTTAAACTAGATGCCATTTCAACCAAATGGAGAGCATTTGGTTCCCACAGCTGACGTCTGCATTACCCGCAGCATGAACCTCCCGCATAGGAATCTGCAAGTTGCCCCTTAATTGAAGACAGATGCTACAAGAGCCAATCAGATGGTTATTAAAAGAAGGACCTTCAATGGATTACTTCTTTAGATGTGCTTGTTCCTTTAATCGTCAGGCTTGACATTGATCCTTGAATTCAAAGCCTGAATTCCTTTCTGTAAAAACACAGCAAACCGATAATTGAGGGCGACAGATGCTGGCCAAGATTCAGCACCCAGGCAAATAAAGGGAAATACATAGTCAAAAACATGCACCTTGAACCAAGACCTTAGTCCTGACACGTTAAAGTGAAAGGGTCCTCCTCAGGGTGTGATGACTATCTGGAGCATTTTTCACCATTCAAGGTCATGAGAGAAGTGAAACCCCTGAGTGTGTCTACAGAGGAAGCCAATGGGAAACTAGACTTCTGCTCTTCTGACACTTTCTCTGTCTCTACAGGAAGAAATAGACGGGGCACAGACAAGTCAGTGAGGATGTGACATTATTTAACCAAAAGAAAGCTTTACTAGAAGATGCCAAGATTTCTGCCAATTATTGGTCCGTTTAAACCTCCAAAGAAAACCCCCATACGCCAGTTGCTCTCTTTCCAACTAATGCTCGGAACTAATGAAAGTATCCAGCATCTGAGTCAAAAAGGACAGCCTAATCATCCATTTGTGCAACAATTAACAGCCCAAATTGATTTCTCTTCATGCGGAGCAAATGGTTTGGAGGAAAAGCTAAAAATAGCACCAGAGAATTCCGGCTGCTCTTCTCTCTCCCAGTCGGAGACCTGCTGGATCATGTTACACCGTCTGCCTCAACTAGGCCCACGAGAATCTGGAAGTATGACATAAGCCCCCTGGGATGTGTCCAGACAGACAGGGTGGTGCGGGTTTCATTAAGTCACCATCAGTCATGACGGATGTTTATGCTCAGAACAAATACAACTCAAACCTGGCATGGCAGGCAAGGTCCAGGGTCCTATACGGGCTCATTGAGACAGAGAGCCTTTATTATTTCAGCATTGGTGCCATGTTTATCTTGCAAGACCTTTCTCTCACCCTCTAACCCCGTCAGAAATATCCCCTGACAAACAGCCTTTCTGTTGGTGCCCTCTTTCCCACATTAGTCCTGCACTTTGTCACCCTGACACACAGGCCTTAAGAGACGAACAGCTTTTCATTCACAGGGGCAAACAATAAAACCCTCACGGTCTCTCTTCACCTCAATCAAATCCACAGCTTCCACAAAACAAGCACTGCCCTAACGCGTGACTTCCCACAGACACACAACACATGAGACCTCCTATTTTAGAGCGCTGCATTTTTGAGCATGCTGCGAAGATGGGTCTTTAAGTGATCCATCCAAATGAACACCCACAGGGCACAAGTTGTGAGGAGATTTGCTCATATGGCGCACGTACAACCGAGCCAAAATAGCCTTTAATGGGAAAATAATCATTCCCTGCTGTGCTGAAAAAGGAGTAAGAGCAATTTTCACCTCCCCATCAGTGACCTATTACCGCAGAATGCATACCTGGCAAGTGATGTTGGCAAGTACCATCTTATTTGGCAAACAGCAAGTGAAGACTTCCAGTTCTTTAAAGTTAGAAATGGTGGACAGCTAAAGGATAAGTAGTCCTCCATAACGTCCTGCAGTGTTAGGAGGGGAGACTAGGAGACTGCAGGGTAAAATGGGACGGCAAGTCTTCAAATAGAATTGGAGTGTACCCATTTAAAGATGCATTACACCATATTGCAGGCAAACAGCTCCCTTGTGCCTTTGTGCAGACTTGTCCACACACAGTAATAACAAAAGCAGTGTCCGGTCTCCCTGGGGTGTCTGGAATGCTAAATCACTTATGGCACACACTTTCAAACCAAAACAAAGTTGTCAAAGTCTTGTTTGAAGTCGAGCTTTAACGCATGCAATGTAATCCTAACTTTAACTTGCAATAGCCGGAACTTTACGGTCTCCTAAGATCAAGGTTTTTGCTAAGCAGCATCAAATAAGTGCTCATCCACTAAAGGACAAAAGAAGGCGACGTATAAAAAGCTCCCAAGCAGGTTTTTTTTAAAGTTATAAGATATAGATGAAACCACCCCAACATTCTGCAGCTCTGGTCATTTGATCACAGCTGCATCATACCGAGGAAGAAGGAATAATGTGCCAACTCTGAGATCCAAGATACACTGGGGCCGTTTCCTGTTCGGACCACCTGGGAGAGAGCACTGTTCATCGCATAGAGGCAACATTAATCTGAAATAATGATAAGGCGTTATTGTCTGAAAGGTCAAGTGAGGTCAAAAAGAGGTGGAAGATGGAACTTTTCACTGGTAACTGATTGATTGTGTCCCATTCTTCTCTCACAGCTGGGGAGGAAAGTCATTGACCTATGGAGAGCCTGCATTTGAAACCTCACTGGGGTGCTCATTAGAAAAGACAATTAGGATTGCTGGGGCCAAGTATGGGCACCATAGGGGGGAATGGGATGCACGGAAAGAGGAAATGACAAATGATTCAACTGCAGTGTGGATGTTAGTTTGTCGCACAAGTTAAATATGACATCAATGCCTAAGTGGAAAAAATATCAACCTCTTTAAAAAGCACACACAAAAAAAAGAGAATAGTCTCCAGCAGCTGATCAAAGGTCACTCAATTGAGAGTATTTTTTTCCAAAGACAAACACAACTTATCTGACCGAAACTCATGGTCCCTTCCAGAGCTTACAGTATATTATGCACGTTTTGACGTTTTCTGAAGCAAAAAAACCCTCTAAATCTGTATGCAATATCTGCAAATAATGGACTACAAATGCGTAGGAGTTTATTGAATGTTTTAGTTACATAACTCCAAAACGGTCTCTAGGCTGAATGCATAAGCACAAATAAACTCGTGCAGTTTGTTAGTAATTTCCACACCAACTTTGTTTAGCTTAAATTGATCAATGTTAAGCAGGTCAAATCAATTTAAAAACAAAAAGGTTAAAGACAAGCCAGAAAAGCTTCTAAAATGTCCTGTTTTGTTTTTTTAATCCCGCAAAAACACATTGTCAGTACCGACAGACAAACCACAGAAGAAGAATCCTCTTGACATGTGAACTAGCCTCACTGGAATCTTAGTTAACACTGAGTTAACGTCAGCTAAGATTTGGCAAAGTGGTCAAAAGCAGTTCACGTACCGAATTATCCAACTTCTTTCCTCCCGACGACTTCTGTCCTCAGTAAAACTTTCCTCTGCGCTTTCTTGATAAAAACCTTAAAGTTACTCCGGTGTTTTGTTTTTCTTCCACATGTTAAAAGCCCCTCAGACACGTCCAAGCAGCACGGGTCAGCCGCTCGCGCTGCATCAAACTAACTTAGCAAACACACAGTGCTGCATCTCTGAAGAACGGCTAAGAACTGACGCTGCGTTCAGGAGCCCTGGGAAATATAGCTACCACGGATTGGGTTGTAAACGCAAATGAATACCACAACAACAATGTTAGTCTCATCTGGCTCTAGCTCATCCCAACGAGTGGATATGGTAAGATATGTATTAAACTGCCACATGTTACTGCTTCACCCTTTAAATGAATTAATACAATTAGTCACGGAATAACTGCTATTGCTACAGGATGAATTGTGTTGTTTAGTTTAAAGTTGTCACTTCCCAGGAGAAATACATGAACAAGCAACTTACAATAAATCAAAAAGTAAGACTTTTATGTATTGTTATCAACGTTTGTTTTTTGAGAAAAGCAAAAAACTATATTTGAAAGTCCACCTGGTTTAAAATCTCTTACTCGAAGAGTCCGTGAATATGACTACTGACCGCCTGTTTTTGACATGCCCGTGTCTGTTGGGTGAGTGTCAGATGTGTTTCTACATATAAACATCTGGAATGCATAGTTTAGTAATTTATTTCAGTGTGAGAGTTCAAAGGGGGGGTTGTATTTTTTCTATAAAAGTATATTTACTGCCACTCCTAGAAGAAAATGATTCCAACCCAAAAAACAGGCTTGTGAAAAGACATGACAAATAGTAACCCTGCCACATTACATTTATGGCGCTCAGGTCAGTGGTGTGGGAGCTCACAAAGGCAAGCTTCAGTGAATCAATTGGGTGAGTGCTAATTTATGTGATAGTGATTAAATAGAGAGGGGCACTTTTGCTTTGCACTACCCCCTCTCTGCCCCCTTATAAACTGAAGAAAACAATATGCTGGATGACCCTTATTTAAAGAGTCAACTCAACGTGAAAATGTGCCTGTTCCAGAACAAAGTGCAGCTTTGGTGCATTTTTGCAGGTTTACTAGTCTAATGATTCAAACTATGACCACAAGTTTAAAATAAAATCTGAAAATAAAGTTTGTTTATCCCATATTAATCTTTTATTTGGCTGCAATGTGCTGCTGAGTTGAACATATTTTAAACCATGTCGCCATCTTCTGGTAAAATATAGTAACTTATCTGTCCAATGTGTGGGTAGCACTGCATTATAAATCTAGAGGAAAATGTAATTGCATTTATAGGAAGCATATTTGGAAAAATGAGGGTAACTTTAAGAAAGTAGTGTTGTATTAAGGGGTAATTTATAGGCTTATCATTTAGTCTTGCTATAAAACTCAAACCTTATTTTTATATTTAGTTAATTATTGATAAGGCGGCACCTTGAACACAGAATGTTATTGTATGGACAAAAATAATGTACATTTGATGAAGATTAATTAAAGTAGATAGACTCACAAGACCTGAGCAAATAGAACACAATAGAACATGCATTCTGTTCCCATGAACTGCCCCAGTAGTACTAATACATTATTCTTTAACAATTCGTAAAGTGGTGATTGGATAAATATATATTGACCTTTTTTTATTGGTTATTCACACCAGTATTAGTTTGTATTGGGAGTCTGAAAAAGGGTACTACAAAAGCCACACCTGAAATTCCAGGAGTATACCCTAAAGTTAAAACAACAACCTGTAATCGTATGGCGGCGTATGAGAAGCTTGGACAGTATGCGTTGCTGTAAAAAAGGGAATTTGCATCTTAGGGAGGTTGCCAGATAGTCAAGACAAAAAATATTCACCAGCCACATTTTGAGTTAAAACATTTATTTAGTATAAACATCATGTTAATGCTAAAGATACAGAAAGGTCATATGTACAAACAATTGAAGTTCAATATGGTGAATATTCAATAGCAAGGCTACTTTATAGCAAGTATCAATAAAGCATTTTAAAATGTATACATTATGCTTGTTCTAAAAATTCCTAAAACATAAGTGAGAAATACCTTTTTTCCGGTCAAATGTTATTCTCAAAATGATTTGTTTATGTACAACATTACGCAAGTATGTGTAATACGATGTAACAATGGGAAGCTGGAGGTGCAGGACACTGAAGGGATCACCGATTACATTTCATTTATCATAAAGTCCAGAGCTAATTTTTAAGAAAAAAATCTGAAACTCTTACGTTGAAGCAGTGGCTAAAAATAGACCAGGTGATGTTTCCTCCTTTTCTTAACTGACTTTATTTTTAAAAGCTGTTCGCTAAGAGTTATGAGATTGTTAATGGAATCAAATAGAACAGAAGAAAACATCCTTTTATGTTAACCTGAGTACAAACTGACATACAACAATTCCTTTAAACATGCCACTGCATTAAAAACAAGCTACAAATTCAAATATAACACATCACATTTTATTCTTTAAGACGTTCCTTCCTTCCATGTGTATCACCCTTACAAACCAAATATGGACAAAATATAAACAGATCACCTCCAGAATTCTTACTAAATCAAGGGTTATTGTCTAGTCTTTCATCAATCTGGGTTTGTTAACCTGTGTCATTCACCACCAAGGGGGGAACTGAGGGGTCAGATGGGCTTGGTGGTGCTGTTGTAGACGAGACGCTCTCTGTCCTCCAAGCTGATCGGGACGGTGTTGACGGGCACCCGGTGGTGTTGTACCGCCTTCTTCTTTCCTCTACAGAGGCAGTACAGCAGGACGCATAGAAGAACAAAGATCGCTACACCCAGCAGGGCAGCTATCGCTATAATACCTGTTGAATATATTGAAATACACTTTAAAAGGTGGTTGAAAGAGCATATGATAGGCTGTGAAGCTGAAAAGGCAGATCACAAAATCAAACGCATGCTCTACAACATGACATTAGTGAACAGCAAGAAACAGGAAGTAAAAGCTGATGGAGCTGCATAGTTTTTTAAGATAAGTATAATTTTAACTTCCTTTTGTAGTCTAGATAGAGAAAATAATTGGAACATACCTGTTTGGCCTTCAGAAATCCTCCTTTTAAATCCATCATTTCTTGCAAAAATGTCCTTCTCTGAAATAATGAAAAAGACAGGAAATGTTTTAGACTTTTTATGCAGAATGTGATATGTAGAAAACATGAGGAAAACCCACAGGAATCCGCACACTGCTATGAAAAGGAATCAAACCGGCAACAAAAGACTTATTTGGCCACTTGAGAGCGGTACAAATCCAGGCTGAAGACTTTTCTTTTTGTCGCTGCTTTTAATTGAACTATTCATATCTTAGACTGCACTGTAACTTTTATCCATGTACTTTTGCTTTTAATGTTTAATTGACAGCACTGTAACTTTTATCCATGTATTTTTTCTTTTAATGTTGATTTTATTAGCTTTTCTTTTTAATGACTGATTTTAAATGCCATTTTCTTAATCTCTTTCATTTTTTGTAAAGCACTTTGAATTGCCTTGTGTTGAAAAGTGCTATATAAATAAACTTGCCTTGCCTTGCGTTGCCTTGCCTTACAAATAAGCTGATCAAGAGAACTCCAATGATTTAGCGTTTGGTGGTAGAGGGGTATAATGCCCCTTTCCCACCTAAGCAGTTCGTTTATATCAAGGGACACATATTAACCATTAACTCTTTGCTTATTAGCATACTTATAAGTAGCATATTGGATCATTGTAAATAACTTATTCATGCCTTATTTGCATAACCCTTTTCTGCAACACTTTCTATTGCAATGCAACAAAATGCGTAACTACAAGTGGTAATTGTGTCCAAATAACTCTAAATTAAGTCTTGCTACCTAAGAATAAGCGCTTTGAGCATCAGAAAAAGTGCTATATAAATATGTATTATGTAACATGTATGTATGATTATTATTATTATTTGTTTTCCCCATTCAAGTGAATTCTGGGATGGCAAACCGCAAGTGTTGCTCACAAGACTAATGCCCACAATGCAATAAAACTGCTGACAGCTTTGAGATAAAGTAGTTTTTTCAGTTTTTTGCAGCTAAACGCTTCAATAGTTTAACCAGCAGGTTGCTAAAAATGCTTGCCTCAGAGTTCACATTTATATTTTTGCCTGTTTCCTTTTTTCTTAAAAAGGGACGTCAACTGGTTATAGGCCACTGTATATAAGGGTTATTTAGAAATAAATTGGAGAAAACAGCCTGAGGAGGTAGAAACAACAGTACAGTGGGGCAAAAAAGTATTTAGTCAGCCACCAATTGTGCAAGTTCTCCCACTTAAAAAGATGAGAGAGGCCTGTAATTTTCATCCTAGGTACACTTCAACTATGAGAGACAGAATGGGGGGAAAGAATCCAGGAAATCACATTGTAGGATTTTTAATGAATTAATTGGTAAATTCCTCGGTAAAATAAGTATTTGGTCACCTACAAACAAACAAGATTTCTGGCTCTCACAGACATGTAACTTCTTCTTTAAGAGCCTCCTCTGTCCTCCACTCGTTAACTGTATTAATGGCACCTGTTTGAACTCGTTATCAGTATAAAAGACACCAATCCACAACCTCAAACAGTCACACTCCACTATGGCCAAGACCAAAGAGCTGTCAAAGGACACCAGAAACAAAATTGTAGACCTGCACCAGGCTGGGAAGACTGAATCTGCAATAGGTAAGCAGCTTGGTGTGAAGACATCAACTGTGGGAGCAATTATTAGAAAATGGAAGACATACAAGACCACTGATAATCTCCCTCGATCTGGGGCTCCACGCAAGATCTCACCCCGTGGGATCAAAATGATCACAAGAACGGTGAGCAAAAATCCCAGAACCACACGGGGGGGCCTAGTCAATGACCTGCAGAGAGCTGGGACCAAAGTAACAAAGGCTACCATCAGTAACACACTACGCCGCCAGGGACTCAAATCCTGCAGTGCCAGACGTGTCCCCCTGCTTAAGCCAGTACATGTCCAGGCCCGTCTGAAGTTTGCTAGAGAGCATTTAGATGATCCAGAAGAGGATTGGGAGAATGTCATATGGTCAGATGAAACCAAAATAGAACTTTTTGGTAAAAACTCAACTAGACGTGTTTGGAGGAGAAAGAATGCTGAGTTGCATCCAAAGAACACCATACCTACTGTGAAACATGGGGGTGGAAACATCATGCTTTGGGGCTGTTTTTCTGCAAAGGGACCAGGACGACTGATCCGTGTAAAGGAAAGAATGAATGGGGCCATGTATCGTGAGATTTTGAGTGACAACCTCCTTCCATCAGCAAGGGCATTGAAGATGAAACGTGGCTGGGTCTTTCAGCATGACAATGATCCCAAACACACCGCCCGGGCAACAAAGGAGTGGCTTCGCAAGAAGCATTTCAAGGTCCTGGAGTGGCCTAGCCAGTCTCCAGATCTCAACCCTATAGAAAATCTTTGGAGGGAGTTGAAAGTCTGTGTTGCCCAGCGACAGCCCCAAAACATCACTGCTCTAGAAGAGATCGGCATGGAGGAATGGGCCAAAATACCAGCAACAGTGTGTGAAAACCTTGTGAAGACTTACAGAAAATGTTTGACCTCTGTCATTGCCAACAAAGAGTATATAACAAAGTATTGAGATGAACTTTTGTTATTGACCAAATACTTATTTTCCACCATAATTTGCAAATAAATTCTTTAAAAATCAGACAATGTGATTTTCTGGATTTTTTTTTTTTCTCATTTTGTCTCTCATAGTTGAGGTATACCTAGGATAACAATTACAGACCTCTCGTCTTTTTAAGTGGGAGAACTTGCACAACTGGTGGCTGACTAAATACTTTTTTGCCCCACTGTATGTGGAAAATCGACTTGTATAGAGAATGATAGTGGGGAAATGATACCATCTTATGTGCCTTTTAAATAGCATGGTAGTTTGGTAAAGTGGGCAAATAACAATTCACCTGTTACTCCATGGCAAACTCTCGCACAGGTCTCCTTAGAGTCAAATCTGTTGTCATTCCCTGGGCAGCCTCCGTAGTTGAAGCGGAAGCAGTCCTTGTGGAGGGGGTTGTAGTACCACTTGGTGAGACTGTCCCTGCAGTTCCCTGTGTCAGGGAGCTCTGTGCAGCGCACTGTGAACAACAATGAAGGAGCAGGTGAGGTTAGATTGTAGGAAATTGAATATTCCTAGATGGCCAATTACACCACATTTACAATTACCCAAACCAATATGCTCAAAGGTTTTTAAAGCACCAACAAAATATAAAACTTAAAAAAAGAAAAACCTTTTTGTTCATTCACTGGGATCTCCAACAGAATCCGAAAGTTTTTGTCGTCTAATAAGCACACAGGACATAATTCAAGTTAGCAAGTCTTTCAAGGAAGCATCAGTATCAGTGGTATTTAGATTTCCATGAGCATGTATGATAATGAAGTGTGGTTTGCATAGCCACTGCTCACATTCTGCGCAGTGTTTCTCATCCGAGTTGTCGGAACATTGTGGGGTTGAGTCACACTCCAGACCCCGATCCAAACAGCAGCCGTTTTCACACGTGAAATCCTCTGCTGCACACGGACTATCACCACATCTTTCTCCTGCGGCACACAAGGGGGATTGTCTCTTTAAATATCAACTCTTTAACGGAGTAGAGGAAATGGTTTTCGGCAGGATTCACTTACCTTGAGTTGGGGGAATTGGCAAAAGTCTACCAGATTTACCACCTTTTTCTTACAAAAAAAAGGAAAAAGGTTGGATTAAAATGACTCTGGAATGCATTTACTAATAATGACAGGTTAACCGGGCATTCAATGGAGACTATTTACATGATAGCAATATTGAAATGTTTAAATATCATAGTAAATGTAACCAATATATCATCACACCATTAGTTTGAAAGGTTCAGTCAGTAGCAACCCACAGAAGTCATATCAAACAAATAAAGTCCTGCACAAATATTAACCATAATTGTATGACTTAATACATACAAAACCATAGACTATTTAAAGAGGCCCTATTATACTTTTGGAGTGAGTTTCTCTCCCACACACTCCCTGAAACACCTCCATTGGACTCCTTTGTTTACTTCCGTAACATAGTTAAATCACTATGTAACACTGGCGCGTCTATTGGCTAGCACTAAAACATTGTACGTGATAGGCTAAGGGGAGGGACATATCTAAGAGATTGTCCAATCACAACAGAGCCGGCCAGCTAACCAATCAGAGCAAAATGGGCTCTCGTTTCAGACAGAGGGTAAAAAGAGGTGCTGCAGCACACTTTTTGGAGCATTGAAGCATGTCACAAAATACAAATATGAACCTGAAAATGTGCAGAATAGAAAGTGAAGAAATTCCCAGCACATATACCTGAGCTGGCACAGGCGATCATGCACTCATCCTTGGAGAGATAGTTGTTTTGATTTTCCCTGCAGCCCCCAAAGTTGAACGCCTCACACTGTTCTGAGGCACCGTTGTAATGCCAGCGAGGGAAGAGCCCACGACACGGCCCTATCTTCTTTGGAGCCATGCAGTGGTCTGGTGGGAAACAATATTAGGGTTAGGTTTTATTTTGTTTTACATTTTACTAATGTTGCGGGTTAATTATTTACATTTTCTCCAGTGTGTGACATCTCTTAGGTAGCAACAAATTGTGTTAAAGGAATTGAGCAAAGCACTCTCATTAAGGTTTGGTAAAATATGGTTATCAATGATTAACTCATCACTCCAAAGGCTGGAGAATACTGATTGATTGTGTATAAGCTGGCTTCACTTAACAAGGTAACACTTGTTAATGTAGTTTTGAATCCATAAACCAGTTGGACAAAACATTAAAGTTGTCTGTCAACATTTTGTGAAATGGTTTTTGTAGTCTCTTTTAACTTCCTACTTTGGGTGTCTGGCCTGTGAGTAGACAGACACATAATTACACATGAAAATGAGGAAATGCAACTCGGACAAAAGTGGTGATGTGTTTCCAGCAACAGTGAGGTTAAAGAACGTGAGGTAGATAGTCTGCATGTGGTCGATGATACACGTTCTAAATGGCAGATCTTATGAACAGTCATTTCACTACATTACATGCTGACAAAGAACTGTAAGCTATACTTTCATTACCAAGCTCTTATGTTAACAAGTCTGATTGACATCCACCAATGGCTTTAGTTTCTTTTCAATGCATTTATTGTTGTGTAAATGTGGCGACGTTGAAATGTAGTCGCTGCCATGCCCAAGCATTTTCCACTGAGGCACATTCCTCTCACTATCCGGGACACAAGCGGTTAATCAGTAACTGAGCCAATACGGTTAAACATATTTTCTTGTCCTCCAGTCAACAATCAACCAACAACCTGTTTATCCAGCAACTGGTTTAATTTATGTTTGAATGATAGAACTTTTAATCAATACATGAGCGGATTACGGTGGTGTCTGAAACCCTGTTTGTGTAACCCAAGCTGAAACCAGATTGACAGGTTTCGTCGAATCGGGGGTGGAGGGAGACTGATAGTGCTGTGGAAAACGCTGCACTTCCGTTTTCTGGAGAAACAAATGTGCCAAGAGAGGTTGACTGTGGCTTTGTGGTATTCCAAGGGGAACGACACGGATACTCCACAAGACAAAAAGGGAATAACAATCCCCAAACTGCTGCCTCACAACAATGACAACTAGTTCCTGTTTTTTTTTTTACCAACAGTATTGCCATTACAAGAGCCAAATCTGATTGAATCCCCATTAAAACATGAGCTCTTATCTCTTGCCGTTTCGTCATTCAGTCTGCAGGAATTAGGCAAGCATGTCATGACAGGTTTGATAAGCAACTAACACAGAAGAGCTCATGCTTGTGAGAAACAATGGATGAGTTAGTTAGAAAAAATAAACTGAAATGAAATACCACACTGGTCACAAGCTATTCAGAACTTGAGGTCATGAGAATAAAGTGGGAAAAAAATATCACCATATTAGTAAATTATTCATTTAAAAAGGGAAAGATTTATAGATTTTTGTAAAGTAGTTAACAAAACCCGAAGGCCATTATTCTCTGTTGTCCCAACATTAACCACAGGCAGGTGACTCTGTATAATCCAAAGAGAGAGTCAACAAAATACAGGGGAAACACATGACTCATGTTTACAGCTGAAACCAAACCATCCCATTTCAAATGTAACTCCTTGAGTCTATATTTCAAGAGAAACGAACAAACCAAAGCAGCCAAATCTGATATTAGATTTGATTTACAAGCTAAGACATAATCTTAATTGTTATGCAAGTATTGGCATTTACAGGATGAACAGGCTTTTATGCACTCTAATAAAATTAAAATTAAACGGATATGAATCTATATGTTCAGATTATGCTGAAACAGAAACTCACGCTCAGACTGCTCTGGAGTGAGGACCAGGACGGTGACCTTGGTGGAGTCTGATTGGCCGATCGCGTCTGTGACGGTCAGCTGGAACTTGTACACCCCAGATGTCAGGTTGGACACCATAATCTGGTCGTCAAAGTTGGTTTTCTACAAGACACAGAAAGACAGTGTTTTCTTATCATTCACACAAGTGGCCAGAATATTTGTCAACTAAGTGATGGTCATAAAATACAGTAGACATTTAAAGGAATATTTCCCTTTTTTATGGTTGGTTTTTGTATTTCTCTTTGTCTCTGCCTAGGTGGTCTGCTCTGTGGACCTGCTGTATTCTATCTATGTTTGTAAAGCACAACACAAGTTGTTTTAAACATGCTATAGAAATGAATTTGACATGAATTGAATGTAAAACACACAGACCCAGGATTACAAATAGTCCAAGAGTATTTTAAATTCCAAGAAAGAACACATCAGGTTTGCATTGCATTCTCTTTACTCACCTCAATGACAGCATCAGGATATGCGGTGAGAATTTGCCACTGGTAGGTCACAATCCCCTGGTCGTCTTTGCTCTCTACGCCATTCAGTGTCACGGTATCCTGAGGCTGGACCACCAGGTCCTGACCTCCGTTGGCAGTCGGTGGCTGATCGGCAGTATCTGCAGAGAAACCATGGGATAAATGAGCAGAAACAAGAGATCCAAATGCAGTTGGAGTCACATGTGAAGATACAGCAGAGGAATCATGAATCTCTAATAGGGGTCATAACAACGTGACATGTGTGAACATGCTGAAATGTAAGGATCTGCCCTAAACCTGTTGTAGCCTCAGATCTTTTTACAAACTAGTGTTTGCTGACAAAGTATTAAGAAAAAATCCCCAAGAATTAGATTTGCTTTCCCAGAGTAACAGCCAGAAATATATATATTTAACTGTCACACAGATCACTGGTTTTCAACTTGAGCTTTACAGTTATTTATATTGGTATATGAGAGCACAAATATAGACGGTATATATAGAGCACAAAGGAAGAATGTAGGTTATTTTGAACATAAAATAACCATTACAAAAGTAAAACTACATGGATCCTAAATTTGAAGAGACCCTCGTGATACTCTTAACAAAATGTGATATGTATCCCTATATGGACTGTTTTGATCTAGAGAAAACTGCCAATTTACGCAATTATACCTTACTTAAGAATGTGTTTTATAAGTTGTAGGACTTACTGGTGGGGACATCCCGTTCCAGGTAGCTATCATAAACGGAGTCCAGGATGTAACTGCTGTATCCTTGTTTCCTGACAAAGCGGCAGGCGTATTTCTTCTTGTACACACAGTTAAAGAGAAAGCAGGATTTGATCAAGCCTTCCTCGGATCCTCTCTCCATGAAGGCGACATTGCACTCCGGCTCTTTGCAGCACGCGCTCACGCAGTCCCTGTATCGAGTTAATTGGGGCGACGAAATGAACGTGGCTCCGTCTTTCACAGACTCGTCGCCATCGAGGACAAAATCCTCCTTGCCCCTCTTGAATTGGGCTAGACATTGCTCGCCGGCCTGGCCAAAAGTGGAGTCCAGGAGAAACACCAGCAGCAGGAGCACACACCCTGCCAGGTGTCCTTTAGGGAGGGAATTCATTTTAGTCCTGTAACCCAAACGAATAATCCACTGATCTCCTGTTTATACGAAAGTAACAACACCGCCTATTATTAAAGTAGACGATTCCTTCAAGGTGTTTAGGCCTCAGTGGGGCGAAACACTTCTAATATAAATCTTCAGCTACTGCTTTGCACCCAGAAATAGTTCAGGACTTCTCCAAATGCTCTCGAGGCGGATCTTTACTACAGTGAAACTCTCACCAGAGAACAGCCCATTTGATGTCGACATAAAACCGAGCGATCGACGACATTTGCCCAGGTGACTCACCTGAGAGACACAGGAAGTGAAATTCTACTCCTGAGATGCCACTCCCTTCTGACTGTGAGCTCCAAACACAACAAGGACAGAGCTGTGTGTGTGTTTGGGCAATGTGGCATCATTGTTAATGGGGTACCTACTTTATTTTTTGTCTTTTCACTGAATATAATTATAGGACCATAGCATGCATGCTTTTTTTGTTGTGGTTTCTCTCTGGTATGAATTTCCATTCCTTTCAGTGGAGCACTTAGGTTCACTGCTTTTAATCCTATGTCTTCTTTGTTGGTAGGTGGGGGTTTAATTTGTGAAAACTTTGTATTTCTGAATCCCTTAAAGTGAGTCACCTTAAACTAAAAGGTAAACTGAGGTAATTTACAATCTTATACAATGAGTCTTATTTGTGATTTAGTCAAAATTCTTCAAAATTCTAAGGAAATAGGATTTTGAAAAATACTTAGCAGGACAATGTAACATTGTACTCACTATTAGGCAATACAACCACTGCAATCATAGTACATTTAAAAGGCACAATAAAGGACATGAATAGCCTTCATTAGTATTCTTGGTGATACAGAATAAATGTTATAATACCATGACCCCTTTTTAAATATTTTTTTAAAAAGCACTAAATGCTTTGAGTAAAATATGACAGCTTAAAACAGTATATAAAATCTTAAAACTAACAAAAAGGTAAAAAAAGCAATCAAATACAAATCAACAGCAATCAAGCACATACACAGAACAAAATGAAAAAGAGTAAAAAGACTAGAAAGTGTCAGGTAAAGTGTTTTGGATTTACTTTGACTTCTTTCAGATTCACAAGCTTTAATCCAGAAGGTGGCAGTACAATCACACCTACAGCTGAATGAGCAACTGAGAGGGAACATTACATTTTTACATTACATGTTACTTGTTAGACCTTTTATCCAAAGCGACTTACATACTCAATACTGTGGGCAATCCCCATCAGCAATTTGGGGTGAAGTGTCTTGCCCAGGGACACAACGACATGCTGACTGCAGTGGAACAAATACACATTCTCTAAAAGTACTCTATAACACAATGTGTGGCAGATCTTTCTCACATTTAGTGTAATCATTACAACAACTTATCTGGTAATCTCCCAGAACCCCCCAATCTTGTTCTTGCAAATGTAGTGATAATGATGATTTATACATGGAGTCATCCAGGAAGTGGTTGCCTAAATTATGACATGGAGATGAGATTGTTTAGAGGTTTAGTGGGAATCATATTTCAGGGCCGATTCTGCAAGAGGACAATACATTTTCTTGAATTGAATCCATAAAATCTCCAGTTTCCTCCTTCTTAAATGTTAAAACTTCATCCAGCGGTGAAGATAAAACAGAATAGGTCGAGCTCATTTTCTGCCCACGCCTCCTTTTCTTCCTAGAATGCTTTGCCGGGTCCGGGGTGGGAAGGCCTTACACAGGTCTGCACGTCCCCCTTTCTTTTTTTTTTAAACAACCCAGTTTTGCAGGACCAAGTAGCAAAAAGACAAGATGAATGAATTTGTTTGCGCAGAAAGGTGAGCTGCTCGAGACCCTCAATAATTCAGTGTTTGTAACAGACGGTGCATCAGTGGGTGAACGCGCGCAGGCAGCTATGGCTGATTGATAGTCCCTGCCAAAACAAAAAACTGAACCCCATTATTCATATCGTAATAGGATCTGTGGAAACTCTGCAGCCCGTTGTCTCTGTTGTCTCAACTGCAATAATTTGGCACCACGAGGAACAACTGTGCATTTTTGACCTTGGGTTTTTGTGCTAGTGTTGATGTCTGACTTGATATTGATGGTTTCCAGACTTTTATTTGACATTTGACTTCTAAACAAATAAATAATAATAATAAATAGTGCTCTGTGGTTCGTCCATTATTCAAACGTGCGTAACTGAGGATGCCAATTTCACTTCAAGGCTTATTAAACGTACACCTGATCATGCCTGTTATAAAGAGCAAGGCAGCTATCACACTGACTAGAGGAACCCTGGCTCACCTGTCAGGGGGACCCGGCTATTGTTGGAAGTGTTGACCTACACGAGCCTGTGTGGGTCAATAAGTGAATAATAGAAAATATCTGCTGTGTGTTGGTATGGGGTTTCTGATTATAGGCATGTCCACAAATTAAATGAACAGAGATGAAAGTGCTTACTTTTGATAGAAATCCTTGGTTTTAGTTGGTACTCTAAAAACTTGGTTCGGTGCTCTTGTTGAGCATTGGTTATGTTGCATTGGTTATGTCTTAATAAAGCAATTTTAATTGACAATCAGAGTGCCATGAGTGCTTGAAAACAACACCAAGGACTTCCATCAAAAGTAAACTGGACAGTCATTGTTTTAATTTTCACACACATTTCTATATTTTGTTATTCCAATAACACCCTTTTCTTTTAGCGAGTGTTATTTCTTACTGAATCGTAGTTGCTCTCACCCTTTCTCTGCTTTTATAGCTGCAATTGACCTATGCTCCCCCACCTGATATAAAACAGAGAAAGAGGGAGAGCAAAAAGCACACACCCTATGTGCTGCATGTGCACACACACAAACGCATTCAGACTCACACACACATATCTCATTACCATTCTCCTGATAGTGCAGCCAGTGGGTGTTGCAAAAGGAGGAGCGAGGGAGAGCAAGAGAGAGGGGAAGAGAGGGAGGACAGGCAGGGAACCAGCCTTATAGAGAAGGAGAGCACGAACAAGACAACGGGAGATACGCGTGGGAACAGCAGCACACTAAATAGAGACAGAGCAGCGTTTGCAGAACAACATAACTTGTGTGTCTGTCCTTCTGTGTGTGTGTGAGCTCAGTGTGTTTCACGGTTCTCCTGAGGCCGTGGCAGCCATGGCATCAGAGCCTAGCACCCAGTCCAGGGTGATGTTCCAGGCGGGGGACAAAACCGAGGAGCCGGCGCACCGCAAGCTGGGCAAGCTGACAGTCAAATACAACCGTAAGGACCTGCAGAGGAGGCTGGATATCGAGGAGTGGATCGACGGACAGCTGCACCTGCTGTTTGACTGCGAGGTAGGGCAGGGCTGGCTCACACAGACACAGACACACTCAGACGACACACAGGGCTGGGTGAGGATGAGGTGAGGGAAGGGAGCAAGGGAGGTGGTAAAATGCTCACAAGCGCCTGTACTATCAATCAGGGAAGAGAGATTACAGCGACATAATAGAGGAGTGGGAAGCAAGTAGCTTTGCTTCATGGCTGCAATTGTTGGCACATGAGCCCTTATGTGTCATCAACCTGACTGCAGTGTCAGCTGTGATGTGTTCTACAGTAGTGATAAGATGATTTCGTTAAGATATAATGATTGGTTCCAGTCAGTAGGAAGCAATTGAAAGCAGGCTGTAAAACCCTTAAAAAATGGTTGTGATTCAAAGTGTACGGTTGAATAGATTCTAGGATCAGTATCATTAGATAATAAAAATATCAAGAAGTAGTAAAGTCAATACACAACAACAGTATCCCTGTAACTCTGTGATAAAGTAGTGAAAAAGTGCCAGACAAAGTTATAAAAATGCCATGAAAGAGAGGGTATTTTATTTTGAAATACACTGCTGTTATGCTGGCATCCAGGACATCATGTCATCTTTAAAGTGTCTGCGTCGCTGTGTTTGCAGACACATTCTCGTGGACATAGTCACTCAATATCTTTGCAAGATTTCAAAACTGCATAGTCACTCCTATATGGATGATGATTCATCATAACAGTGATTAGACATCAGAGAAACATGCATGTTTAAATAAAAAATTCAAAAGTGTTGTTCTTTCCCACAACCATTCAAGTTGTACAATTTGTAACATTTCACACTTAGGTTATGTAAAAGAAAAATATGTAATGTGGAACTTATTGCCAATTTTTTCCCCATAGTGTTCCTAATTAAAAGCCTCAGTACACAGATTGTGATGTTTAATGTGTGCAGGGGGTAATGTCGAGACAGCTTACACAAGCAGCAACACAGCCCCCATAACTCGGCTCCTGTATGATGGGATACAATCCAATTATGTCACAGGCTCCATATTGATTCGCTTGGCGTTCTCTGAGGGGAAACCATGGCAACAGATGTCTGAGCGCCCACATGAGGCAGCATGGCACGGTGGCATTAGGGGAGTCTGTTCAGGAGCATGAGCTTCCCAATGACGGTGCAGATCGGATGACAACACCGTCTCCGTTTCATGCCTGAGACGACAGAGACAAACTGCTCCTCATTTCATTCTTGAACCACACAGAGACCCTTTTGGCTGCAGACGGCCTGTAGCCCCCCCCCCCTCTGTCTGGCTTCCCCCGTTCACTGCCAGGGACACTCCACATCCATCTGTGGCTAGCTGACATGAAAGTTTACCACTAGCCCAGTAGATTATATGGGTTTAGCCTGCTTGAGCTAATTTGACAACACTTTAGTGGCAGCTGAGTGTTGGGAATAGTGCTACAGTGCTACTATATTCGTCATCCCGGTAGTTTATCCCATTAACATCCAAAGCCTTCTTCCCTGTGGTAATATATGATAATATGCTTGTAAAGCTAGCTGAGGGCAGAATACATTACATTAGGGAAACCAGGACATGTGGAAACAGATCTGAAGTCTTTTTTTTGTGTATCCTTTGATCTTGTCCCAGAAACAGACTTTAATCATTTGCAACTGAACTGAACTGAAGCTGAATGGTTGGATCTCGGTATGATTGAGATGATGGGAGATAGCAATACAAGTAGAAATGCAGTTGATTCAATCACGTCTGACGTCATTAATTCAAGTCAACAGGAGTGTCCCTTGTTCACCAAAGTCTGAATACTTGCTTTGAAAGTGAATGCTTTGCTTCCTAGTCCTTCCTTCCTTCCACCGACCGGATATTTGCATTAGCCATTTGTATGGAATCAGCCGTGGCTCGTCCATGTGCACTGGCCAGTGTAATGAATGTTGCATGGGCTCAGGGGAAGGTTACTCTGTTGGTTCTCAGAGTCTTCCACGTGGAAGCATTTACCATCAGTCCCCTGTGTCACCACCTGAATTATTTAGCATCATCTCTAATTCATACAAGTGCTGCCTTGGTCTGGAGGGGCCGCCTCCATTTCAAACTTCACACCTTTCTAAGAATGATGAAAAAAAGTTGGGACAAAGCTCTGGGACAGACTGTTGAATGTAGAGCAATGTTAATGCCTGTGTGTGTGTGTGTGTGTGTGTGTGTGTGTGTGTGTATGTGTGTGTGTATGTGTGTGTGTGTATGTGTGTGTGTATGTGTGTATGTGTGTGTGTGTGTGTGTGTGTGTGTGTGTGTGTGTGTGTGTGTGTGTGTGTGTGTGTGTGTGTGTGTGTGTGTGTGTGTGTGTGTGTGTGTGTGTGTGTGTGTGTGTGTGTGTGTGTTAACCCAGGTCAGTGTTTTCCCTACTGATACCAAACTATGAAGAAGACAGCAGGACAATCGGAAATATTTTTAAACACAGCCTCTATTGTAGATATGGAGCAAGTACGTCATGTTTTTACTTGTTTTCATTCTTATTTTGAAATGGTCACGCTTTTATGTAACTGAACAACAGGATTTGTCCCTCCTCGCTAAAGTTAAAAACTATTTTGATCTCTATGCAGCTCGTGCTCTCGGCAGGAAATAGGAAGGGTCTGATAAGTAAAAACACACACTGGCATCTTCTCCAAACAGCTAGATTTCCTGGGCATGGCTTCCTCTACATCAGGGGTGTCAAACTCAAGGCCCGGGGGCCAAATCCGGCCCGCGACTTCATTTTATGTGGCCCACAAGAGCTCTGAAAGAATATAATATGTTTATTATGTGGTTACATGCCGCTTTACAGAAGCACGTTGCCCATAAACTACATGTCCCACAATGCATCTCAAATTTGACTTTTTTTCTTCAAAATATGCCTTTTTTCTCAGAATTTGCCTTTCTTCAAAATGTCACTTTTTTTTCAAAATGTCACTTTTTTTCCACAAAATGTCACCATTTTTTTATTTTTGACTTTTTTTCTCCAGAATTTGGCTTTTCTTTTTAAATCATTTTGTGACATTCTCACTGAAGAGACTTGCAATTACTTGCCCTAGACTTCTGCTTTCAAACGTAGTTAATTATGAAGTTACTACCCTATCAGATAATAATCCAATGCAGAGGCAATCATGTAATTTAATACATTATTTTATATATATTAAATATTTATATATGTATTTTTATATAGTCTTAAAGTTACAACCGGCCCTTTGAGTGCAACCATAATTCCTACGTGGCCCGTGATGAAATTGAGTTTGACACCCCTGCTCTACATTATCATACAAACACATAGTGTGTGTAATGGACCCATAAATGTTTTCTTGTACTATTCACAGGTCAGTGAAAACTTTAATTTAACACTTACATACAGATGATTACAGGATTCTAGGTGTAAACAAAAACAATTAACAGTTACACATTTTGGGAAATTCACTAATGAGTTCTATGGGTGAGAGTTAGATGAGAAAATTGACAGCTCTTTTCTGTCCGTTAAATATGAAGCTACTACTATTGAGCTGGTTAGCTTACCTTGGCAATAAAAAAAATGGGAAACAATGAGCCTGGATAATTTTCTTGTTGAGCTAAGTTGTGAGTAGCTTCATATTAAGTGTTCATACATCCCCACATCTCATAATTTTGCTTTAAATAGTAAACAAGCCTTACACACCGGGGCTAGAGGAAAAGTAATACAATGAGTACATGGAGCCTGAGCTGTTCCGTAAACATTCTGATTATCTGTCCGTTATCAGTTTTAAATATGATATGAACCACAAGGAAACTGAGGGCTGCTTGAGAGGATAGAATGAAGGTCAATGTGTCAGCACAATCACTACAGGTCCTCCTCTGAGCAGTGTAACCATGCTGAGTCAATATTTTAATCCATAGTTTTTGTTCTGAACTTTGCACTCCACATTCTTCTGGTTTTGGATACTCATCATCCAGTATATTCCTAGATAACATGGACATTCTGGCTTTTAAAATTATAGGAACTATTCACTGGGGCCATGAATATCAATACTCAATATCATGACAGTCGTGTTGGTGCAAGAATCACTTCCATATTCATGATTTCCTACATTTGTGCCAACATTCAATTTAGCTCCAGACCTTTTAAACTTTACAAAGTGCTGCTGAGACATTTCTGCCCAGAGGCCTCGTAAAAATGCTTTTTCCTCTGACAATGGAAGCAACTCTCAACAAACTGAAAAGGGCGACTGCCTTTTATACTACTAAACTATATACTATACTATATTTTATACTATATGCTAAACATATATTAAAAAGGATCATCCTAGCTCTGCAATGTTCCTGTGATTGAACTAACAAATATTTACACTTTTCTATACATCACAGTTTTTATCTAACATGATGGTGCTTTATTTTAATATATTTGTATTATTTAGTAGTACTTCTTTGTATTTACTTTTTAAGGATTCTTATCTTATCTTATATCATTGTAAATTGATGATAATCTAATAAAAAAAGGATTTAAAAAAAGGATTTGGTCTAATCAAAGGCATAATAAAACACAGACCCAAGCATCCACAGCCTTAGAAAGTAGAACTGGAACAGAAACGTACAGCATGGACTAACAAAGAAATAAAACAAGCGCTCCCTGCATGTGTCCTGCAGACATCAGCAGAATCACTGAGAGTCCAGACCGGCAGCATGTATCAATTAGAGGGGGGCACAGGGGACGCTGAAGGTGGGCCCATCTATTCCACCACTCAGCACTTCCACATTGATTGGCTCTCTCCTCATCCAGAAAGCTGCGCGAGTCCCATCCTCCCCAACCGGAAAAAATATCCTCTTCAAAAATCAGCCCCACTTGTCAAAAATGAGTTCATCTGCTGAGTCTCGATATCAGGATTCTTCCAGGGAGCCCTGTTCAGTCCCTCTGAAGTATATAGTTAAAAGGTGTGGTAAAATGAAATTATTCTTTGCTATATTTGCTTTTTATAACAGGAGATTGTGTCCTTTCTTATTTTTTACAATGATCTTTGGCAGTTTGATGATGGGATTAATCATCAATGTGCTCCCACCCAATGTTTAAATGAACGCTAACACATAAGAAAAAGTGTTTTATATATAGTAAGGCATGCTCTTCATATTCTACAGTTGCTGCTGCGCTTAGGATTGTATCTTAACTCACAATGTAGGACAGCCTAGCGGAGATGAATATATTATTTCGAGAACATGGAAATAATCTCTCAGTAATGGCTGAACTGCATGCTAGCTGGGTAAACCATCCATGAAATCTGATGGTGTCACGAATGGCCCCCAAGAGCCTTTTTGCCTTCATGCCTCAGTGCTCCTACTTATTTGTCTTGCACTTCCTCCATCACATGATTGTTACGAGAGATTGTAAAGGAAGAATAGAAGGGTTTACACTTTTTACTACAATACAGCAAAGACTGTTTACTGGGGTGATTACATATGGATAAAAGAATGGTGACAACTCTTTCTAACGTTACACTCAAACAGCTTATATAGTACTGTGCTGCAGTGAAATCCTTGTCCTGTCGCATCACCATCTTACACTTTCTCTTCCAATGACTTTGCTCAGTCGCGTGGAAAGTCTAACCACCGTCAGTGAATGGATGGCACACATTATACAGCGTCTGCAAGAGCTTTGCAGAAAATGCAAGTGTGTGGAATATAAAAGAAGAATATTGTGGTAACGTCTGTTACTTTTTGCTTTTACAGGAGGAAGAGATTCCAGAGTTAGAGATTGACATAGATGAGCTCCTGGAGCTGACGGGCGAGGGGCAGAGAACCCGTCTGCAGGTGAGTGCGCAAATTAAACTTAAAAACAATAACATGATTAGCCATTATTGTTGTTGAACTTTCATTCTTATATATTCAGTAGAGGCTTTGTGAAACTGGAACCCAGGGCTTTAAGACTTTAACCAAAGAGAGAAATAGTTCAACCTCTTGACACCTTGGTACATACCTAACTATGTGCAATGCTGGTTAATAGCTTAACAAGCACTTGACCCTTGCTAGAATCCAATGTTGCAATGTTTGTACTGAAAAAGCAATGCCCATTATTGTTACTGAGCCTATTTGTGTATGCTTTCTTTGTTAGGAGCTGTTGCAGGAATGTGAAAAGCCAAAAGAGGTGAGAAACGTATGTGAAACCACATGTAGCATATATATTTCAATATTTAACAGATAAACAATATAACTTGTGTAGTGTTGTTATGGCTAGTCTGCTGGAGGTATTTGCAGAAATAAATCTATTTTCTCCATGCCTCCTTTAGGATTTTATCAACGGGCTGCTCTACAGGATAAAGGGTCTACGCAAAATGTCAGGTCCCTTGAAGAAATAATTATAGGTCAACTAAAGAATTGAGACAATGTGGAGCCTCCGATCTTCCCATCTCCCACATGTCAACCGCAACATGTCAGTGGGACTCTCTTCCTGCCCTCCCCCCCAGCATCAGTCTTAACACCAGAGGAGTTTTCAATGGATTTTTTTTAATTCTTTCACTTAAATTCATGGACTGCTATAACATTTGTCCTCCCATAAACAAACCAATAATGCACATGTGATCAAAGATGTACTGACTTTTGTTTTGTTTTTGCGTAAGACTGTACATTTTTTCAGTTGCCTATTTATGTACATAAATATGTTTTGTTCTGATAACAGTGTTGTATGTGGAAATAAAATTAAACATTTTCAAGGCAAGGCTGTTGATGAATTATCAAAAGGGTTACATATGGATTTTTAGCAAAGTGACGGCCCAACAGTATCAGTTATCATTCATTAAAACATAAAAATTGATATTGACATGTCCATTACACCCATCAAGTTAAAGTACCACTAAAACTATGTATAGTTGCTCTTTATTACTGCTCTAAAAACACTAATTTGCCTATAAATAATTATTTCCTACTGTCCAGAGGCAATTATAAGACGTTACTGCAGCGCGACGGTCGTTCACAGTATACAAGCTTCTGTTTTCTGGCACAAATCTTTCAACAGATCGATGGAAACAAAGGAGACGTTGACATGTCAAGTCTAGGAGTAAACACAGTGAAATCAGCAGCAGGGAAGTACCATTAAGTATGCATCCATTATCCTCCTCCATTTCCTGTCTGTGGTGCGTGTATGACATGGCCAGAAGAGGCAAACACAGTAACAGCCTCCATGCAAACCTTAATGGAGCAGGGCCCCCAGAGGAAAAGTGTAATTATGGTTTCTCTAGCTTGACAGTAATGCACACTGATGATACTGCACTCTGGCCTTCTCTCTGTCATACACACAGGGTCTCTCAGCTCCATTTTCCTCCCCACTTCCACCCTCTGACACAGAGGCCATCCATACTGACTACACTTCCGACAAGGCCTGGCAGCGGGACGTTTGTGATGATATTAGTGTTATAAAATAAAACTACAAATATGTGACATGCTGTAGCACCTCTCTTCTGCATTCTTTATAATGGAATTACACACAAGGACAAGGAAGGCAACGCTCATTTCACACTTGCAGCCAAAAATAGATTACAAGAGTGACTGCAGTGCTTGCCAAAATAAAACAAAGCCCTCAGTAATCCCTTTATACGGACTCCTCTGTATTTCTACAGTCCACAGCTGACAGTTACTGGGAGTGTACATCATCCCGTTTGAACCCGTGATATGGCTGCTTTCTGTCTGTGCTGTTGATTTTTTTTTTTTTTTTTTAAATGGTGCGAAGTGCTTCTAAAGATGAGCCTCTGGGAAGTGACATAAGAACAAATCTAAGCTTCTTTTTAATGTTTCACTTTTCTTGTGTGCAGTTGGCTGTGCAGCTTTGCTCAAATACTATTACAGAAAAATAGGAGCTATGTTTTTTATATTATACGCACAGTATAATATTCGTGTTATTCTTATTTCTAGGCTTTGCTTTGCCATATATGTTTTGTGTTGCTGATTTAGATCCCTGCTAGCAGTTACAAAAAGAAGATGCTGCTCTTTCCGTGGTCAACACCGACGCATGTTTACAGCCATTTTAAACAGATTGGATGAGTTAGGGTTAAATGAAAGGGTTTTGGCTTCTTTTAGTTAATAGGTAGTGTTTAAATCTTCTTGGCTTTATAAACAATAATAGGTCACTTAAATCTAAAGCACAAGTCCAACAGTAATGACTGACCAGAGCCGGACAGGGCAAACATCTACAGCGCAGTCTCACTATCATGTCTTCCTCTTCCTCTTTGGCCCGGTGTAGTTAGTGGTGCGATGCTCCATCCTGTCATATTTATCATGGCCTTCCCTGGGGAGATAATGGAGAGTGGATTGATTATTCATCACAATATATACTTTATATTCATGCTGCTTAACAGTATGGCAACAGCCTGGCTACAATCTATCTGGGTCATGGTATGCATTCCAAATCACAGCCTTCTTTCTTGGGCATCAGAGCAAAGATTTCTGTGCAAAGCTCGATTAAGATAGTTATTGTGGTGCTCGTTGTAATGGATGTACAGTATGGTGTGTTACCTAAAGCAGCGGTTGCAGTATAGGTCTCCATCACAGGTTTGACAGCGAATACTGGCGTCATGGTTACAGATGCAGCACCATGGCAGCTCCTCTTCATCACTGTCTGATGGCTGAGGTGCAACAGCAGCCGGGGAAATCCTGCTCTTGGGTGCTGGTGTCTGGGTGTGAAAAAAAGATTAACAAGGAATTTAATCAAGTATTCATTTTCCTAAACTAACTGTAAGTTGATTCATTGAGTAAATAATAAGAGGAAATGAAGATATAGTCAAACTTAAAATGAGGATATTTTATGAAAATAATACTAGCTTTATTGACATTCACTTGACTGCAAAAGAAGTATGATTTAGGATAATAAATAAATGAAGAAATCATATTCTGAACTCTTCAAATGTTATTCTATCCAAGAGCTTAACATTTTTTTTAGATTTAGTATTTAGTAGTTGTTGTGTAGTACCAGTTTCTTAGCCATGGTTTTCTTCTCTGTGTTCTTTGGTCCACTGTGTTCTAAAGGTATGTTGTAGCCACTGGCCTCGTCCAATGCCGCCTCTTCAGATAGCTGAGAAAATATACAGGAATTTAAAACATGTCCAAATGTCATTGTAAATGATTTAAATAGCAAAATAGCAGCCCCTTGTGGCCATGCGAACTGGTCCACTTCAGTTCACACTCATCTTTAAGGGTGTGATAATAAGCACCCAGTAGTAACAGGCTTGTCATGTTAATGTCATGCAAACCACATTACAGTGAACTTTATTTAAAAAAAGGTCCCACACCTGTTTTAAAACTCTCCTCACAGCTTCTTCCTCAGTCTCATCCTCACTGTCAGGATGCTGAAAGTCCTCCATAGTAACTAGAGATGACATGGCAAATACAATACAATTTACGGCACAATGTTTAAAATGAAAGCTCTTCATATTATCTGACATTTTGGTGTGAAAGTACGGATAGTCAGTAAGGTATAGAAAGTGATAGAAGAGCTTTATATGTGATTTTGTACCTTTGTCTGGGTCCTGCCCCTTCAGCTGTGCCATCCTCTTGGCCATGTGGAGGACCTGATCCTGGGAGTGGCGCTCCTTCCTGAGCTCCTCCATGGCCTCCTCCAGGACACGGGCCTTCTCCGTCTCCAGCTGCTTGTCCGACTCCTGGTTCTCCTCCAAATTCTCATCCAATGTCCCTGCCTCCCCCTTGTTCAGATCGTTCATACGGCCATCTACACCTGCAGAGAGATTGATGAGACAATAACTCAGCTTTTGGTGTCAGAATGAAGTTATAATTGTTAAAACTGCAAAAGACTGTGATTATGACCGCATCTTTAAATATTAATCAAATGTTGGAGAGGTCAATGACAGGAATAATTACTGCATTCAGGATTTGATTGCTGGTCGTCAATGGCAACTTCCTCTGACATCTGAGAAATCAGATCATTGGCTTGCTCAGTCTGAGTCCTGTTATCTGGAGGGCGGTGCACCTGTACAGATCAGCACAAAAGGACGTATACTACTAGTGAGCAATTATAGCAAATTTAGAATGCAGGTCCTTTTAAATTAACTACTACAGCTTCTCATACTGTTAGGTCCAATGTGTTAGCAATGAGTGGTAAGAGTTTCAGCTTACAGGTGGAGGAGCTTGAGATGGTGGAGTCTGACCACGTAGAGCTGCCAGGCGGTCCTCCATCTCTATGGTAGAAGGCACTGGCCGACTGGGAGCTTTCAGAGCAGCAAGGCGAGCCTCAAGCTCTTTCTCGGAGGGGGTGGACTCTGAAGAAGAGGTAAAAAGCTTACAATGGCTTTTGCCAAAGAGAAAATATACTATTTCTATAATTCTTAATTTATTGATGAAGATCTATCTAGTTTCATTACTTGGCGCAGTGTCCTCTTTCAGCTTTTGAAGCCGTTCAGCAATAGCTTGGTCTTCTTTACTCAGGCCTTTGGTTGGTAGATGGCCTGCTTTATTGTTTCTATTGCCACCTTGTGTGGGAGCATGTGTCGACTGTGCCTGCTGTTTGGCCTCAAGTGCAGCGACCCGTCTAAGGAAGAAACATGCATTTTATATATCAGGCAACTGCAGTGTTGACACAGGGCCATTTTCTAAATGTAATCATATACTGACTTTTTGTAATTTTCAGGAGGAGACCATTTTGCAGCAGTGTTGGGAGATTCTCCACTTATAAGGAAATAAATAGGTATGAGCAACAATGCTTAGTTAAGATGAATTAATGATCACATTATATTGTTTTGCACCTTTACCTTGTCAGATTGCCATGGCACTGTTTGCAGACCTTCTGCTGGGTGTTGCCACAGCGAGGCACCACAGCACTGAAAGTCAAGCAGCCAGAGCAGAAGGAGCGGCCACAGCTCTTACAGCCCAGCTGTGAGGATATTCAACGTAATTTACTGATAAAACGTTCCCACAGAACGGTAAATGCGTATAGCTATGTGATACATATTAGCCAGCAAGGTCTTACCTCCTTCTTGAAGAGACTGAACTTGGATGCACAACAATAACAACGGTTGTCCATGACGAAACGTGTAGAGAGTCATGAGACATGCAATTAATAATTGACTGATATGGCTCTAGCGGGTAAATATATGAATTAAACTGACTCTATGAACCGTTATTTCGCAGCTAGCTACCCATTTTCAACCTTTCAACGCTGCTGTAATCAAAACAGGAAGCATTCCGGAAGATGCGACGTGACGTCAAACTGCATTTCCTGTTTCTGGTTCCTCCAATCACCTCTCTTCAAATTCTCTCGCGGTCCTTGTTCAAAACACAGAGCCGACCACTGTACTGAGTTCCTGTAACAACGGCAAAGCTCTAACCATTGAACAAAAGACAGAAGAGTCATATAGACGGTATGAAAACACACAATTGTGCAGATCACCAGTTTTGTTTCTGTATGTGACTTGTATATTTCGCTCATAATGTGAACAACGTTACGTCAACAACATGCAAGCTAAAGCTAACGTTAGCTAGCGTGTTAGCTCCCCACGTCAGTTAGTAGATACTGGAAACACGCACGCATGCATGCAAGATGATAGATACTACAAATGTGTTAGATGATTCATAAGATAACACAGTCTGTACTAATAGTTTAGTTTATTTCGGTAATTTGTTTAATACAATTGGAATGACAAATCCTTTTATCCAAAATATGTAGGATTAGTTTATTATACCTACCCTTATGAAGTTGTTCCCTTATTTAATGTG